ACACTTTCTATTTTAAGTTTGTCACTTACGCGAGTGCTGCTGAGAATAAATGGACAATATTCAAGTAGTGGTCTTGTTGTTACTATAACCACTTCTGTCAAAAACATCGACTGACATAATCGCACACCAATGTAAACTTCTAGTAGCTCTTACCGTGTTTAAGCGTTAATTATTATATTATTAGTGATATTCACGTATGCATCCTGTGAACCCTTTCTTCTTTCTTTTAACTACTCGGTAATTTCGGTGACCTCATGGGGTTCGTTATTTAAGAAAGTGGTTTCCAGTATCGTTGATATTGTATTCTATTTTAAATCACTAACAAGCATATTCCATTTTCCTCACACGGATATTCTACTTTATGATAATGAACATTAACTTTTGAAACTGTCGTGAGCTACAGACTTCAAAAAATTAGGGCAATGTGTTAAAATGAATAGATCACTTAGATGAGACGTCCGCCTATGAAGCATATTGCAGTTAACATGCCGTACACTCTTGTTGTCGTGATAATTCTGTTAGCAGCAGTTATTATCAGTATCCACATATCTTAAGGATGGTGAATAACAAAGAATACTAGTGTAGCAGTCACAGGCAAGAACTATCAGTTAAAGATGAAATAGGAGCTTACGTAAAGGAATGTTGATACTCCGAAAATTAAAACATCAAATAAGTGGTAAAATTACTTACAAGCAGAAGTATCAGCACTTACTGAAAGCATTTTGAAAACTAATACGAGGTTGAATTTTTTCTTATGTGTACGCAGCTATCAACGCAAGGAAAGGACAATGAAAAATCGTTATCACAGGCACTGTATTTACTATGTAAGGAATGTTATTACAGGCACACTTTGCAGCAGAACATACAAGTCCTGCGTGTCATTGCATCAGCGATATAAGCATCCTAATTGTAATGCGCCTCAATGCAAATAACCACAGGGCTTCGTAAAAATATCTTTGTGGAAAGTAGATGTATTGGAAGACCACTTGCAGTCACCATATATGACATATAGTGGGATGCCTATGAAGACTGATAACCTGCAATGAGGAAGACAGAAATGAAATTATCAGGACATTCGTGAAGCATAAGTATTTCAGATGAGTGTACTAGATGGGTAACAAAATGCCACTCATCTCATTCACTTCGATTCCTACTATTTCTTATGTCCATGTTACTTAGTCCTGGTTCATAGTTTCTTCTTCGATGCACTTTATCCGGAGAGTTTAAGGAATGCGTACAGTACTTAGAAAATGGCATTGCCAATTGTTTAAGGCAATTAAAACTGTAGTGATTTGTGACACTAGGCAGCTGCAGTGATTAATGCTGACTGAGCACAGAAGTACAGAAGTTCGAGTTGTTATATTCCACACTTGAAAAATACTGTGTAGCGGTACGTTCAACGTTTGCGTTACATTTTAGCTTGATTCGCTATATATTTCTATTTTAACTGTGAGACTCGCACAAGTGTTTCTCCAGTTCCATAAATTTAACCAATAACTCTTTCACTAATTAGTTATGGTTAGTCATACAAAAAAGCCACGAACTCAGTCACCTGTCAACGTGATGACTAATAGTATAAATATGCTCGCAACGACGAGCAGCACAACTCCCACAAAGTATGGAAATGAGGCACACAGCTTGCCAATACGCCGCAAGCGTCGAGCTGCCGGTTCACTACCATCTACTGTGGCTGAAACTGAGGGCGAAAACTTGCTGACAAATAGCAGTAGCATCGCTTCTACAAACTCAGCACTTGGTCCTGACATAAACCTCTTCACTTCACCCTATGTACGTGTCACAAAACTTCAGATTCCAAGTCCAGCTCCAACACTTACTTCAGAAATAGAACGACTAAAGCTGGCTGTAGAAGAACTGAAGACTGAGATGCGGGACATAAGGTGTAGAAAAGATATGAATGCAGGATTTTCAGAAAATTTGGCCAACTTATCTGAACTATCAACACAGGTTGGTGATATAAAATCACAGGTCTGTGAACTTGCCCCTCTGAACATCTTGACTAAGACCATAAACCCTGGCGAACTTGACACAGAATCAGTATCTAAGATAGACACCTTGATAAACTTCATCACAACAGAGGTTATCAAAAGACTTGATACTAAACTAAGTGTGATTGTCTACAATATACCAGATAATGAGGGGTTGAAAAAGGTTCAAAGCATCTTACTTAGGGCGGCGAAAATGCCTAACTCCCAAACAAAATGTCACAGACTGAAGAAGAGTCAGCACGACCACTGCTGTCCTATACGCCTTCAGTTCGAAACGCAGACAGAGGCTAAAAAATTCACCAACACACAACGTATCCTATTACAGGACACAAGCTACAAACAGGTAAAAGTTGTAGCAGATAAGACAGTGATTGAAAGGCGTGCTTACAATCACCTTAATAAACCAAATGGCAGGACACCTCAAGCCACTAAAATAGATATACACACTACCAACACGGTAGAACTCATAGCCTCCCCCCTCTCTAATCCCGTAAAAATAGCTCCAGAGAAAATGAAACCAAACGAAAGACTTGTGAGCTATAGTCTTACTCCTAAAGTAACCTCTCCTCCCTATACGGTGGATCTAGATATGTCTATGGACAGCCATAAGATGGTAATCAATCCCTCTTGTAAGCTGACAACATCCTTTCTTAACCAAAACGTGACAACGCAAATGGAACTCGGTAACAAAACAGGCCGAAATACGCCACTTGTTGCGAAGATTCCCCAACATATTCAGACTCCCAAGAATATCTCACGCTTTAAGGTAAATAATATTCAAAAACATACTAGCAACCAAACTAAAAACAAAAATAAGGACATAGAGCCCAAGGACAACAACGACACAACCTACTTGCATACTGTGCCAAGTCACACTGGTAGCTGGTGTAGTGACGCTATCACGCAAAGTAGTATAGGTGACAACACTCGAAGCTCAGCCACCAAGTACTCAGGGTCTACAAAGCATGACACACAAACTAACTTTGGCAGATTATACGGAACAAGCCTTCTGGGAAACAAACCACAGTGCAGCTATGCACATAACGACACCCATGTAAGGTCTCCTGGAATGTCCCCACACAATAGGCAGATTAACAAGTCATGGGCATCACAAGGTACCAAAGATTTTTTATCCAACACATCCCTGTCAGCGCTAACCAAACAGCTGGTGGGGATGTTAACCCTTCTGAACCCATACCACCAACGTTGGCCCCCTATCGGGAAGAAAACAGACATGGGCTAGTACATACGGAACTATTAGTCACACCTAAAGACTGTACAAGCATATGCCAAATAAAAACCTCAACCCAACTCTCCAACCTACCCAAGCCTAGAACCACGTCATTGTATAGTTTATCTAATAATCAAACCCATTACCCACTAAAAAAAAGGATAGTAACTTGACAGACATAGGTGGACAAACTAGTTGCAACACAGGGTTGATATGCCACGCGGAAACAGCGGATGCCGATCCACACTTGAACCTTATTGACGAGCTTAAACACTTCAAAGACTACTTCAAATCTCAACTCTACTTAATAATTATTAATGCTAGATCTATCCTTAACAAACTACCGATGCTCAGGGCACACACGCTGGTATACAAACCCCCTATAATCATTATTACGGAATCCTGGTGTCACTCCAATATACCAGACGAAGAGATAAGCATCGAAGGGTACATACACTTTCACTGTGACAGGAAGAGTGGTAAGGGAGGAGGCTGCCTAATGTACTTCCTGAACACACTTACTGTATTACAGCTAGAAAATAAGGAACTCAATGACATGCACGGCACCCTGTGGGTCAACGTACACTTCAAAAGTGCTACACTACTAATAGGATGTATCTACAGAGCACCTGGCACCTTTAGTGATTACGAGACACAACTTATAAATGTACTGGAGCAAGTATCCACTCTTCCATACGAGCATAAGATCATATGTGGAGACTTCAACCTACCCGAAATCAACTGGGACTTATTAAAAGGGCCAACTAAATACGACAAGCTCTTAGGGACACTGGACATCTTCGGCTGGAAACAAACTGTCACTATCCCTACAAGAGGTGACAATGTACTAGACTTAATATTCTGTCACGATATAAGCCCCCTCTCAATCTTAGTGGGTTCTAAGTTTTCAGGTAGTGACCACAAAACAGTAATGTGTGCTCTGCCACTTCCACTGAATAGCAATGCAGCTCATACCTCCACTTCACAACAAGTACTATATAGGAACTATAGTAAGGCAAACTGGACCTTAGTAGAATCAGTGCTAAGATCCTCCGAATGGAGCGAATACTTCACTACTGATGACCTCTCGAGAGCTCTGAGCATCTTCTACCATAACTCGAACACATGCTTAGATGCTGTCATTCCACTCCAAACACTTGAGCTTTCCCCACATAGGAAGTCATTCATAAAACCAAAGGATCGTATGAAACTGAAGAAACTCTCAACAAGTTACTTCAAACACCAAGACTTTGGCACACTAGGTTTAACACTTAACACCCTTAGTTCCATCTCACAAGCTCGAAATTTCCGTATGAGAAACGAAGAACGCATCGCAGTAGCCAGTCCTGCTAGAGTGTATGCACTCACGGAAATCTTAAAGAAGCGAATGAATCGCAAAAATCACAGCATTTCCCTCCTCATAGACAAAGGTAGGCCATGTACTAATTCCGCAGACATGTGTGAATTATTCAACTCAACTTTTGCAGGTAACTACCTTAAGCCCACAGTCCAGTTACTCAATATACACCCTGCTACTAATGTGGCACAAACTCCATCTCCACACACACCAAACTTAATTAGCACTATTGAATTTAACTATACTAACATTAAACAAACTATAAGAACCCTAAAATGCTCAAAAGGTTTCGGTACTGACGGCATATCATCCTATTTTTATAAATATGGTGGCCCTGACATTCCCTTACTCCTGCTTAAAATATTCACAATGTCCTTAGAAACCCAAACTTACCCTGATGTATGGAAAACAACGTTTATTATGCCTAAACACAAATCTGGCTCGAAAACAGACGTCAGTAACTACAGGCCAATTAATATCACACCTATAGCTTCTAGAATTATGGAGAGACTAGTTGAAGAAAACCTAATGAAGCATATGCTTAGTTGCAATATTATAAGCCCGAACCAACATGGATTCCTAAAATCCAGATCTTGTTTAACATGCCACTTAGACTTCTTTAACTTTGTGACCAGCAGTCGTGACAGACGACAACTAGTACTTGTCATCTACTTTGACATCTCAAAGGCATTTGACCGTGTCGACCACTTACTACTAGTGCACAAGCTGAAATCCTTAGGAATAAGTGACCCGCTATTAGGATGGCTTAAATCATTCCTTAACAATAGGTCCCAAATAGTTAAACTCGGATCTATAACTTCGAAACCTAGCCAAATCACCTCTGGTGTAGTACAAGGTAGTGTCATTGGACCCCTTCTATTTACCCTATATATTAACGACATATGCGCTTGCTTTACTCATGGTAAACCATTCATCTTTGCAGATGACCTAAAAGTAGCTTATACATTCCAACCTGATGACCTAGGGTACTTCCAGAATGTTGTACAAAAAGAACTAGATAAAGTGACTGCTTGGTCGTCTTTATGGAACCTCCAATTTAACCTTAAAAAATGTGGCTGGATCTGCTTCGGTGCACCCTCAATCGACATAAAGTTAACGCTTCAATCGGCTAACCTAACCAAACTCCAAAGTGTCGTTGACCTAGGTCTGAGGTACTCGAGTAACCTAACATTCTCTGAGCAAGTGGCATCACAGACTCAAAAGTCGAGAATGCTCTTAGGATGCATACTCAGGAACTTTCACGACAATGAAGCAAAGCTCATTCTGTACAAAACCTGTGTGAGGCCACTACTAGAATACTGTCCATTTATTATTAGCAGCACTCACACACGTGAAAAGCTAAGAATTGAAAGTATCCAACGATATTTTACCTCGAAACTACTAGGCTACGAATGTAAGAAAGACTACATCTCACGGTGCATGATTCTACAACTTGACCCACTCTGGACAAGACGACTAATTATAAACCTAGTATTCTTCTATAAGGTCCTACACAAAATATCATTCTCAGACATTAAGGACATACAATTCGCGCAAGAAGGCTCTTACGATCTGCGTAACCAAAATTGCACAGTGACAATGAAAGCCTTTAAGTCAACACTCCGCGAAAACTTCTTCACAGTCATGTATTCTAAAATATGGAACAATCTGCCCCTAGATATCAGGAACTGCAATACAGTTTTAAGTTTCAAACGCTCTCTGTACACACTATTTCACTCTACCGACTATATAAATAAACTATTTATTCCTAGAACGAATCAACTATTAGTCTACTACAGTACCTAAACGCGCTTAAATACCCTTACTTCCCTAAAGACTATAAATAAACTAGTAGCATAAATGCATAAAAAGACTATTTCACTCTACCGACTATATAAATAAACTATTTATCCCTAGAACGAATCAACTATTAGTCTACTACAGTACCTAAACGCGCTTCAATACCCTTACTTCCCTAATGACTATAAATAAACTAGTAGCATAAATGCATAAAAAGACATAGTAGAAACAAATTTTTGTTCATCAAATTACAATGTACAACGAATATAATCAAAACTTTTAAACTCCACCTGGTTTTTCTTTGTCCTCTGGTACATTTCTGTTGTATTTACTTTGTAGTACAAGTTGCATTGATCTACATTCCGACTGAAGCTGAGAAACAATTGAAGTCACTTACTCATATATCATCCCCCAAGGTTTGGCTAGTAATGGCTCAGCATCCTTGATGAAATCCACTGTCACCATAACAAGACGCTGTACAGCATCTTATACAAGCACTGTCAACGATCTAAAATGGTTTTTATATAGCTTTCTACGCGTTTATCAACTTACCCGTACGGAGCAACCATGCTGTGACAAATGGCGGGCTATGGGTGACTTGAGTGCAGTAAAACAAATCTGCTTGACAATGACCAATATTAATCTGCATTCAGTTGAATTCACATCTGGTATTACTTGCAATAAAAATGATGTCAAAATCATAAAAATTAATCACTCATTTTAAATTAATACCCAATTTGAACATAAAACAAGATACGATGCCGCACACAACAAAGTTATATGGAGGAATTGACTTCAAGCTTTATTTTTTCCCAAATATTTGTAATTTATCCGACACATACTTGGGTTTTTTTGTTAATGCGAAGACAATATTTCTATATTTCTTTATGTGCTCCATTGAACGACTAACTATCAGAATGTGCTCACTAACTGATGTCAGAGAGGACAGCAACCATGTAATTTCACTATAAATCAAATTCATGTAATTTAAATAATACTTATCCATGCCTGTACAACTGGTGTGTCCTACATTGATAGGAAATATATATTATTATTAGTTGGTAATAAACAAAAAAATTTCCTCAGATATGTTTCAACTTTGCATTTAGACTGTCGGATAAAATAAACTAATTTATGAGATATGGCGAGACAAAATATTGTGAATTTTATCCCGGGTAATAATAAAGATTATTGTTAAATAAATCTTTTATTCAGCTAGACAAGGACCAGATGGAAAAAATGCAATTATCATTTGTTGACTTTCCGGTGATTATTATCCACTTTTTAACATTTCGTTATACCTAGACCATATATCATCCTGGCTGACTTTCAGAATAGAAGTTTGAACACAAGCGTACATGTTTGAGTTACCACATTCCATATAGCATACAAAGGTGACGAAGAAGAAATTAAATGTTACTCTAACGAGCATAGATGTGATGGAGAACAAATAGTGACAAAGACAAAACACAAGGGTTGGTTAGATGTGTGAGGTCACATAAAGTGGATGCATCTGTGTCATTAACAACGATTTGGAGTCACATCTTTATTTATTACCATATGCTTAACTACAGCATTACTCACCGTATTATACTACCTGACGCAGGAGGTAGAGCACAGACACCTACAGTCAAACGCCGGTGGTCTTTTCATATCTCTCAGCTTCACTGGCCCTCCCTCACGACCTTGGTAAACAGTATCATCAGCATACTCCCCCAGTAAGTCCCTGAAGTCAATGACAGACACTACTATTACTATGTGTGAGATGAAATCAAACAAAAGTTTGGATACCAGTTATAGAAATGAGCTATGTATTACGTCCCTCTTGGAAATATGAGTTCCCTGATAGTTTAGTTTCAGTAATAAGCGGATATAACTCAACCTGTAGAATCCATGAAGTTCATAAGCTGACGTACTACTTTTTTCCAAAAAACCTCGTTAATAATAGAGAAGATTTGTAGCTCAGGTGGATGATTTACAATTAAAAGCGTTCTCTGAGCTGGTTGGTTTAACAAACACGTTAATATAGATGAAATATACCAATTAATAAAAAGTAAATCAGGTGACCAAAAAGTTTAAAATCCTAGTGAATAGAAAGTGGTCAATACATATGTGAAGATAGTAACCAGGAGACGCAATTACATCACGCATGAGGAAATTGAAATCATTTCACTTTGTGCTAAATATGGCGCTGAAGATGTTGTCCGGAAGGATGACGAAAGCTTCGCGACTAAACCAACCAGCTCAGAGAACGCTTTTAATTGTAAACCTCGTTAATGTTTCCTCACAAAAGTGGAAAATGGGTGTCGTGATTATGTATACCAAGTAAATTGCTAACTTTTGCCAATATAAATAACAATTTTCTGAATTTCGAGTTATAATTGTAGCCTGACCGCAACATTCAGCAATTGTTAAATGACTATTTGACGAACATCTCATCTACACAGGAAATGCACTTGTCACTTTTCAGGTGAGTCAGCTCTTCTATACTGTTCAAAGACTTGTCACGAAAAGTACTTTGAACAAGCTTCGGGCTTTTATGAACAGCTGCCTTCGCTAGCTGGACATTTAAAATAGCGGAAGGTCAAAAAGGCCATGAGACACTTCTATGAAAGTTCAGAACCATATTAATTTTCTCCACGACAATCGAAAACATTACATAATGTTCAAAATGCTCTTCTAGAAGACAGGCCTTCACAGAGTAAAAATAACCATGCTGTAACCTGCTTGAAGCTTAACACTGGCAGATGAGGCTGGATTTGCATCAGCGACGGTAATCTTGACCTGACACTTGAAATAAACGGTCAAAAACTAACCAAACTTGACTCAGTCGCAGATCTTGTTATCAAATTCTCTAGCAATTAAACGTTCTCCAGGAAAGACTGATCATAACAGACGTAAAACACGTGATCCCCTAGGTTGCATTACTCGCATTTTCTTTCACTGTGAGACAAAGGTTTTATTATAAATAGCGTGCATACGACCTATTTTAGAATAGTGCCTGTTTATTCTTGGCGGACTGTGACAGCTTAAATTAGAGGAAGTGCAACGATATCTTGCTTCAAGGGCTCTCGGCTTTGAAGGAGGTCTTGACTACAGTTAGCATCGCAGCAGACCGAAAATAGAAATACTCCGGAAAAGCCGGCTAAGGCTAAGTCTTATTTTGAATGACAATTTAACTGATCCCCTCTAGCACTCCTCCAGGCCAGTAACAACATCTACCCCTAAGTTTAGTAGCAGTGTTAGAAATCATGGCAACGTAGTTGTTATGGTACACCGTCAGACTTACATGCAGGCGATTCCTTGAATAAGCTTTCAGCCATTCAGAACAGACTACTAGCTAATGTGCTAGACGCGAACACACTTCCAGCATTACCCTCCTCAATCCCCAAACTCCTGAAGATGACAATGTTCTCTTCATTCTGACTCCTTTAGCTTATTTTCATCCCACAGAGATGTATTGAGTTCATCAAATGTATGAATAACAGTAAACTTCACTGCCCCGAAAGACACCTGATACTTTCTTCTGCGACGCATCTTGAATGACAGTTGTGGGATATTACCTGTATACCGATAAACGAATCGCAATCACGGCGCCAACAAATCTGGAAATTCCAAAAATCATGAAATTATCCTGATGGATGCATTTCTAATCTCTCTGACTTGTGTGAAGATGATTTTCAGCTTCTATATGCTTCATTTGTCATTTAATATGGATCAGATCTCCAATATTCCTGTTCCTATCGCGATATGGACTAAAAGTGACTTGTTGTTGTTTACTGTTGATGTAACATTACTGACTGATGTGGTGGGTCGCTTGCAGTTCAAATTACTGAGTATATTATTATCTGTAAACTAGCTAGAATTTTACAGGAAAGTTTTGTTATTTCACCAATAACCTTCCATATCCATCACTTGTAACATAGCCCTCAATCATTACGCGCATTTTGGACAGATTTTAACAATGACGACGCTTAGTACTGTACTGTGTACAATGCCTCTACGTATGTAAAGTGGCCCCACAGATATTAATCTATTACATTGTCGTATATATACCTTGTGTAATTCAATAGCTGTAAATATGCTTACACCATATACATAATATTTACCATGTTGATGACACCTGTAAACTGTCGTCACTTATGCACCAACAAATGAGAATATATAGCACACATAGATCAATAGATAGGTGCGACTGTTAACATCCAAGAAGCTTAGGATGAACAAGTAACACTCTCAGGTAGAAGAAGGAAGTTTTATATTTCACTTTTAAGTTTGGTATATTTTCAAGACACCCAAGTTATTTATCATAGTTTGTTGTTGGCAGTGTCCAACGCTTTTCACAAGTAATTCTACCTTTATTTTGCATTTACAATCATAAATATCATCAAAGCCATTAACCCAGACGGACTTTTTCACTAGAGGAGGAAGATTCTGAACTTGGGCGTGAGTTACCATCAACTTTTCTGATTGTAGAATATAAAACGGCTTATGTATGGAAGTATTTTTTTGAAGTATACACAACTAACGTGCAACCTATCGCAGTTAAAAGTTACCAAAATGAGTTTAATACGTTACGTAACCTATTTCACTTCATTATCGTAAATTTACCTTAATAGCTGGAGTACGCAGCGAGCCAAGAGGTTAGCACTTGTAAAATAAGCCAAATTGTTTAGCTCGTCAAAGGATTTATGTGTTCTTTCCTAATTTCCAGTGTTCATTCCGATCGTGAAGCCTTGTGAACGCCAGTAGAATCTCGTGTATCTTCATCACTTAGCATGCTATTGTACTGGGTTCAGTATTTCCTTTAAGGACCATTGCTGGATATTTATACTGTACGTGGAAGTCGCCCATTTACTGGAAAATTTCAAGGAAAAACAGGTGGTTCTTAAATGTCACATTATCTCCATGCATGCATTGCAGGGGGCAGCCCCACCCTGAAGAATTGTGTTAGGTGTACAGTGATCTCCATAATACCCACAACCTTTTCCCTATAGTTAGTTTTCTGTGCTTTTCGGTTTTCCAATCTATTGCAAATCTAATGCATTGTTCTATTGTATTTTTTTATACATCTCATTTCCGCGCATTAACTGCTGTTCCCTTACTTTATACTTTTTTCTTATAGGTTTTCAACTGAGATGAGTCGGTGGCTGGTTAAAAACTGTAACGCCTCCATCATCGACAATATCCTCGGACAGACGGCATAGGGACTACGAATTAACTGAAATCCATTCACGCTGTGCATTGTAGTTGTTACAAAGGTAAGGAGATAGATCTCCTTCAATGAAATCCGCAAATATCTCGTACTGGTTAAAGAGAAACTTCCATCAATTAAAAAATTTCTACGAGATCATCATAGAGATAATGTAAGCTACACAATGGTTTCCATTCGGATTACAGAATGGTAGTTTGCAATTTATTTTGTTAACCAACTCTTATTTGATATTATATAAGTATTAAAAGATGAGCCAGCAATTAGGTTTCATAATTACTTGTATCAAAAGTTGGTGAACTCTAAAAAAGAAAATAACTTATAGTGACTTGTTAGAAGGCATTGGACCACTTCAATGTTGAATTTTTTTTTCTGATCAGTGTAAACATGCCAACTTGTAAATTGCACGAATTTAAATTTGTATGAGAACATGGCAAGTGTGATCACTAAAGGATCCAAAGAATCTCACACAACAAGGTATGCGTATAGTATAAGGTGAATAATTTGTCAGTGCTACTGATCAGAAGATTGAGTCAAAGCTTAATGTTCGTGACTTACAAGCTATTTACGAGGCGTTTTCTGTAAGTTATTATGTGCTATCTATCTACACATGAAGTTGAAAGGAAACGGTTATGACAATAAATTAAGACTGACAAAAGAACAATTCGTTGAAGCTATGAGTTTGCTGCTAAGTCGTGGCTCACGTCAAGAGGTAGACCAAAATGCTCTCTTTCATTTCCATTAAGTACAAGGATTTGTTTGACAAAATTGATATAACTTCAGATGGTTTTGTTGACTGGGACAAATTTGCATCTCATTTATTACTTGAATTTTATGAAAGAGATGACAGACAGAAGACTCTAAGCATACCTCAATGGAGAGATATGAAGTCAATCAAAAGGTTTTAAATTCCTTTATTTTATAACTTTTAAGCCCCCACAAAGACAATATTCAGAAAATCGTATTTTTAAGAAACATGTCGCGATATCTGTCCATCAGCAGGGTGAGCGAATTTCAAGTTTTTAAATCTAACCATGATTTATCAAAAGGAAGGACTTGCTGCTCTTTGGGGAATAGATCTGAAACCACATGGTACAGCTAAAGTTTCCACTGAATCATGTAGGCCAAGAGACACCTTCGTAACAGATTTTGTTGTGATGCCAAATATTAACAAAGTTGCTATAGCCTTCACAAGCAAGGAGATAGGTTGGTAATTATTTCTTGGAGAGGTATCTGTTTTTAAGCATTCTGTAACTTAAGTGTAAAAATGGACTTATTTTGTCCTATAAAACTTTGCGGTATCACTCACACACCTCTCTGCCTAGATCACTGGTAAGTGAAATATATTTACTGCTTAATTTAAGGCATAAACCTGAAAACCCGAATGATGCTTTATTAGCTTGGGGAGATACCGGTGGTTACCTCAACGTTTTGTTCTGGACACATGCGTCAATGGCATTATTCGACAAGCCCACAAATTTGTCCACAGAAAAGGAGGGTAAGTCTGATGTATGATTTTTGATCTTGCTATTTTTTCGTGTGACGAAACTGATATTTATAAATCACTTATGGTTTGTTTTTACTGGTGTAGTTTCACTAACGTATGATGATATTTTGTGTTTTTTGCTATTTGGTATTGAATAATTATTAGCAATTTTGGTTTTACTTAGTGTTACTGGTAATTGAAGTTTTTTTTACTAAACTCTTGTTGTTTCTGTTGTCATTTGGGTTAATTAAGGTGATGAATGGCATGAAAATACCACAAACACATGTTTGTCCACGAAACGTGTAATTTCAGTATAAAAGAAGTAGGACAAGCACCATGGGTTCTTTGACGTTTAATTAAAATTTTTCATTTAGTTGAAAAACCCTAAAAAAGGAATGAATTTATACCTTATAGCAGATCACTAAGTGGATTAGCTATCGTAGTGTCTTGAATTTGATCAGTGACAAGAAGCTCGATTTACCGCCACTGCTCTTCATATAATTGACTGGAAACCGATTTATAACTCCTTTTATAGGCAGCTTTTCAGTTTTAATGTGCGTCAGCAATCACATAGTCTGAGTTATTCATAAAGCCTTATTCAGAGTGATAAGCTGACTCAAATCTGGGTTTTTGGATTTGAAGTATCTCAAATGATAAAGGTTATTAGTCACATCTATTTAGCCTTTATCTACCACCAGAAAATATCTTGGAGTGAATTATTTTGTAAAGGTTATGGAAGCTTTAAAATCTTCGCCCTAATAAGCTCTAATTTGTGTAAAACAAGTCGCTAGTTAAGGAACTGTTTAAAGCTGTGACCTTAAACTGGTCGAAATGCGGATAAAGACGCTTTTCAGACACCTGAGTATTTGTTCAATAGCAGTAGAAAGTTATTTCAACTTAAATTGGTGTTGGAGGACTGGATAAGAATTTAATGAAATGACAACAGAATGAAAGAAATATGGGTTAAAAGATAATGAGGTTATAATTGTGTGAGTATATGACTAACGAAACGTTGGCAGTTTTAAAAAAGGACAGTGATTTTCTTTCCACTGAACCGAAAACCAGGTTTTTAAATGGTCTTAAGGTACTAATGAATTTAATCCATCTTTAGTTATCTGTTACTAGATAAAGGTAACTAACTTTTCATCTCCTAAAAATTAAGTGTAATTGCAAAAGAAAGAATTCTTAATTAAACTGATGTATTTCTATTTATTCAGTGACATTTTAGTAAGGAGGTACTAGGAAGTGAGTCTAGTAGATTTACTTCTTTTTACAGTTAATATTGAAATTTAAAAAGTGTAACCCATCTATTATGTGGTTCTTTTTCGACTTTTTTTAATGACAGTGGAGATGTGGCTTATTGGATTATGTATGGACTTGGTTTTCAGCTGATGAGTTGTAGGTTCAAATCTCACTCTACCCATTTCAGTCTAAGTAAGTAGGTAGTCTCATTGACAAGTATGGCTCATATTAGCATAGTACAGGAAAAATCTGTTCCAAGTAGTAGTCACCCAGTCACAATCAAAAAGTAAATTCGCTATGCTGGTCTACTAATATTTTCTATCTCAACCTGCAATCTAAGTTTTTACAACTTAACTGCTTTTGCCGTAGTACAGTAGAAATCACAGTTTGTCAGTTCAACATGTTAAAGGTTTTTCTCATTGAGGTTCTTTATAGCAAATCATTATTAACTGAAAGAAACAGAGAATGTTGTCACTTATTGTTAAGTGCAGCAACCAAACTTGAAAGCTTGTAGTCGGAACGCTGAAAACAAATCCTTGCCTTCTACTGTATAGCCAACCGAAACTTTAGATGGTTAGAGGCTATCGGCCACTGGAAGACATGTCAGGACCTAGGTTTCGTGCTAGTTGGCACTCACCAGTCACCAAGGCGTATCTGCAACCTCAATGGAACTCATGTCTCTTCTGAGATTCGAACCCACGTCACCCAATGCTGCAGTCAGAGACGTTACTGCTGGGCTATTCGGGCTCGCGACTGACCTCTTGTAGGACTTGTAGGTACTTTGATTGGACACAAGTAACTAGTGAGATGCGTACGGACTGAATTCTATTAGTGAGGTTTGCGGCACTGGGTGATGCGAGTTCGAATCTGAGAAGGGACATGAGTTCCTTAAAGGTTGTAGATACGCCCTTCTGACGGGTACCAACTAGCACGAAATCCAGGCCCGAGACTTCCTTCGATCGATTGCCTCCAACCATCTAGAATCAAGAATTCAAAGTGCACAATGAAGGTGAGCTACCTAGAACGGTGATCATATTGCAAACGTGACTGATAGAATTTAGTCTGCATCAAAGAAAGGACAAGACATACCACACTGGTTACCAATGTCCACTGGAAGTAATTGAAAATTTCTTAAGTTATGCATTCTCCCAATGTACTATGACGACAGCTATTCGCAACAAAATCTGTATTGCTATTTAACAAAAATAATAACACACTGAAAACTCAAAATTACCTCAACAATAACGCTAGCAGCTAAACAGATCCAGTAGTTTCTCAGATGCTAAATAAGTACAATAAAACTATTCAACCAAAGTCAGCTGTAAGAAGTACCTAAGGATTAATAAGAGTATTTCAAATAAAGTAGGATCAAAACTCCATCAGCAAGCAACACTCGGCTAATGCTTTCCTCAGACAATTCAAGATCAACATCCCCACAGTAAACCCTGATTTCATCCTAACAGAATCACGGCTGCAAAATAACAACACCATATCAACCTCACCACACAATCAGAAAGAAAAGCATTTAAATTAGGGATTAAATAGGCGATATACGAACGTTAGAACGATGATATACAGTCTAGAAGAAAAGAGAGCAATAATTACAAAGTTGGAAAGAAGGGAACATGAATTTCAGCAAATATATCTTTCCGGAGATTTCATTTTCAAAAGCTGTACAATCTCATTTAAATACATAAATTTACATAGATAAAGTCTTTATTTGATTCCACATAATAACGAAGGCGAATAAAGGACGACAAATATTTTCAACTAAATATGGTTTATGAGAGGCTTAGAAACAAAATTACACAGGATTACGACGAATTACAAGTGTGTACAAAATGAGCATGGAAACAAATTGTACACACCTGTAATTCGTCGTAATCCTGTGTAGTTTTGTTTCTAAGCCTCTTGCAAACCATATCTAGTTGAAAATAATTGTCCCCTTTTATTCGCCTCCGTAGTTATGTCAAATCAAGCAAAAAATTGTATCTATGTAAAATTATGTATTTAAATGCGATTGTACAGCTGCTTTTAAAAATGAAATCGCCGAAAAGGCAGATATCTGTTTGCAGAACTTCGTGTTCTCTTCTTTCTAATTACAAAGTTAGCTGAAGCATCCAAATAAGTACCAAAACTGAAAACTGATCGTCCAGGAAGGATTTTCCAAATAATTATTCCATTGCATTAATTGTCAATACAGAATCATAGATTAAACAATATTATATTAGGAAGCGATTAAATTGATACAAGTAGTAATATGAAATGCAACCTGATAAATCGAACAGTCAGTTTTTTCTGTTCCAAAGGTACTACCTTTCATCCTGTTGTTCTGATTATTTCATCGTTGCACCCTTTGACTCTGCCACTGAATCTCGAAAGATGAGACATTCTAGTAAGTGTAATTAATTATGAGAGTTTCATTTTCTATAGTTCGGTTTGTAAGGGTTGGTTATGTTCTTACGAGTCGATCACGGATTGATATCAGTTAGAGAACCATTGAAAACCAGGGAGTACTGGACAGCTGCTGTTTCATCCTAGTTTGGGAATCATCGGCAGTACGCAGCCACTGGGATTCGAACCCAGGATCTTCCGGCTACAAGGCAAGCTCGTGAGAAGTCGTGACCAGTGAGGTCCAATTAGATGTCACGTGTGTCGATGGATGTCCCACCTACAACAATGTTTGGGGTCGCGCTAAATTACGAATTGGTAGAAGTTAGAATTCATGAGCCATTGAATCGGGTCCCAGTGGCTGAATGGTATACAAGCTTGCCTTGTAACCGGAATGTCCTGGGTTCGAATCCCAGTGGGTGCGTACTGCCAATGAGAGTTTCAGTCAGTCTGCTTCCTAAATCCCGATATTTTCGTTTATTCAACTGAAATAATAAGTTTACAGTGCATTGCACAACTGATGTGTAAGTCATATTATACTGATTTAATTGTTGTTCATTGGTATGCTCGCATAAAACCTTCAAAATTTTGAAAGTTACACCTTGTAGAGTTGTAGTTTTATAATAGTGTAACTTCTCAAATTAGGATGGAAGAATCATACAGTTGTGCGCGTCGGTGGCACAGAGGTAGAGCGCTCGCCGACCACGCATGCGGTCTGAGGTTCAACCCCCGGCCACTGACACACTCCTTTACCTCGGTAAGCCAAAAATAAGACTAGTAAAGATGGAAGGTTTGGCATGAAGCGGCTAGCAACCCCATCCTGAAAATATAATCAACACTGCTATTGAAACTTCTAGCCTCTAGGTTGAAACAGCCCTATGTTCCACTGGGAACGTAAAGGAATAAAAAAGAAATCACATAGTTGTATACTTAATTTTTAATGGCTTTATTCTAGATGATATCAGCCTTACAAAATAATTCATCCTGATGTTAATTAAATCTAAATTATTATATGAAATAAGCGTAGAGAAGACGTAGATGATGGAGACCTCTAACCAATCAACCAACCAACAACAAGAAGCACCGGTCACTATAAACAGAAGAAATTTGAAAGAGGTCATTCCCCTCATTTATCTAGACAGCATCGTTTCAATTCCACTGTGGATAAAATTTGTTTTGATAAAGTCTCATAGTGGTATTATACCGTAATATTTACTGATGACTACGTTTCCAGCACAGTTTACTACTGCGCATAATCATATGAAGGTACTCATACAACTTTCCAACTTCGTTTACATGATTTCTAAAAGAATATTTCGTCTGACTTTTTACATTAAGAAGTTAAGGCACTCGGACATAATTCAATCCCTCCTGTTAAAGTTTGTCAACTCGTACATCTTACCTATTCTTCTTTACTGTTCACCCTTATTCTTTCCTCGATTGCTTAAAAAAGACTATGTCACAATTCGTAGAACTCTGAATACTATCAGTAGGACGAGTGGTATCCCATTGGGCTATATCGTTGACATTGTCACTGATAATCACTTGATGTCATGCAACAAATTCGCTGAAGGAATTTTGTCAGACTCTGAGCACATACTTTACCCGCAGCTCCAACCTTGTGTCTCCTCAGGTGAAACAAGAAGTCTTTTCAGAAGAATTTATGCACGTACTTCTAAGTATAAAAATTCCACTATACCATATTTAGCACATACTTTATGTGATGAAAATAGTGTCAGGCAGGTTATTATTATTATTATATTATAATATTTAATAATCTCAATTCGTTCTTCGAATATTTTTGACTTTATATCGTAAACGTGGACAAATTCCTCTCGTTACTTTTGTTTTAATCTTTAATTTTATTTACATTTTAAGTAAATCAGATGCAATATTGTGACAACTGCTGAGAATTCCATTCTGTATTATAAGTATTGTTTTCGGAATAAAGTAGATTATTATTATTTCTAATCTCCTGACTTGATTGGTAGTAATATTTTCCATGTTTGTGGTATTTGCGTGTTGCATGTGTTGGGTGTAGATTCTATGAACAAAAATTCGACAATCAACGTCTCTCTCTCCACCTACCTATATTACTTCTTAGAATTTTAACCTTCTCCCATCCTATTGTGTGGTTGTGTGTTAATGCATGCAGTGCTATTGCTGAGCTTTCTTCTAAATTACTAATCTTCTCAGGGTCAGCCATCCTTATCTTAACTAAATTCTTATGTTCCGACAATCTGATTACCCCCGATCTACTAGTTTGACCTATGTAGTTGACCTCACAGTCATTACAAGGAATTTTGTAAATTATATTATTTGGTTTAATGGGTCAACCGGGTCTTTTAGCCTACAGAGCTTGTCCTGTCTGAGTGAGTTTGTAGGTTTGAATGCCACCCTAATTCCTGCTTTAATAAGAATCCCACGTCGGATTTCAGATGTCCCCACCTTATATAGGAAAACTGTAAATATCTTGTATTCCTTCTTATTTATGTTATCACTATAAATTTCACCATTATATTTATTTTGCTTCTGATCATTTTTGATATTCCTAATGAATTTTATAGGATAGTTATTTAACAGCAACGGCTCTTCTATCTGTTTTATTTCATCATTTAGGTTTTTTGTTGTATTAATTAGTGCTACTGCTCGGTTTGTTAGACACTTAATTAAGCCTGCCTTTCCAGACAACGAATGAGATGAATTAAATTTTAAATATCTGTTAGAATGCGTTGGTCTTTTATCAACGCTAAAGTGAAGGCTACCTTCTTCTATTCGTTTTATTTTACAATCTAACATGAGAGCTAATTCTCCTTGTTCATTTACCGATTCAAATGTGAATTTTATTCCCTCTACTAGTGAGTTTATATGTGTCAAGAAGTTAGAGATATGTTCTGTTTTTAACACTGTGAAAGTGTTATCCATGTATCTCCACCATATTTTGGGAGTAGAATTAAATGTATTAAGAGCAATATTTTCCCAGCTGTTCATAAAGATATCTGCTACGATAGGGGATATTGGTGATCCCATTGCTACACCTTCAGTTTGTCTATGTATTTAGCCTTGGAATTTAAAAAGAGTAGACGTGAGGCATAACTGAATTCCCAAAATAATTTTCTCAATTGGCAGCTCTGTCCTATGATTAAGTTCGGGATCAGCGGTTATTTCTCGTTTGGCTTCTTCTAAGGTCATATTGATTGGGATATTAGTATAAAGACTAGTTATATCAAAACTAACCATTGTTTCCTTATTCTCTAGTTAAATGTCATTTAGTTTCTTTTTCATCTCATATGAATTAGTTAGCCCAGAGTTTGAACAACATCTATAATATTAGAGCCAAATGTTTTGATAATTCATAAGTGGGGATATTTCTGAAATCTACTGTTGGTCGTATGGGACAACCTGGCTTATGTATTTTAATAGTACCATATAATCTACTCGCATTATTAGTCTTAGGCATTAAATTAAACCATTTAGACCCACCCAGTGACGACTCTATTCTGTGTAATAAATCCCCTGTAGATTTCTTAACCTTATTCATTATTGTATCTACAGGCTTCTTAATTTCCTCATATGGACCCGTTTCAATATGTTCAGTGACTTTCTTGATATAGTCAGATTTATCCATAACTGCTGTTGAGTTTCCCTTATCAGCCTTTGCAATGACAATGTTTTTATCCCGTTTTAGATTTCGTAAAGTTTGATTTTGCTTTCTTTTGATTTTTCAGGGTTAACGCACATTGTGCTCGAAACTTTTCTGCTGTCGTCTTATCTATTGAGCTTAATGCTACTTCTATGTGCTAGGAATGACATCCTCTGGTTTTATTTGACTAATTGTTACCTTGAAATTTAGTCCTTTCTCAAGTACTTTTATCTCACTAGAGCTTAGTTCCTCTGATGAGAGATTGATCACCCACTTTGTTCTGTCAATAGAGGATGAAACGTTGGCGTCAAATTCCTCATTTATTGTGTTCTTTTCTTCTATTAATTTGTTGAATTTTTAATTTGTGTGGTTTTTGATTTTCTTAATGCTGTTTCTCTAGCTTTCTTGGATGTTTTACAACAATTTCATAATTTCTGTCATTGATCATACATTTGAATTTGTATTTGAGCTTTTCAATTTCATTTCGTTTATTGTTTAGTTTTATAATAATTCTATGTAGTTCTTCTCTTAGACATAATCTGCTGACATATTCCGCTGCTGATGTTATTTTTTCTGAAGTTACTGTAGTACGTAGGCGTAAGTATTTAGGAATTATATGATTTTCTAAATATTGACTGTTAAAAATCCAATGGTTTGTGATTCGTCATCAATCAGTATTAATGTATAACACTGTGACTTTATCAAAATAAATTTTATCCCCCAATGGAATTATACTCTACCACAGTGCACAAGTTCCATCTTTCTATCGGTATCGTTTCAACTGTGGGCGACACAGATGAAGATGTCAAAAGTAGAATCGGAAAGCCAAGATACATTTTCATTATTCTGAAATCAGTTTGGAAATCCACTGCACTCAGGAACATAAAGAACCAAAATTCGGATTTCCAATACCAATGTTACGTCAATCAGTCTTCTATAGTGGAAAGAGACTTTCACTGTGTGTCACGTTAAAGCGTTTCAAGCAGCCAACTGCAGACTTTTATCAACAGTTGTCTTTGTTGGCTCCATACTGAGGTTCAGATGGGCGGAAAGAGTTGTGAGCGAGAAGCACTAGGAACGAACCAATCAAGAACCTGTTGTTTAATGAATATGTGGAAGATAATGGCGATGGAAACGGTTGGGAGACATTTCGCGCCAAGCAGACCCTTGATTGGAACTCGAACGGGAAACGACGGGTTGGGAGACAGTCCGAGTGTGATATGGAGGAGATCTTGTGAAGAGGAGATGAGAACTTATGGGCAATCATTGGGGCCAGCTGAAGAGGAGGTCTGCAGAGGACAGGATAAACTAGAGATGTGTTCCACCCTCAACCCAAAGGAATAATAATATTATATTTTAAATTTTTGCCCCCTTTTTCTCTCTCCTTAGAGTCAACATTCAATGTCTCTTTGAATGATGTTATTCAAAAGAAATCAAAATTTGTTTCATTTCTACGTTTACGTATACATACAGACTGGGTGCGTAAAGGTGAGCTGATTCCTGTTTAGGCATGTATGTACTACACTTATTCTGTCTTATATACTTTTCAGTAATGTATGTTCCTCAATTAGAAGCTTTTATTACATGTGCAACAGTATGGAATAATTCAATGGTTATTACTTGGCTGGAGAAGTTACCATCAAATGCTAGTATAGCCAGAAATCCAAATGCATTGTATGTTATTTGTTTTTTTTTATTTGACTATTCTTGTTAAATTTTAAACTCCTGATAAACTCTTAAAAAGTATATTTTTCTAGTTTAAATTACATTTCCCGTTGGTTGATTATGTTGGAGTGAAATGCTTATTCGCTTTTGATATGTGTAGATTGTTAGTAAAGACCTCTAGATGGTGTCTAAGAATTAAAATGGTGTTATTTAGGTCGAGGAATCCAGGGTGTAAATTTCGTCCTATTTGGGACTTAGAATACAGGTATATCTACTAGCTGATGAGTCCCAAATAGGACGAAATGCGCATGCAATGGAGTCTACTGCGAGTCACTATACAGAAAAGTTTATACGGTGGACAAGAAGATTCATAAATCTTGTGAATCATTTTATAATGGATACGATTTATTTTAAGTTTGACGGCGAATCAGTATCACTAGAGAACCACTGAAAATCAGCGAAGAGTACTGCTAGACTGCTGTTTCATCCTACCTTATTAATCTTCAACAGTATATAATCACCACGCCTCGAACCCAAAACTATTCCTGTAACAATGACACCTCGTAGACTATTCAGACACTGGGAACCGATTCAGTCGTCACCCCATGAATTCCAACTTACACCGATTTGTGATGTTAGTGCGACTGTCACTAACAAATGTTATCCGTGGCGAGTATTTGTCCTCACTTCCGACCTGGTGGACCACTATGGTCACGACTTCTCATTAGAACTTCAGACAACTCCATACTGTAGCAAGTCGCTAGTGAGCATCAGATTAATTTTCAAAAGTTTGTTTTGTAGTGATTCGACTTGTCTCACGAATACTCACTGATGACACTGACTGGTGGTCACGCTGAAATCACGAACTGGTAAGAGTTAGAATTTATGAGCTGAATATTGGATGGGGTAGGTATCAGCGTCCACTGGGGTCCATCAGGTCGGAAGTGAGGACAAGTACTCGCCGTGGATGACATTGGCTGGTGACAGTTATTCTATAAACACGAATCGGTATAAGTTGGAATTAATCTGGTGACGACTGAATCTGTTTCCAGTGTCTGAATGGTCTACCGGATGTCATTGTAACCGGAATAGTTTTTGGTTTGAGGCGTGGTAAGTGTATACTGGTAAAGATTCGCAAAGCAGGATGAAATAGCTGTCTAGCAGTACCCCTTGTTGGTTATCAGTAGTTGTCTAACTGGCATCAATCCGTGATCAGACTCAAATGCGTTAATTTGTTTTGCTGTGTACACTAAATGGTGTGTATAAGCTGAAGAAACGCTGGGAGAAGTATTCGTTGAAAGAAAGTGATACCATGTTAAATTCTATGTCATAAATATGCCGCAAACACCTGATAAATTTTTACTTTAAACCAACTGGCTTGTGTGTGTATATTGACATGTGTGAATATATTACACAGAAAATACATAACTGCTGAAATCTTCAGTTAGAACAACTTTTGGGTGGTTCTAGAATACTCCAATGTAAAGAAAGAACTAATTGGCTTCCATGTATTATTCTAATATTTACATATTATATATTTTTAATACAGACATTTAAGGTGTCTCTTCAGAGTTTTATATTGTTAAAGGCGTATTTCTTTATGCGGATATTCTGAGGGAATGAGAATTCGAGCTACACAACATATAGTTACAGAGTTTCTGAAAAGTTAGTTCCCAATTCTCCGGTTGTCTCTAGATGATGTTATGTGATGGTGATAAGTGTTGGAGTAGAAGTTTGGATCCAAAACTTCGTGTTATCCAGCCACCATTCTTGTAGATATCTAAATGCAGAATTAGACTGCTAAAACAGCGGTCGCTACCCCGAATCCTGCTACCATGCATATTTGTTTTCAAACTTCAACCATTATTATTCCTTCGTATTCCGAGTGGAAAATAGGGCTTCAGTTGCACATTTCCATTTTGTGCTGTTCCGTCGAGTCCTCTGCAGTTGTCTGCACGACTGCCTATAAACTCCCATGTCCTCCACTCACGATCTCCTTCATATCATCATTGGACCCTCACCCAACTCATTGTTTTCAATTCAGGTTTCACTCGAGGACCCGGTGTGCGATGTCATCCAACGGTCTCCTTCGCGCGTGTCCGATCCTTCTCCGTTTTCTTTGGAGTATGTGTTGGACAATAAATTCGGCGTTCGATCGTTCCCAGAGTTCCTTGATTATTTATCCTTTCTGGTCACCTCATTTTCAGTGTGCTGCCAGTAGAGGCAGCTGCTACTTATGGAAATTTACAACAGCCTGTTATAAATGCTTTTCATGAAATGTCAAGTCTCTGAACTATATTGAATCGCTAACTGATTTGACTTTGGTGTTGAAAATCCGAATCTTGTTCACTGCTCTGAGTGAATAAGATTTTCACACGTATTTCAGACTAATGAAGGTCTGCCTTTTCATTCCAGCCCTGATTTTGAAATCCTGATCCATTATGCATGTAGCTGAAACGACGGTGTAAAGATAAGTGAAAGAAGTGACCTCTTTCAGATTTCCATTTTTGGTGCTGATTGGTTCTCATAGTTGTTTGATTTTCGGGTATCTTCCTTTATTTTTGTCTTCTAAGTGTTTACCTGAAATCCTGTCTTTTCCTACTGCATCTGCCAACTTGTTGATTTTCACCCGTAGATCTTCAGCTGAAGCGTCCATGAAGTCTACATCTTCTAGAGTCTTCTTATCGGTTTGACTTATTCCTGTCTTCTTACTCCCCATGGTCTGCCAAATGGTCAAACTCACCAGGGTTAAGAATATCTTCAGTGATAGTAGACAGCACTGTCTTACTGCTGTCTTCACTTCGAAATCATCGCTGAGTTTTCCTCTAGGGGTCATTTGACATAAAGCATTGCCATATAGCTGTTAAATAAAGGCTGATAAAGGTTTGGGGTGCTCCACAGTGTGGAAGTAGTTTCCAAATAACTTCATGGTCACCAATGTCGACAGCTTTTTCGATTTGATCAATCTGAGGTAGATATTTGATTTTGCCATTCTATTCTGTGTCCGATGATGAAGCGAAGACCTATATAAATATTCTAACATATGAAAAGGCTCTTTTGTAAATTGAGGTGATTATCAACCCCTATTGTTTCTATTTTTGAATAAATGGGAATTCTTATTTTCTTCATTTTCAGTTGTGAACCAAGAGTGGTATCACGTCGGTAAGTGAGTTGTTAAATCACTAATCCTCATTAGTAGATTATATATTTACGTTTTTCAAGTCTGTTGTTGTTGCTGAACATATATATGTTTTAAATAACACTTAGAAGAAGATTGAAATCCAGGATAGTTGTTTTGTCACATCCTTCTAATTCTGTTTCGTAACGAGTTCTATTCTCAAATAGATGAAATGTTCATAAACGCAACGTGTGAATATTGTTCAGGCTTTGTACATAGGTTGTACTTACTTCTAATCAGTCTGATTTGACGTTATATAAGCATCGGAGCACTTTAATAATAATAATAACAACAATAATAATAATGGCTTTATTCCAAACAGTATTTGTGGTACAGATATGGAATTTTCAGCGTTCATTACAATATTGCATCTAATTACCTCATAAATTTTATAAGGATTTAGAAATATAAAGCAACAACAACAAAAAGAAAAAAGAGAAATAAAAGAAATAAAATAAAAAAGAACAGCATTACATTCACATATTTAAACAGTGCACCACAGGATACGATATATAAAATTAGTCTGTAATAGAATATATGAGCAACAATATAATAGTAACAAAGAAAGGAGAACAAAAGCTAATGGGAACTATTTGTTAGAGTTCCGCAGTAAGTTGATCGTGTCATGCCTAACAGTTTTCTCATCATATAACAGCTGTGCCAGATAAGGTATTGTGGAGTTTTTGTACTTGGTAGTCCTGGCATATAGCTTCCTATAGTTGCTTCTAGTTCTACCAGATGAAATGCAAGGAGAGAGCTGCGTATGGAGAGGGTGTTCGGGGTCTGACAATTTGGATTCGCTAGTTTCTTACATGACATTATATGTCTATCCACAATTGTGTTAACCAGTTGGTTTAACGAAATCCCACTTCCCCTACTAACAGCTTTTAGTGCCCTATGCAGCGAAGCAAAGTCTTTCTTAAGTAGTCCAGGGAAGATTAATGGGGAGCAGTAAAGAGGGATGGGTAGAATACAGGAATTGACAAACTGAGAAAGCAAAGACTGCTTTATACCAGACTGCCTAAACTTCCTAACGTAGAACGTTAAGCGAAACATCTTTCTAGTCACTAGCAAGATGTGAGAGGACCAGGAAAGATCGGAGGAAATACTCAGTCCAAGGTACTTGACATTAGATGTAGTTTCAACCTCTATGCCGTCAATGATAGTGGGACCATGTGAGCTAGCTAGTTGTTGAAGGTCACTTTTTCGTCTGAAAGTAAAATTTACTACCTGACATTTAGACGGATTCAGCTTAAGACCGTTTGAAGAGGACCACTGACTAATTTCCGACAGAAAGTTATTTAATATGGAACAGTCTGACTGAGAGTTGACAGACATGGAGACAGAGAGGTCATCAGCATACTTGACAAAAGTGGCTACATCAGAATGGGGCAAGTCATGTAAGAAAAAAGAAAACAGAAAAGGAGAAAGAACAGCACCTTGAGGAACACCAGCTAAAGTAAGTGAGGCAGTGGAGGACTTTCCATTGTAGACAGTGTACTGCTTCCTATCAGAAAAGTAGGAATACAACCACTTATACTTACATACACTGAAATAAGTAAATTACAAAACTTGTTTGTTTGACACAGTTCACAATTATTCAACAAAATATTTAAAAATTCCGAAAGAAAATTAAAACAGATAATATATTTAGACTGCAACAAATATGCGGGAAGAAATGGAGTTGGATTAGCCATACTCTGAGAAAAGAAACCATCAAGTGAGTGGCATCACACGCCAGTCCATCGATCGAGTGGAACCCGAATGGGAAGCGGCGAGTTGGTCGTCAGTGCAAGGGTGGCATGGAGGAGAAGGTCATGCGAAGAGTAGATGAAAACATATGGGCAGACGAAGAGGCAGGTGAAAACATTGGTGCAAAACCGAACTCAGTTGAGACGTGTGGTTAAAGTCCTATGTTCCTCTAGGAACTAGAGGAAACAATAATAATTAGCTGAAATATTATCCACTGATTTCGAATAACTATGATAAATTAAATTCATACACTTTGTAACAGTGTTTTACAAAAAATCACGAATTGGTAGAAGTTAGAATTCATGCATTGGCCATTGAATCGGTGGGTCACAGTGGCTGAATGGTATACGAGCTCGCCTTGTACTCGGAAGGTCCTGGGTTCTAACTCCAGTGTGTGCGTATTGCCGGTGATTCCCGAACTAGGGTGAAACAGCTGTCCAGTACTTCCTGTGGCTGATTTTCAATGGTTCTCTAACTGATATCCATCCGTGATCAACTCGTAAAAACAAAACTGACCCTTACAAACCAACTATGGAAAACGAATTATATCTGGCAAATGTTATTTCAGATTACCTTTAATTATTTATCTTAGGTCTTTACTTTCTTATCACCGATGATATTCTTAATTGTGGTGGATTGGATTATGCGTCAGACTGTCGGGGGCGAGGAGTCAGGAACTCGCTGGACGACCAATAAGAAGACTCTAGAAGATCTGGATTTCGCGTGCGGATGATATATGACTAATGGCACACAAACTCGAGGAATTGCAAGCGAAAACCAACAAGCTGGATGGAGAGGCAGCGAAAACAGGACTGTGGGTGAACACATAGAAGACGGAGGTGATGAAAATAACCAACTAACAGCAACAACAATAACAACAACCAGCACCAATCACCATCAACGGGAGGGATTTAACGGAGGTTACCTCCTTCGCTTATCCGGGAGGCATCTTTTCAACTACAGGCCAGTGGAACGGAAAGGCAAGATACGCACTCCTTCATCAACCTGAAATAAGTTTGGAAATCCTCCGCACCCAGCATAAGGAACAAGATTAGCAATTTCAACACAAATCTGAAGTCGGTTCTTCTGTACGGGTCAGAAACTCGCACTGAGTGTCACGAAAAGGATTTCCAACGGTCGGTTGCAGACTTTTATCAAGAGATGCCTTCGCTGGCTGGAATATCAAATAGCCAGGAAGAATAAGCAACAAGAAACTATGGGAGCAAACCAACCAAGAGCCGATTGCTCAACAAATATGTAAGAGAAAATAAAGACGGATTGGGCATACATTGAGGAGATCGCCGAATGACATCGCACGCCAGGCCCTCGAGTGGAATTCAAATAGCAAGCAACGAGTGGGTCGTCGGTGCGAGGTTGACATGGAGGAGATCGTGTGAGGAAAGATGAGAGAGTTTGGTCAATCGTGGACCCAGATGAAGACGACGATAGAAGATAGGACAATGTGGAGATGTGTTGTTGAAGCCTTATGTTCCACCCGGAACGCAAGGGAATAATAATAAACAATATAATAATAATTCCTTTACTTTCTGAGTGGAACATAGGACTTCAAGCTAGAGCTTTGAAGTTTTGGTAGTAGTAGTCCTATTTCTCCATGGTAGAGTTACTACATTCAGGCCCCATCTTCCCTCCTTACTGGCCTTATTACAGGCTTAGAGAAGTCAAGCAGTATGTCGGCTGGATATCGAACCCCAGATGACGTGAGACCTGGTTGGCGAGTGGTCTACCTCTGAACCACCGAAGGATCAAATTCAAAATTTTGCAAAGATATTCTTGATTCGTAGTTCGCGCAGTTCTAGGAGATGAAAGCTCACAACATTTTTTCTTTTGGAAATCGAAATTATTAAGATCACAGTATGTGATCTGTTTGTTACCCACAGATGTCAGTCAAGAAAGCAAACATAAGTGGATTATGGTAATATGCAACTGATTGATTGAGATGAATAGTTGAATACCACTCACATCAACCTGTAGTGTCTGAACATTGGACGGCCGACTTTTCTCGTTTCGGAGGGAAGTCATCAGCGCTGTATCCGTTTCACCGAGCTTAGAGAGACAAATCAGTTTAAACCAGGTGAATTCTGTCTAGCTACTTGAGTGAACTGATAATACGTTGGATAAAATTCACAATTTACAAATCAATTTAATTCTAGGAGATAAAATGTCATCAAAGTTTCTTTGGAGATCGAAATTTTGAGTATATGAAACATTCAAAAATAGTTGAATAATGAATAATAGACTGACGTTGAACCATGTCACTTACTTTGTAACTGAAGGAATCTAGACAAGTTATCATTAAGTGATGTGATTAACGATGTGAAATCAATTATGCAAGTCGTTTATGTTGTCAAAATAATAATGCATATAGTGTTGTAATGGGAGGAGAGGAGAGACTTGGTAACAGAATAGTCTATTAGCAATGTGATATGGACATATATTGGAATCATGTATACCGTATATTAAAATTACCATTTGCCCAGATCTGTGTTGTGCTAATTCTGGCCATCGAATTGAGTTTCTCTGTCTTCTTTTCGTGTCTCCTATATTTTTGCGCAACACTGAATCATTTCCACTCTTTGTTATCAAATCTATCTCTCCGCTATTTGATATTTTCGTGCCAGAGTGTCTCTTTATATGCTACTGACAGACGTTGTCAGTAGCACATTCCATAGTGTTAACTGGTCAGTGGTATCTAGTTCTCAGACTTGTCCTATTTGGGATTCGTGAGGTGGATGTACTGCATCCTCAACAACTGATATTGTTGTCTTTAATGAAACTTGTACTCAGCTCCCATCGTTTTAAACATCAGAGTACTATGCACTAAGCCAGTAGGCCACGACAGCCACCTCTTGTGCAGTGAACGTTAGCTGTTATTTGTTGGAGGTTTTTTATCGATTTTCCATTGACTTGTTATACTGGGGCTGAATGCTCGTCATCCGATGATGAACCCCAGATAGGACAATTCTACTACTAGTCATTGTTTTAGCGTTTGTAACACAAGCTGAAGTGTTAACACAGACCAAAGATTTAAATCGAATTTCAACAAGTAATCCCTGCTAAAGGTATATGAATTTAATTTAATAATGTCCACTGTAGCATTAGAAACACAATACTCAGCGAAGAGATTCTTTTCAACGAATTTAACATCAAGCTGTACAATTGTATATATATGGTTTTTAAGAAGTTATATCCGCTGAGGGAACTAGGTCAAAGGTGGGAATACATGAAATAATAATAGTATGAAATGCAGTTAAAATATTTTTGATTATAATCATAGTTAAATGTCAAGTAGCAAAACAATTAATGTCATATACAGAGTAGTGCATAAGGTGTATAGATGTTGGAAAGGGGTACATAATTATAGGATTAGTAGGCGAATATAAAATGTTACATAGCAGCTATGAAATTTGATAAGATAGAATTCAATATTGTAAAAAAATTTAGGTTTAGAATGACAAGTTGGACAAGTGGAAACAATTCACTGTGAGAATAGTAATAATAATCGTAGTAATGAGGGAAAGGTACATAGAATGACTAAATAAATAAATGCCTATCCCTCTGCAGTCAAGGTAGAAGTAGGGATTGTACATACTTCTTTTGTACACAAAGGTCTGGCTTAAAGGCATGAATTGCCAAAGCCTCCGCTGTCTTTAGAAGTCTGTACCGAAGAAAACGTGGCCGGCAAGTTAGCATAGATTCGGTAGATGATCTTAAAATCATGGTTAGGGTTGGTAGAGTGATAAGAGTCGATCAGGTATTCTAGAATACAGCTTCGCACACACTTCCTTTCTCCCTTGTAAAACCATGCTGGAATATGTTCTCGTATCCGTGTGAAAGGCGTTCTCTGGCTACGATCAATGTACCCTGCTCCATAAGAGAAGGTGGGCTGATAGATGCACATGGAGGTGGCCAGACGGGGGAGCTTATCTTTTACAGAGATGGAGAACAACTTGCAGCTGGTTAACGTCATTTGTAATTTCGGTGCAAAGAAAGTCTTACTGACTAATTTAGAGAGATGGTTTTTGAGCATATATGAAGTTTGATCACCTTTGAATTCCAAGTTCATGAATAAGGTTTTCTTTAGAGCTGAGTAGGTGACCAGTTTGCATTGCTTATTGTTCGTGTTTCCGTTAATAAACCGGTTCGAGTAACCGTTTTCTGCTAGTGTGGGTTTTATGAAGTTAAGTTCTGAGTCAACGCAATCAGAACTACACATGTTTCTTATCCTAAAGCAGAGCCCATGAATTAGGTTCCTGTCCCTATATATAGTCACTCAACTATAAAAATTAGTTAGTTGTCCGTTCCGTGTACGTTTTCGGTGGATAGATCTTTTGAGAGATCCGTCATTACGTCTACTAAGGCATACATCAAGAAACGGAATACTTAGTTCAGATTCCTTTTCTGTGGTGAATTGCAAAGAAGGATGGCAGTTGTTGAAAGCAAACAAGACATCATCAAGAATTACGTTATTATTGCAGATAACGAAAGTGTCGTCTAGGTATCTTTTGTAAATGTCGAAATGATCGATGGTTAGACTAAGTTGATAATTTTCAAGCTTTGCCATGAAATAATCAGCCAGCAAAGGACCCAACAGTGATCCCATGGTAATGCCATCTCTCTGTCTAAAAATCTCATTATTGAAGGTGCACTGAACATTCAACGTGCATCTCAATAAAAGTTCTTTGAGGTGGACTGTTGGCAACCCTATTTCTAAACTATGTGTATCAATACAATCACCTAATTTATTTAATTTTCAAGTATTGGTTTTGTAGGGATTTCATTTGATTGCATGGAGGACTTCATCATGAGCTGACATCAGTTAGAGAACCACTGATGAAGAGTCTCAAACTAGGACGAAACAGCTGTCCAGTACTCCCAGGTTTTCCAGTGGTTCTCTAAATGATGTTAGCTCATGGTGAAATCCTCCATGTAATTTATTTAAATTTAACCTGAATACGTAGAAATTTAATTTCTAAAGTAATAAGATGGAATTTCTCTCTTTCCTGCTACTTTTCATACATTTTAGTTCTGTGTTCACAGTACATCAAGGCATAAATGACTTTGATTTTCACGAGGGGAATAATCAAATAGCAACAGCTGGAGTTAATTATCATGTTTGTCTATGGAATCCTTATGTTGTTTCTAAACCGAATGGGGTAAGATAAAATATAATCTATCTGTGTAGAAAATATACAATAATATGAATAAATGCAACATTGAAATCTGTGAAATCATAATATTTATCCTTTAGGCAACAATTTGATTTGCATCAAAACTCTATACTACTGATTGAGCGTTGTGAGTAGTTGTATACTACTTAAATCAGCTAGTAGTGCATGTTAGCCAGTCAGACTGAAGTGATATAAACAGCGGGCTGTTTCCCTTCCTTTGATAATCGAGCTCATCAGCAGTGTATCCGGTTTGATTTAGCCCAGACAGGTAAGTCAGTCCAAAGCATCCCCTTGATTTCTGCGAAAATGAAACAGTTTACAGATGATAGATAAAATCCCTAAATATTTGAATAAGCCATTTAGAAGACAAATTTCGCGAGATGCTGTCATTTCTTAGTTTCTTTACAACCGCTTTACAACTAACATGGTTAACAATAATAAAATAAAATGCATGACAAGAACTCAGTTATATTAAACAAAAGTACATACTAATGACCAATCAAAATTAAATAGGTCAAGTAGTCAGTTCATGGTAGGCGAAGGTTGAAGTCTATTGTGTTTTGTACACATAGTTTAGGCTGTATGTGATTAATTCTCAAAGTGCTTCCATCACCTTCAAGAATATTGAATTTGAGTTATGCGAAATAATTGTGAAACAGTCAGTAATATTGATTTGTGACCTGACATTAATAAGTGCTTTGCAATGGATGATGCTGGATTTCTATTCAGATTAATTGCACTGGGATTTTCTATGTGTTTTAATAACCATTTCGGAGCATGTTCTTTTCGATGACATTGGAACATTCTATTGATTCTACCTGTGCAAACGTCACCACAACTGCAGGTGAACTTGTAGATACAGTTTGAAGTAGAGTCCACAGAACTTTGTCCTTTAATCGTAGGCACAGGGATCGAAAATGTTCGGCATCTGAGAGAAAGAGATGTGGCGTAGAATGTGCGTTTGATGGCTGACCGAAGTCCCTGAACCGTCTTTGAACTGCATAATCTGGTCACCCTTCAATGGTAGGTTAATAAAGATAGCTTTCTTTGGTACAGAAGGTGTCTTTTCTAGACGTATTCTATCCTTACTGTGACAAGTGATAAAGTTCTCCAGATAACAATTAGCTAATAAAACTGAGTGTATATGTCGAAGCTCAACCATCAACGTGTCACTCGTGCGTATTTTTCGGGCCCTTGAGAATAAACATTTCACTAGAGAACGTTTATACTGGATAGGAATAAAACTGGTGAAATGAAGATATTGTCCACGAATATTTGTTAATAGATATACTTGACAAAAAGCTGTATCCATAGACTACTTGCTTACTTACAGGTATTGGCAAAGTATATTTGCAAGCCTAATGTAGGTTATATTTCCCTACAAGATTTGAATTTCGCTAACCAGTGACGCAACCAGCGACATCACCATTAATATATTGTCTGGTAGTATTCCCTTTAGCTGGTCGGTGTAACTGGAAAGCTTTCATTATCCTTCTAGATAAAATCTTTAGTGATTACTTTAATATAAATCATTTCACACCAGTGGTGAGTGGCTAATTTTCGAATCCGAGACAGAACACAACCCCTTTTACTCTTGCAGATAGAGCCTGTTGAAAATAAGAAGCAGGCATGAAGAATAGGTGGGTCAAATAGGGATACCGGCTGATTGACTGACATTACAGTGCATCATAATATCCTACCGCCTGACTTTATTTGGCGTCAATGAGGGTAGTGACATATATATATTTGATGGCTACATCGGTTTCTGATGGGTGGGTAGTTTCTAAACACCCAGTTACTAAACAAAAAATGTATGATTTGTTCACATTCTCATTGTCAGGAGCGGTATATCAGTCTTTCGTCTTCGTTTAGAAAATTCTGTGCAAACAACCTAATAGATTTAGTATTTTTTGAGATAATCAACTTCTCATCTTCTAATGTATGGCATAAGGTAATGTCAGAATAAATACAGATTCATTATTTATTTATTTATTTAAACGCATTAAAACTTGGTACAATATGGCACCAAGAAGGATGCGCCACACAATAATAATAAAACAAAATAGATGAAAAAAAAGGAAGGAAGGCAGGAAAAGAAAAATATATATAAATAGAGAACGAATAAAGAACTTCATCTGGAAGGAAAACACTCATTCTTAACAGGTTCAAACAGTGTTCGTCAACTATCATCGGGAATGGAAGAAAGAAGGAAATCGCAAAACATTCGCCATTGATTACGATTCTTGGCCATATCCGATGACGTTTCGAGCCATCGATTTGAGCTATCTCGCTGACCCCAACCAGGGAGTCGTGACACACCAACCGATGCTAATCTAGCACAGAAATCCTTCATCCCACGACGCCACGTCATGGGATGACCACCCCTTCGCCTTTTCCATCCCGTCCCAGGGCTAGCGAACAGAGACCTGTACGGAAGCCTCTGGGGTGACATTCGCAGCACATGTCCAAGCCACCGGAGCCGGTGTTTCCAGATGACGACATTCAATGAATGGTGATCTCCACTGTGTTCAAACACACGCCGCCGAACCTCAGAATTACTCACGCGATGATGCCATCGAACGCAAGCAATCCTGCGGAGACAGCGGTGATCGAACACGCGGAGTCTCCTCACATCCTCAGCTCGGAGAGGCCAGGTTTCACAGGAGTAGAGCAGCGCAGCCCGCATCGAAGCATTGTATACCCGACCTTTGACAGCCAGGCTAACGTCGCGACGGCGCCAGAGGTGGCTGGAGTTGATGTATGCCACCCTAGCTTTCATTATACGGTTGGAAATCTCATCCGTCACCCCTCCGCCAGCACTCACACAACTACCTAGGTACACAAACTTATCGACAACTTCAAGCGGTTCACCCGCAAGAGTGAGTGCAGCTACAGGCTCCTGCCAATCTTGTAACAGTACTTTGCACCTAGACGGCGCAAAGCACATGCCATACTTACAGAGACTGATCTCCAACTGATTAAGTGTGATTTGGGAAGCCTGCATGTTATCGCACAGTAAGATGATATCGTCTGCATACTCGAGGTCGAAAAGTCTATCTCCAGGTAGCAGATCTACACCACCTTCACGCACATCCTTCAGAGCTGACTCCAGAATGTCATCGATGGCAAAGTTAAAGAGAAATGGAGAGATTGGGCAACCCTGTCTAACCCCACTGTTGGTTGGGAACAGTGGTGATAGAGAACAGTGGTGATTCAGATTGAAGATTTCAATAGATGAAATAACCTGTTATTGGTGTATAGGAATGGCTAATGTAAATAAGTAGCTCAAATCACTTAAGAAAACCTCTAATGCTTTCTGGTTAATCAGACCAAGTGATTTGAAAATGGCACAGCCGTTTTGCTTGTTTACAGTCAATGCTCACCAACAGTATGCCAAGTTTAACTCAGCTCAGACAACCGATTCCTTTCAAACTACCTGATTTCTCGCTAGCTACATAAGAAAACTGGTATTTCATAGATTTGAATTCACAGTTTGAAAATAACACAGTCTCAGGTGAAGATTTACAGTGATCTCCGATAGAAATTGAAAACATTAACATCACAACAACCAATCAACTTGATTTCATATTTTGGAAATACAAAGACCAAGCATAATCACGTTTCCGAAAGAAACTGCAGTGAATTCTCGCCAAGAACTCTGTGCAATTTTCAAGTGGAAAACTTCATTCGAACACACGTAATACTCCCAATATAAGGAAGACGAGACTAATTACAATGGATGAAACTGACTGAAAATCTACAACGTCACCTAAATTCTGAAATATTTAGCAAATGAACTCTAGGCCTTGGAAAGAATCCTTTCATCTGAGAATTTGAGATACAATCATCAGAGAGTGTAATTATTATGAAATATTTAATGGTGACAGGAACTAACATAATTGATGCTCATGAAAAGGTCACTAATTCAGTGTAATATGACTTGGATCGTGGAAACACACCCATATGGACATTAGAAAGAAGAGAACACCAAGTTCAGCAAAGATATCTTTGCGGCAGTTTCATTTTCAAAAGCAGCTGTACAATCTCATTTAAATACACAATTTTATATGGATACAATTCTTGTTTGATTCTCCATAATTACGACGGCGAATAAACGGTGATAATTATTTTCAACTAGATATGGTTTACGATAGGCTTGGAAACAAAATTACACAGGATTACGACGAATTACAGGTGTGTAAAAATGAGCATGGGAGTTAGGAGGTGCGAATATTGACTACAGGAGCCCAAGAAACAAAATTACATGGGATTATAGCGAATTACAGGTGTATAGAAAATGAGACAAAATTGAGACAAAAATTGAAATAATAATTTTGTTTCCATGCTCATTTTAACATACTTGTTATCCGTTCTCGTAAACCATATCTAGTTGAAAATAATTGTCACCTTTTATTCGCCGTCGTAATTATGTGGAATCAAACAAGAATTGTATCCATGTAAAATTATGTATTTAAATGCGATTGTACAGCTTTCGAAAATGAAATCGCCGAAAAGATAACCATTTTTGCTGAACTTCGTGTTCTCTTCTTTCTAATATGACTTGAGATGATTACTTCAGTGGAAATGTAGCCTTTGAATATTCTTGGCTTTAAAGGAAACATTCTTCCTCCTCTTATTCTATTCTTGATTCCTTTACCATCTGATGGCAGCATAGGTGGTCTACATACGAGCCTTTAAGAAGTGGTACCAGTGGTGTTGAAGTTTCACTGAATACCATTGTTAGCTTTACGCTCAAGTTTCCCACTTTTCAGGACCGTTATTAGAGTTTAAGTGAGGTTTAGGAGTTTGTTGGTCGGAAATTGAACCCGGATCTCTATCATGTCTGGTAAGAACGAAAAGAAAAATAGCTCCTATTTCCAAAATCATATGCAACGAAAAAAGCCGAGGTGTAGACACAAAAATGTCCCCGGCGATAGTAAAAAGACAGTTATTTCAGATAAAATTTGAGGTACTATTCAACAATCATAATATATCAAAGACGCAAAATTACTTCAACAGTGCCAGCTGTACAGGTCGAATTGGGCATCAGTTACAAAGCAGTTACTATAGAATAGAATTATTTAAACCAAAATCAACTGTTCAGAAGTACCTGAGAGTCAAGAGGAATATTACCAACACGGTGGGATTAAACCTCTGCCAGCATGAATCACAATACCTGCAAACGGTCCACGGTCACAATAACTTTGACTTTACTCAAACAAATTTACAGTTGTAAAGCCAAAGATTATCGAAACCGTCACACAACCATGAAGAGTAATATTAAAATTGGAGATAAGGCAAGAACGAAGACAAATAATAAGAATCAAGCAAATAGTATGCAGTCATAGAGAAAAAAGGGACAATAATTATAAAATATTTATTCAGACGTTTAGAAAAAACAATTGAGCTAAGAATATTATCCTTCTCGATAATTTCCTCTTCTGGCTCTACAGTTACATATATGTTTATATACTTAGAATATTCTAGAATAGTCACCATTAACACTATTGGGACTTTGAAAAATGTAATTGACGAACTAGAATTCTACTGTCGGTACTTAGATGATATACTCTTGATTATGAAAAATAAGGATGAAGCGAACAACATCCTGGATAAATTTAACGATGTTCATCCTGCAATAAATTTTACCAATGAAAAAGAAAGAGACTCTAGTTTTTCATTACTAGACGTCTTTATGACTAGAAAAGAGGACGGTACAATAAGAAGTTTATACAGAAAAACTACATTAACTGGCCTTAGAAATACAAACGCAGTGTAAGAAAGTGTTTGGTAGGCTACAGACCAAGATCAATCTGCTCTGATGAATGTCTTAATGGAGAGCTTAATATTATAAGACAGCTACTGAGTGAGAACAATTACCCAGAATAAAATCATCGACAAGAATATGAATCAAATTCACGGCTCGACAAAATAACAACAGTTCCGAAAAAGGCCTTATTCTTACAAATTCAGTTCCTCAGAGATAACATCAGTGAGATATTAACACAAAGCCTAAGAAATGCGGTAAAAAGAGTATTCAGTGCAGCTGAATTACGTTGTATCTTCAAAACCACCTCTATTTTGCGTTCGGAAGTAAAAAAGTGCCTAATTTAGTGTCTCCTGTGTGTATCTGCCAATTTGACTGCTACTGTGGAACCAGTTACATAGGTCGTTGGATTTCCGAACACCATCCTGCGTGGTTAAGTGAAGTACAAACGAAATCCATTCACATAGCCCTATTCTATCTCATCTTGTGCATACAGAAAACAAGATTGATGTTAACGAGGCGGCTTTCAAAGTGATCTATCGCATTCCGACCAACTAATCTTAACTTCACCTTAAGAGTTCGTCTACTACACATATTGGTGAGGCTGACTGATGGGATCCACATTAAGAAACCTAACTTATGATGTATTCAAAAAAAAGTTGGTTGGTTGAGACACTATCCTTACCTTGGCCGTCAATCAAGGTTTTCATGATCCTCAATTTCTTGTAGAAATTTCCTTAAATTTATTTGATATTCTATTTACTATTACATTTTTATGCTTATTGTAATTTATACATCTTTAATGAACTGTAATTCCATTGATCTTACGTAACAAGTCGATTTTATTTAAAAATACCAATATTGTTAATGAGGACTATTCTAGAAGGTTCTATGTATAAAAACATACGTATAATTATAGAATCAGAAGAGGAAATTATCGAAAAGGATATCCTTCTTTGCTCAATTTTTTTTCTAAATAATTACAGAGTTACCTGGAATGTCTACATAGGTAGCAGTATTGTAAATAGATCCTTCAGAAAGGATTTTCCAAACAATTATTTTTATACCTCATATACTTGATGCACACATTTTATAAATGAAAAGTTACCGTTTTCCTTTCCTTCTACTACTTTCAGTTTCTCGAGTACTTATAGAACCTTGACACAAAGAAGTGAAAGTTTTCACTGTCTTTATAATTAATCATCACCAAGGTGTAACTTCGTTTTCCTGAATTGACTCTCATCGAACAGTTTCAACATAAATTTGTATACACTAGGGGACCGTGGTTAATGTCATCTCACTCTGGTAATAATTATTGAACTAATTACATAATTGTATATTCTGGGGATACAGTTACATTCAGTGACCAGTTGGAGGAGATTGTGTAAGAAAGAGATAAAAGCTTGTGAGCAATCGCGGGGCAAGCTGAGGAGGACCTCAGATGAAAATGTGCTTCAGAAACCCTATGTTCCACCCGGAACCCACGTAAATTAGAATGATAACAAAATAATGAATTGTATATCTACTTGTTTATACATGTTTCTTCATTTTTTTCACTGAATAATTTCTGTATTTTTATCCCCCGTATATATGTGCACATATTAGTTACTTAGAGGACATATGGCCGCTGTGGTAGCTGTTCAATTTCATATTTCACGGAGTCGTTTACTCAGCTTTTCAAGAGATCGTGTTCTACGTATATGGGATGTTCAGTTACAAGTATGCTTACAAAAGATGAATAGTGTTTGTCCAAAAGGATTAAGCGGTAAGTAAAATAATCACAAGTAAGTACTTTAGCTTGCGTTGGTGGCACAGCGATAGAATGTTCGTCAACCACGCCTTATGTGGTTTGGGGTTCAAGGCTTCCTGCCGATTGCCTTCAACTATCTAATATCATCAAAAGTAACTATTCATCCAGTAATTAGACAAGAAGGTGGATAGAGTTCAGATTACGCTTGGAAACAAGGATGGACTAGAGACAGAGTACAAAATAGAACAACAGAGTTAAGTTATACATATTATGATGAGGAGTTCATGAGGCAGGGGATGAATAGTGAAGTCTTATTATAAACTAGATAGAGTAATTTAATTTAGTTGATTTGCAACCTAAGTACTGAGTTCAAATGAGTGAGTGAAAATCAAAATCAAGATTGACTGGAATGTTACGCAACAGAACAAGATACAACAGTACACAAACAAAACAGTTACCGTTACCAGGATAGCAAGGGATTAGTCGCGCACTCTCTTTCTGTATGCATAGGTTTGGTTGAAGTCTTTTCATGACAGTGGCTTCTCAAACCGAAGTAACTATGCTTTTCTTTGTGTATTGATTATTTCAAAAGCCTAAATTACTTCCACTGTATGTTCCTTGTTAGTTAGATATCTTTTAGAGAACCACTGGAAAGCCTGGGAGTACTGGATAGCTGTTTCGTCCTAGTTTTTACCCTTCAGCAGTACGCACCCACAGGGGGTTCGAACTCAGAACCTTCTGGTTACAAGGCGACCTCGTAGACCATTGAGCTACTGGGACCCGATCCAATGGTCCTTGAATTTTAACTTCTGCCAATTCACGACATAGCGCGACCATTTCGCAATGCCTTCTTCGATGAGTTACTGCCTCATCTTCAACCTGCTGTACCATACTGGTCACGGCTTCCTACTAGAACCCCAGGGTTCTCTAAATGATGTCAGCGCATGATGAAATCCTCCATGCAATCAAACAAAATCCCTACAAAACCAATACTTGAAAGTTAGATATCTAGCAATTTCATTTGAGAACAATTAGCAGCCTTTCAAACGAAGACTTTTGGGGATATTCTCGAAGAATCTGGTAGACACTCTCATCTCAGTCCTTCCTATGTACTTGCTGCCGCAAGTGCATGTGAATTGGTAAATGTAGTTTGAGTTGACATGAGTAGGATACTTATCCACTTTTGACTGAGTTAACGAGCATCCTGTGTTGTAAAAACGTGGAATGAGTCTAACAGCGGGAAATGTTGTTTTCAATGCACCTTTAATTCTGTTTTCCGTTCTTATGGATGCTTCTTTGCTTGTGTAAGGCAGATAGACAAAAGCCAGTTTCCTTTCAACTATTTTTTGGGTTTCAGTGTAGGTGATTTTTCCTTCCCATTTTTTTCGATATGAACCTGCGAAGGAATACATTTTCAATAAGGTTCTTTTCGATGACTGCCAGCTACTCCTTGATGTTATCTTTTGAACACAACGCCCTAGCTCCCTGCTGATGAGCATTCTCACTAGGCTCCATTTGTAGCTGATCAGGCAGAAACTGTGATTATTCAAGTACTGGCTCTCAATATCCTACAAATATGTTCGTCCTATCGCAAAAAATTAGTGTTACTCCATATTCTTAATTTTTTTAATTTTCATATAATTTTAGATGAATCGGTTTCACTGAAGAAACAAAGTAATAAGTTACATGATATATATTTGTTTACGTTTCTTTTGTTATCTGTTAAAGTTATCGGTTTTTTTGTTACAAATTTTGGTTCATTTCGTTGTATTTACTTAAATATACTACTTATATAGTACTGGTGTATAATGTTCAATATTAGATTAGTTTTTCTACTTTTTAATTTATCTGAAAAATGCACAAAGAATCAACCAAGTTCCTGTGCAAAATAATAGAGCTTTATTTTTACGAGTTGATCACGAATTGATATCAGTTAGAGAACCACTGAGAACCAGGGAGTACTGGACAGTACCCACCAACAGGGTTCAAACCCAGGACCTTCCGGTTACAAGGCGAGCTCGTATACCATTCAGCCACTGTGACCCGCCGATTCAATGGCCAGTGCATGAATTCTAAGTTCTACCAATTCGTGTTGCATTTAGCGCGACCACATCCATGTGAGGATGGATGTCTCACCGACGACATTGGTTGGGGTCGCGCTTAATCACGAATTGGTAGAAGTTAGAATTCACGCACTGGCCATTGAATCGGCGGGTCACAGTGGTTGAATGGTATACTAGCTCGCCTTGGTACCGGAAGGTCCTGGGTTTTAACCGTGTTGGTGGGTGCGTACTGCCGATGATTCTCAAACTAGGATGTAACATCTGTCCAGTACTCTTTGTGGATGATTTTCAATGTCTCTCTAACTGATATCAATCCGTGATCAAACTCGTACAAACAAATTTAATCCTTACAAACCAAACTTTTGAAAATAATAACATCATTATTCTGGACGGTATTTATAAAATGTGCAGAATTTTCAGAGGAGTTCATTACATGATACTTTTCTTCGCACAATATCTTCAAGTAAAATATTAAGTGACAGCATATCCTGTGACAGGCACAATGGTCTCTGAGCTGAAGCACAAACCATTCCATTATGATATATATCTGCTTTGTCTCCTTCAAGAAATCCACAATATCTAGCTGTGAAAGCCAATTGTAAAATGTTCAGAAGTACATTTTGAGACCCAAAGACATAACTGAAGAACAGTCATCTCATGTATTCGAACACGTTGCCACCACCCACAATCAGGCCTTTCCTCAAGTTTAGTAGGAATGTGCTCATCAGATGCTTGTAAACATTTTAAATACACACAAGAGTAGATAATTTCAATAGAGGTCACATCTTAATCGACTAAAACAAACGGAACGAGATCAAATATCTACAATAGAAAGAGATGAACGATTTTGGTAGCCCAAGTTTTAAGCACGCTGCCAGATATATGATGCTCATCTAAGGCGCTGGCTAGGATAGTGGTAAATATCATGAACTGAAAGAAGTTTGAATTTAACAGCCAGTCATTAAATTCCAGCCTAAAGAGTTGAATGTTCAACCAGCTCGGTCTCATATCCTGAAAGTTCCGGGTTCAGTTAGTTCTAAACTCTTTTCTAAGACCGAATCGTGTGTCAGCAAACTATAATTTAATAAAACCTAATAAGATGGGATAGCTTATGAATTCATAATACCATGACTAAACATTGAATAATTTCATTGACTACAGTAATCAACTTAGATTAAAAGAACTCATTAAACATCAGAATATTGTTCAGTCAAGAAAAATTCAAAAATGCTACTTCCATTATGACTAGAATTTATTTTGATAAAGTCTCACAGCGTTATGCAGTAATATTTACTGATGACCGCGTTTCGAGCACAATTTTTTGCTCATAATCTTAACAAGTACAATAAAAGATCTAAATGATGAAGTGAAACAGATAGAAGAAGCGTTGGTATCAAATAACTATCCAAAAACTTCATTAGGAAAATCAATAAAGGCCAAAAGCAAAATAAAAAATAATTGTGAAACTAATAATAAAGACATAAATTAGAGAGAATACAAGGCATCTACTGTTATACCATATAAAGAGGGGACATCTGAGACCCTATGTAGGATTCTCAATAAAGCAGGAATTAGAGTGGCATTCAAACCTACAAACTCACTCAGACAGGACAAGCTCTGTAGGTTAAAGGACCCTATCGGTTGACCCAATTAGACAAAATAATATAATTTACAAAATACCCTGCAATGACTGTGAGTTAAGTCAACTACATAGGTCAAACTAGAAGATTAGGAGAGTAAGATTACCAGAACATAAGAATTTAGCTAAAGTTAGAATGATTGACTCCACGAAGATAAGTAATTTAGAAGAAAGCTGAGCAATCGCAATGCATGAATTAACACACAACCACACAACAGGATGGGAGAGGGTTAAAATTCTAGAGTGATAGAGGTATGTGGAGATAGAGAGAGATTGATTACTGAATCCCTGTTCATCGAGTCTACACCCAACTCTTGCCCTATAAATGACTCATCACTCACACCGGAAATATGGAGAATACTACTACCAATCAAATCAAGCGATGAAGAATAATAGAACTCCTCATGTAAACGAAGTTGGAAAGTTGTATGAGTGAGTACCTTGATCTGATTATGCGAAGTAATAAATTATGCTCGAAACGTGGTCATCAGTAAATATTACTGTATAACACCACTGTGAGACTTTATCAAAATAAATTTTTCCCATAATAGAATTATACTCTGCCGCCACAGTGCACAAGTTGTTTTCTTATATCTTATTTCAAAAGTGCTAGTTACAAGACGACTGATTTTATAGTATCGCCTGTTTAATTGGTGGGGTTTTAATCACTTCCTTCACTGATGTATTGTGAATTCTGGCCATAAATGGTTCTCTGATAGACGGCTTACCAAGCATGCCGGAGGTGACGATTCGATTTCAGACCGATACACTCTTAAACCTCACCTAACCTTTAAAATAGACCCCAAAATGTGGGAAGGTTGAATGTAGAACTTGCAATCCTGCTCAATAAAGCAATAACATCACTGATACTGCTACTTCGAAGTTTGTATGTACCTCATCTATGTTCCACTCAGATGGTAAAGGAATCAAGAAGACAAAGAGGAAGAATGTTTCCTTTAAAGCCATGAATATTCTAAGGTTACATTTCCACTGAAGTGGTCATCTCATTAGTGATTTTACCATGAGCATCAGTTATGTTAGTTCCTGTCACCATTAAACATTTCATGATAATTACATTCGCTGATGATCGTATCTCAAATTCTCAGATGAGAGGATTCTTTCGAAGGCTTAGTGTTCATTTGTGAAATATTACAGAATTTAGGTGAAGTTGGACATTTTCAGTCAAATCAATTCATTGTAATCAATCTTGTCTTCATTATATTGTGAACATTCCATGTGTTCGAATGAAGTTTTCCACTTGAAAATTGTACAGAACTCTTGGTGAAAAATTCATCGCAGTTTCTTTCAGAAACGTGATTATGCTTGGTCTTTGTATTTCCAAATATGAAATCAAGCTGATTGGTTGTTTTGATGTGAATGTTTTCGATTTTTATAGGAGGCAGTGTTGAATTTTCACCTTGACCTATGTAACTTGAAAATTATGACACTGATTCCACGTGTTATCAATTCGCTTATGTGGCTATCCAGAAATCAGGTAGTTTGAAATTAATCGGTTGTCTGAGCTGAGTTAAACTTGGCCCAAGAAGAGCAAAGCGGTAGTGGGATGTTGCGATCACTTCGGTCTGATTATCACGCTTTATTGCTAGAATTAAGCGTTTTCAAAACAGTCATTGAACTCATCTGTATATATCATCGTGTATTTGTGTTCATATAACTTTAAAATTATTCTTGTTTCTTTAATAGAAGTACAGTTTAAACTGCTCTTTCTATTGTTTTCTCCTGTAATTCCATATATATTTGTTTAAATGTTTTGCTTAATAGTTACAACACATATGTATTTCCATGAGGATAGATTACGCTTGTTTCTTAGTTTTAATCATACCTTAACAGTTATGGAAATGCGTATCAAAGTACACGATCGTATTCTAAGCCATGAAAAGCCATTGATTGGTATCATCTACAATTCAGCATTTAATCAAGTAAGTCGATTGAGTGTCTTTCATGATCTGTGTATACCTACTCCTTAATTGTGCGTCGGTTGCACAGCGATAGAATGATAGCCGACCACGCAGGTGGTTCGGGGTTCAATCTTCTGCCAACGCGCTACTTCACCTTGCTAAGCTAGTAATAAGACTAGTAGAGAGGGAATTTCGGGCATGAGGCAGCTAACAACCCCATTCCGTAAAAATAAACACCACTGCTACCGAATCTTGATAGCCCTAGCTATAATCCTTATGTTCCTTGTGGTAGCGTAAAGGAAAAAAAAACCTACTTCTTATTACTTTATTGTGTCTTTTTACTTATAGATCTAATTTACTTATCATATTTACCATCCTCATGATAGGAAACTACGGTTTATGAAAATGATGTCTGATATTGATAAAACCCCTTGATATTATTGAAGGATATAACCTGAGAACCTTTGGATAAACAATAGCACACATGATCTTGTCTGTGTCACCCAACTCGTTGCTCCTCATTCAGTTTGTAACATCACTTGACTATCTCTTTGGCGTGTGCCCGACTCACGTCCACTCCCTCCTGTATATTATTGGAATGATTAAAACGTACTTGAGTAGTTCACCTGTAGAGTTTCACGTTGGTTTTCTTTTCTGGCCAGCTAATTTTAGAAAATAGTTTCTGTGACTAAAGATGAAAAGAATATGAAGGAAATGAAAAGCAGTTGAGGAAACAAACCGAACTAGATCCATGGTAACTAGAGGGGTTGGATTAGTTTCTTCTTAACATACCTTTGGATCCTAGATGGATATGCCTAGGGCCCTCGGTAGTACAAAGAAGCTAGAAATACTTTATCTTTATTCGATGTCGCCTCTTTGCAACCATACTGGGTGGTACGTTTTGAAAGGATGCGAATAGAGGGACGTATGTACCTACCTCCTGCATAGAAGCATATGAACTGACAAACTGCAATGGTCATATGTGGGAGTTTGTCTTTGGAATTGCTTAGAAGCAGTGGGCAGCTACAGAATATCACTCTCAGCGTTGACAAAGGAATGGTATTCTTCAGGGATCTAGATATCCCCCTAATTATAATATCTTTTGCTAATTTTCTTCTGAAGTCCAGGTCCATGCATAGAATTCTCTTTGACACTGAGTTGTATTCTTTTCTTTCCTGTTTGGAGTCAATATTCTTTTCCACAAAAATTGTAGAATCCTGTTGAGAAGCAACAGCTCTTCTTCTAAGCAGTCAATACTGCAAATTCTTATGATACGATAAGAAAGAGAAATGATGACAATTAAAAGGTATCCAAATATTGAAAAAATTTATTAGCTGACCATTCTATAATGATTCCTTGTAGATAAATCTTTTCAGGCCCCATTATGCGTAAAATTTGTTTTGATAAAGTCTCACAGTGGTGTTATACAGTAATATTTACTGATGACCACGTTTCAAGCACAATTTATTGCTCATAATCGTATCAAGGTAATCACAACTTTCTAACTTCGTTTATATGAGGAGTTCTATTATTCTTCATCGCTTGATTTGATTGGTAGTACTACTCTCCATATTTCTGGTGTGAGTGATGAGTCATTTATATAGCAAGAGTTGGGTTTATACTCGATGAACAAGGATTCAGTAATCAATCTCTCTATCTCCACATACTTCTATTACTCCTTAGAATTTTAACTCTCTCACACCTACCCTATTGTGTTGTTATGTGTTAATGCATGCAGTGCGATTGCTGAGCTTTTTCCTAAATCACTAATCTTCGTGGGGTCAATCATTCTAACCTTAGCTAAATTCTTATGTTTCGACAATCTCACTACTCCTGATCTACTAGTTTGACCTATGCAGTTGACTTAGCTCACAGTCATTGCAAGGCGCTTTGTAAATTATATTATTTGGTTTAATTGGGTCAACCGGGCCTTTTAGCCTACAGTGCTTGTCCTGTCTGAGTGGGTTTGTAGGTTTGAATGCCACTCTAATTCCTGCTTTATTGAGAATCCTACGTAGGGTCTTATATGTCTTCTCTTTATATGGTATAAAAGTAGATGCCTTGTATTCTGTCTTATTTATCTCTTCATTATTAGTTTCACTATTATTTTTATTTTGCTTTTGACCTTTTCTGATTTTCCTAATGAATTTTATAGGATAGTTAGTTATTTAACACCAACGCCTCTACTGTCTGTTTAATTTCATCATTTAGGTCTTTTTTGTACTACTCAGTGCTACTGCTCGGTTTGTTAGGCACTTAACTAATTCACCTTAACATTACTGTATAACACTGTGAGACTTTATCAAAACAAATTTGACCCATAATCGAATTATACTCTACCACAGTGCACAAGTTATACTCTTACATCTTTTCAGGCTCCCTATCATCTCTTCTTGTAAATTTAACATCTATAGATAGGATCTTTGTCACATTTCCTTCCTTTAGTGTAAATTTAACTCAAGGATGAAAATTACCCGGTTCGTGAAGAAATAATTTAAATGAAAATCATTATGATAGATTGTGGTGGAGTAATTTCTTGGTTGTTGGTTTTCAGATTCCGTTTTCCAAACGAGATATCTTTGCTGAACTTTATATTGTTTCTCTCTAAATTAAAATTATTGCGATACAAATACGTCGTCCTCATTTATCTACACATCGTTACACCTTTACACTAAGTGAGGTTTAAATCAGTATCTTTAAGTGTGGAGTGATCAAACTTTCATTTATCTGGATGACGTGGAGAGATCCCTTCACCGATTGGTATTCATAACCTTTTTTTTGATCAGAATACATTGATTCTATTGTACACTTTGATTTATTCTACACTGTGATATTTGAATAAATCAGGAGTAATGGTTTATGCAGAATAAGATAGTACCAGCATTTATCTCGTTGGCTACTCATCAGCTGTGTACAGCCTAGAGAAACTATCAAGCTTATGTATAGGGCAGTTTTAGCATACCTGCAGATGCTACGTAATGTTATTTGATCGGAGCCCTCCAGCTTTATAAACAGTTCTCAGAAAAATACGCTTATATAGATTTTACATAGGCGGTTCAAGTTTAAATAAAGTGAATGTGTGCATACAATGGTAAAGGAGTTAAGTAATAAAGACGAGAGATGCATGTGATGCTGATTGACTAATAAATTAGGTAACAATATACTGAGTTTAATTCAAATCATAGAAACAAGAGACAAGCGAAATTACACTCTATCAGAAGGGGGTGAGGTTTAAGCCAAAAAATACATAATCAAATGAAACAGAGAATAAAGACATCCAGTTAACAGGATGGGCAAGGAAAGTCTGATAACTGCTTCTTTCTGAGCACATAAATTGCGTTTCAAGCGTTTGATGGACATTGCTTTGGCAAAGTTGAGGCGAATCGTGCTTTTTTATCTATTGATAATTTCAGAGGATTTCGCGAGGTCCACCTCAGGACTTGTTACAAGGAGATGCTTGGTAATGACACTATTGTAAGCGTTTGTTCCCTTAAGATGTAGGCAGTTTTTGGTACATGTTCAGAAAATCCGCAGTATGCCCTTCTTTCTGCTCTTAAAATATAACTGCCCCCATAGATACATGTAAATTTGTACACACAGTTGGAGTTAACACGAGAAGAATATCTGTCAACTTTTGACTGCACCAAAGAGCATGTTGTCCGATGGAGGGGAACCAACTTAGCTGCAGGATGGGCTCTGAATAATGATGTACTCAATCTTTTGTTGACTATTGCTGCAATATTTTCATCTTAAAGTTGAACTGAATGAAGACAGGCTTTTTTCACACTGTGATTTGTTTGATGTTTGAGCCTTCACATCTTCCATTTTTATTAATGAATCTCTGAAGGTAACCATTGTTTTTCAACACCTTTTCGAGAATTATAAATTCTTCCTCTAATTTCTATGTAGAGCATATTCTGCTAGCTCTAAAGTACAGAGACTTGGCTATTATTATTATTGTTCCCTTAGGTTCCTAGTGGAACATAGGGCTTCAACTACACGTCTCCACTTGCTTCTGTCTTCTGCTGTACTTTTCACCTGCGTTCATGTAAGTCCATATTGTTTCAACTCCTCTCCACACGATCTCCTCCATGTCACCCTTCGACTTCCCACTCGCCGCTTCCCTTTCGGGTTCCACTCGAGCGTTGGCCTGACGCGCGATTTCACCCAGCGGCCTCCTCAGTGAGTGTCCAATCCATCTCCACTTTCTCCTGCATATTTGTTGAGCGACTGGCTCTTGTTTTGTTTGTTCCCATAGTTGGTTTCTTATTGGTGATTCTTTCCGGCCATCTGATCTCCAGTGTAGAGCGAAGACAGTTGTTGACAAAGGTCTGCAACAGGCTGTTGGAAATGTTCTTGGTGACCCACCAAGTTTCTGATCCGTATAGAAGAACTGACTGACTTGACGTTTGTATTGAAAATCCAAATTGACAGAGTCTTGACTAGTGCTCGTTTAAAACAAGGGGTGAATTGGGTGAAAATTCGTTGGTTAGAGGAGTCGATACAGAACTTATTTCTGTATATAGTGTAAAAGAATTTTCTTCTTACACTCTTTATTTATCCACAGTGAGCAACACCTTTGAAATGAATAACTCCTGTCTATTATTCTACATTAATAACCGTGCGCCGGTAGCACAGCAATAGAATGCTCGCTAACCATTCCTCATGTGGTCCAGGGTTCGATCCCCTCCCGACGAACTCCTATACCTCTCTAAACCAGTAATAAGACTGGTTAAAAGGAAAGGTTGAGCATGAAGTGGCTAGAACCCCATCCCATAAAAATAAACACCTCTGCTACTGAAACTTCAAGTCTCTAGCTTGAAGTCGTATGTTCTACACTGGGAACGTAAATGAATTATTATTATTTCCTTTAATTCCTAGAGGAACATAGGGCTTCAGCGGCGCGTCTCCAGTGCGTTCGGTTCTCTGCTAGAGTCTTCACCTGGCTCCAAGTCTGCCCACACGTTTTCATCTCCTCTTCACAGAACCTCCTCCATGCCACCGTCGCTCTGACTACCAACTTGCCGCTTCCCTTTCGGGTTCCACTCGAGCAATGGCTTGTCTAGTGATGTCACTTGATGGCCTGTTTCCTCAGAGTATGGCCAATCCATCTCCATTTCTTCCTGCCTATTTGTTTCACAATCGGTTCCTGGTTGGTTCGCTCCCAGAGATCCCTGTTGCTGATCTACTCTGGCCATCTGATCTTGAGTATTGAGAGAAGACAACTGTCAGTGTAGGTCTGTAGTTTGTTTGAGATGGTCTTTATGACGCGCAGTGCAAGTCTCTGATCCATATAGTAGCATTGACTTCACATTGGAGCTGAAAATCCGGATCTTATTCTCATTTTTGTGCTGAGTGCTGTTGACCTCCACACAGACTTGAGAGTAATGAAAGCTTGTCTTGCTTTTCCGATTCTTGCTTTGATATCCTCGTCAGTTCCGCCTGTAGTTGAGACGATGCTTCCCAGGTGAGTAAAAGATGTTGTTTCTTTCAGGTTCCTCCCATTTGTGCTGATTGTTGTCTGTTGTTGTTGCTGTTGGTGTTGCCTAGAAATCTTCATCGCCTCTGTTTTCTCTATGTTCACCTGAACTCCTTCCTGTCTTTGATGCTTTTTCTGCCAAATTGTTGCTTTCCGCTTGCATATCTTCCAGTTTGTGAGAAATCAGACATATATCATTGGCGAAGTCCAGATCTTCCAAGTTTTTTGTGTGAGTCCATTTTATGCCTCTTTCCTCATTGCCCACTGTTTGTCGCATTATCCAGTCTACTGCAATCAGGAAAATCATTGGCGACAGTAGGCAGCCAGCTTATCTTACTCCTGTCCTCACTTCGAAGGATTCTGTAAGTTTCCTGTTGTGGATTACTTCTCATGCAGCATTGTCGTACAACTTTTGGATGAGATGCATAATTGTCGGTGGCACCCCGTAGTAGCGAAGTAGTTGCCAAAGTACCTCTCGATCGACGCTGTTGAATGCCTTTTCAAAGTTGAGGAAGCTGAGATAGCGTAGTGACTGCCATTCCAAGCTTTGTTCAATGATGATCTGTAGCGTACCGATTTGATCAATATATGACTTGTTTCTCCTGAATCCAGCCTGTTCTGGTCGAAGATTTTCATCCAGGGCCTGTTTGATTCTCTGTAGGATGATGCGGCCTATTATTTTGCTTGGGATGGACAGGAGTATAATTCCGCGCCAGTTCTTGCATTGACCTAAGTCTCCTTTCTTTGGTTGTTTGAATAAGTATCCTTTCTTCCAATCCTTGGGTACTTTGCCTTCTTTCCACACCTTCTCCAGTAGTGGCGTCATCAAAGGAATAAAAAATCATTAATAACTAAATTATTAAAATAACTGAAATTAAAAAAAATAAGACTACATCTCATATTGAAGACTGTGTTGTTTGCTTCATTTTGTTGTTTTTCTTTATTTTTGAATCTTTTAGATTGTATCTGCTGCTCAAAGTGGTACAATATCATTTTGGTTAATTGAAACAGGTCAACGAGTTAAAAGTATCTCTCGTAGTCATGGTGAAAGTGAATTGACGTGTTTAGTACAAGATCCAACTGAGACTAAATTCTATACTGGAAGCACTGATGGTACAATTAAGGTATAGTGATGAAGGGAAAAAAAGTTTTAAAATGAAATATGTATAAAAGTATGACTGTTATTAGTGTTATCTGGGTAATAGCTGTCACCTTAATGTGACAGTTGAGCTTCTACATGTCTCCGTTGGCTGGAACAAATGTTGCTGCAGGTGTTCTACTAGGCCAGAAAGGTATTTTGAGCAGCAGTGTAAATCTTTTACACTGTGTTGATGGTTTGATGGCGAAGTTGAAGTGTCGGCGAATAAGAGTGTAGTGGCAGTAAGTTGTTTCACTCGAACGACAAGAAAGACAGAGATGTTGTCTTCCGACTTTGTGGAAACAGTAGAGATATCCAGCCAGGTGATCTTTCCATATCGAACTATTGATGTCAGCGATTAGGTGTTATTAAAAAAAGCAACGTTAATGTTGTTAATAACGATAACTGTTTGATCATTATAGACTAATGTAACTGTAGAACTTGATGAAGAAGAATTGGTTATTGAAAAGAATATTCTTTATTCACTGATTATTCTTTTGAATATTAGAAAATTTAGTTTGAATATCTACTTTGTTTCTTAATTCAGTTAAATGTATACAAATGGCGCTAGGGTAAGGGACTGGGAATTTTTGATTCTCAGGATTTTCGGAATATCTTTGGGGAAGCTAATGGATACCTATCTTCCTGTACTTCCAATGTACTTCCTATGGCACATACTTGTGGATTTGTAGACGTAGTTGGATGTAAGTGAATTCAGATGGGTACCTGTTCACTTTCTATTGAACAGAAACAAGTTTACCTGCCTGATAAATCATAGCAAGGAAAGCTCTTAGTCTTTTTTGATTCAGTGTGATGTATCACCTCCTTTAAAGGTGAGCTGAATTTATCTGTGAGAAGATGACATGATGACACAGTCAAGATAGACAAATATGCTAGAAGGATACCTGGATTAGACAGTATTTAAACCATTCTACTTTCTATCCAATAAAAAATTATTTAAGTATTGGTTTGTAGGGATTTGGTTGATTGGGTACAGGATTTCATAATGAGCTGACATTGGTTAGAGAACCATTGGAAAACCTGGGAGTACTGGATAGCTGTTTTGTCCCAGTTTGGGACTCTTCATCAGTACGCACCCACCGGGATTCGAACCCAGGACCTTCTGGTTACAAGGTGAGCTCGTATACCATTGAGCCACTGGGACCCGATCCAATGGCCCATGAATTCTAACTTCTGCCAATTCACGATAAAGCGCGACCACTAGCCAATGTCTTCGGCAAGCGTTTGTCCTCACACCCGACCTGCTGCATCTTACTGGTCACGACTTCTCACTGGAACCCCAGGTAACTACCTACCTGAATAGGGCCAAGGATGAGAAATTCAGAGTTGTCATTCATTGACTCAGTGCTAAAGAAAATCAAATTCATGAATTTGGAATTCAAAGGGGATCAGATTTCAAATTTGCCCAGAAGTCATCTCTCTGAATCACTCAGTAAAAGTTTCTTTGTCGCAAGAATACAAATGACCTTCATCAACAATGAGTTATTACCTGTCCGTCTCTGTAAAAGACAAACTCCCTCGTTTGGCTGCCTCCACGTGCATCTGTTAGTTCACATGATTGTGTGGAGCAAGTTGTATTAGCTGTAGCCAGAAAATGCTTTCCATACGTAAATAAGAACATATCTCAGCCTGATTTTACCAGGGGGTAAGGAATGATGTGTGTGAAGCTCTATTCCAGATTACTTGATCAGCCAGCATTAACTATGCTTTCTTTTGCATATTGATTATTTTGAAAGCCTGATTAATTTCCACTGTATGTCCCATGTCAATTAGATGTCTGGCAAATCCACTTGAAAATAATTTGGTGCTTTTCAAACGGGGACTTTTGCGGGTATTCTCTAGGAATCTAGTAGACACTCACCTCTCAGTCCTTCCTATGTGCTTTCTGCCGCAGGTGCAGGTAAATCAGTAAATTTAGTTTGAGTTGACATGAGTAGGATACTTATCCACTTTTGACTGGGTTAACAAGCATACTGTGTTGTAAAAACGTGTAATGAGTCTGGCGGTGGGAAATGTTCTTTTTAATGCATCTTTAATTCTGTTTTCTGTTCTTATGGATGCTTCTTCGCCTTTGTACGCTAGACAAATGAAGATTGGTTTTATTTCAATAATTCCAAGTTTCGTTCAGTCTAGATGGAAGGAGAAATCCTTTCTTTCCATGAAATAAAACGAGCTTGTATTATCCTTCGAAACTACGTTTGTTCTTTCTTTATTCAAATTTTTGTTACTATTAATATTATTCACACTTTGGACTGTTCGCATTTGTTATTCTAAGTCAAAAACATCTTTGTAATGTTTAATTCTATCTTATCATAGTGGCATAGTGGTTAGGATTCTCACCGACCATGCACATGGTCCTGGGTTCGATCCCCTGCCGACGCACACCCGATATCTATGGTCGGCCTGCAAAAATTTGGGCTACCGATATCCATGCTGAAAATTCCATACTTGTACTGAAAATACGGTGTGGTATCAAGCTGTAATAAAAAAAATCATGCTATGGGACTTATTTATTTTGCCTGCAAATCCTATTATTATACGCCCCTTTCTCACATTTATACATTCTATGAACGATTCTATATATGACATTAATTGTTTTGCCACTTGACATTGAACTATGATTATAATCACAAATATTTTAATTGCATTTCATACTATTATTGATATATGTATTCCCACCTTTCCTCAGAGGGATATAGTTTCTTAGAAACCATATATCTACGATTGTACAGCTTGATAATAAATTAGTTGAAAAGAGTCTCTTCGCTGAATATTGTTCTCAATAATTTACTAACAAGGATTTCCCAGCAGACTGTTTGATAACTCACGTAAACTTTGCTCCAAAGATAAAAGTTGGACTTCCATGAAAGCAATTGTCTGAAAACAGGTTTTCAAAGAAACTCATAAAATATTTCAGGAAAAAACTACAGAAATTAAAGAACGTTTTTACAGTTGAGAAGATTTTCATATTTATCTTACTTACGTTTAGATGAATTGATGTATTGTACCGTATAATCAAAAGACTAAGACTTCTCCTCGCTATACTTTATTCGGCAGGTAAACTTGTTTCTGTTTACATCACTAGTTATCAACTTTATCAAGTGAAAGTGGACAGATACTCTTCTGAAATCACTTCCAACTGTGCGTTGGTGGCACAGCCGTTAGGACTCTCACTGACCATGCACATGGTTTGGGGTTCGTTCCTCAGTCTGCAAAATTTTGGCTACCGATATCAAATGCTGAAAATTCCATAGCTGTACCAATAATACGGTGTGGAATCAAGCTATTATTAAAAGAAGTATTTAAAAATTCACATATTACGTGTCAGAGGAAAGATAATCGAAGGATTGAAGGTTGGGTCTCTATCTACTTCTCCAAACATATTCCAAAACGCCTGAGAGTCAGTAAAATTTTTAAACAAACTTTCTATAAAATGTTATTCAAATTAATTCATTATATTATATTATATTAATAAGACCTCTTTCATTGTTTAAATAAAATTTTCATTTAGATATGGGATATGAATGGTTATTGTTATCATACACTAATATGCTATGGTGGTTCACATGCTGAAGTTGGGCAAATTGTTATCCTTAAACGAGCAATTATTGTAATGGGGAATTCAACACATTTCACTGTATTTCGTACAACTAATTTCCGGGATCATTATGTTTATCCATCTGAATGGAAAGGTGGTCCAGTAAGTTCATTACTATAATCATTCGCTTAAATAAAAGAACAATTTGAAGCATTAATTTATTCTCCAATGTTAGCTTAGTAAAACAAAGGATATCTACTAATTTTGTTCACGGATGGATATCAGTTACAGGACATCTGGTTTGTCCCAGTGGCTGAATGGTCAACGAGCCCACTTTGTTACCTGAAGGTCCTGGATTTAGATTTTACAGCGGTGGGGTCAGTGGGGCGCACTGGTGAAGAGTCCTAAGCTAAGATGAAACATTTTTCTAGTGATTCTCTAACTGATATCAACTCAGTATCAAGCTTGAGGACAATCAAATCCCTACAAATTTACATTTGAATATAATATATATGATTTATCGTTTACAATATTTCTTTTCCTAAAAATTTTGAGTTTATAGGCATTTTGATTAGTTTCATTGTCATTACTGAAAACCGGTCAACATTGCACAGCTGTCTTTTTTCCTAATTTTGAAACCTTATTATGCGGTACATATCAATGATCTTCTAGTTACGCGACGTTATGCACCTTCACTATTTAGCCAGTGGTTTGGAATTATTCACTGACTTGTGGATTCTGAACTCTGGGAATTTGTTGGTTACCTCCACTGCCAATGAATCATATTAATGAGGCCTTATTTCCTTTTCTTAGGACACTGTAATTTAGACAGAATGAGACTTTACAATATCACTTAGGTTTCAATTGTCATACGGATATTAGGCAGGCAATCAATGCATTTTAGAATTGTCCTAAAGTTTAAAACTGATATTGTAATTGTGGATTGATGGGATTGCTATTCGACCTTTTTCTTTCAACCTAATCTAACTTTCAGGATTTCATCATAAACTGACATTAGTTGGAGGACCATTGGAAAACCCGGGAGTACTAGACAGCTGTCTCCTCCGTCCTAGTTTGGGACTCTTCATCAGTACGCACCCACCAACGGGGTTCGAACCAACGACCTTCTGGTTACAAGGCCAGTGAGCTCGTAGACCCAAACTAATAGCCTATGAATTCCAATTTCCGCCAATTCACAATATGACGCGACCACTAGCGAGTGTTGTCTTCACACCCGACCTACCGTAGTGAGTGTGCACTGATGATTGGCCCAAAGCTAGGCTCACGAAACAGCTGTCCAGTACACCCTAGTCTTCCAATGGTCCTCTAACCGATGTCAATTCATTATGAAATCCTGAAACCAATCAAATTCTTGCAAACCAACATTTGAATATTTATCTAACTTTCGCTACCATAGTAGAGGAAGTTTATTCAGTTGACAAAAAGAATATGATTTTAGATTATACCTCCATTTTTTGGCGTTTGCATACGTTCATCCTTCAATTCTAGACCAGTTTATTATGAACAACGGTAGAAGACAAGATAAGAGGTAAGGAAATTTGGTACATCTATATAGCCAAATTATGTACACCTTATCTTCAGGTCACCATTTGCACATATCTTCCATGTTGTGTTACTTGTGCCCTTCATATTGTGTTTCTTTGCCTTCTTTTCGTGTCTCTCATATTTTTCTGCAACGCTGGCTCATTTGTTCTCTTTGACGTCAAATATATCTCCTTGTTATTTTGATATTTTTATGTCGATGAACGTCTCTTTATATACTACTGATAAATCTTATCAGTAGCACATACCACAATGAAGTGCTTGTTGTTTTAAACTAATAGAAAAGACACATAAATAGCTGAGGTAGATGCTTCTAGTGTTGTTATGTTCTGTGAATTGACTTCACCGTGAAGGAACAGAACTAAGGATACTGTCTAAAGGGTCTATGAAAACTTTACAGTTTAACGATTGAGGTCAGAGAAAACAATCACACCAAGAAATGTTGTTTTGTTGACGACACACCATTTTGATTTCGCGAAATAATCCTCAATCACTCAATAATACATCCTCAAAAGCAAAAGAATTTGACAGATTTCTGTTATCTTTAAAGGAATCGACATGATAAATACAATAATTCTGCTCATGGAGCGAGTGGATTTTTATCTATATTTTACAAGTGTTGGTTTATATTGATCTGACTGGTTTCCAAATGGAAAACCAGGGAGTACTAGACGTCTGTATCCTCGTAGTTTGGGACTGTTCATCCGTTCGCAACCCTAACCCCAACAAGGATCAGGTTATAAGGCGAGCCCATTGATCCTGTAGCCTCAGGGATGGTAGCTTAAGGTCCATGAAATCCAACTTCTGTCATCGGCAAGTGTTTGTCTTCATAGACAAGACTTAGTGGACCTCAATGATTAAAGATTTATTTTTCTTAAAGAATCAATTTTATCTCTCTGGCAGAGGCTATTTGAGGGGTTTCTTTTAATTGACCTAACGGTTAGTTAACCCTTAATCCATATTCGATTGTTTTGCAATAGAGATACACCATGGATTTGTTAGATGATGCTCTGAATATACCTAATTGTATGTATATATATGCCTTTTGTTAAATAAGCTTTCCCTTACGCAAACCGAATCCTGGGCTGTTGACTGGTTGCATTCTTGCTTCTCAAAAAGAATATAGTATACCGTATATAAGAGTGAATCTTCTTCTACCTTGCTTACCATTGCTGGTGTTCCTCAGGGTGCTGTTCTCTCCCATTTTCTTTTTTTCTTTCTTCTTAAATGTCTTACCTCTTTCAAATGAAGTCATCTTCGTCAAATATGCTGATGATATGACCGTCTCGCTTCCTGCCAAGTCCCAATCAGAGTGTAGCAAACTTAATAGCTTTTTGTTGGATATCAGTTAGTGGTCTAAGCTATATGGTCTTACGTTAAATCTCTCCAAATGCCAGACTGTCGACTTATCCTTTTGACATAAACGTGATCTACACGAATTGGTTAGTACACATGATGCTTGTAGCATAGAGGAGACTGTAATATAAACTAGTTCTAACACAAAATACCTTGGTATAATTCTATCCTCCGACCTCACCTGGTCATCCCATATTTTGTCGATCTCCAGAAAAATGCTCCATCTAAGCTACTACATAGAAACGAAGAGGGAAAATATGGTATTAGGTAAAAAATCAAGAGAAATAGAATCAGGTCCCATTGGCCTAATGGTCTACGAGCTCCTCTCGTAACCAGAAGGTCCTGGGTTCGAACCGCGGTGGGTGCGGACTGCTAAGGAGTCCCAAACCGGGGCGAAACAGCTGTCCAGTACTCCCAGCTTGTTTTGCAATGGTTCTCTAACTGATGTCATTTCATGATGAAATCCTACAACCAATCAGAAATAAAATACCTTGTCAACATAATTGATTACTCTCAATAAATTCCTCCTTCAAAATAATGTACAATGTGGAGAGTAACATATCAAGGAGAATGAGCTTTCATCTCCTTTGAGTATTGCTGAAGTTCTAGTCATTCAAATAAAGAAACTGGGGCTCTGCATACAATGAAGGGAATTATTCAACCACTCCTACCTATTATGCTAACGATCCTGTTGTTTTCTATCAATTTGTTTTTTTTTCTATAACTTTACCACTGTTCTGTTTCCATCAAACTCATTGCGTAATGTCACATTTTCCCTCCTGGTTTCTATGTGTGTAATGATTACAATTCATTCATTCAGTTACTTGTCTCATTACGTGACTATAACAGCCTTATTTAACCCCTCTTAACGAGAAGTGCTTCTTCGGACTAATAATTCAGATGGCGTTTGTTTGACTCTATCCCATTAACTCAATAGATCTGTCTACCAACCGGAAACTATTATAGATAATCTTACCGTCAATCTGATATTTCTGTCTCCAAGTGTTAGTTTTAATTCAATTCATCCCAAATCTGATAACGAACTGGCTTCAATTGGAAAGCCACTGAAAACAAGCTGGAAGTAATGAACACCTGTTTCGTCCTTGTCTGGGAGTCTTCAGAAATACACATCTATAACCTTGTGCTTTCAGGGACTGAAACCACTTTTTAAGTTACATGCAGGAAGAATACACGAAGCTCTTTATCAACTAAGATATACAAGACTAACGCGAAGTTTATTCAAATCTTATGAGGAAGTCATGAGACCAGAACCAATGGATGAGCAAATGAATGGAGACTGGCAAAATCAACCATAAATTAGGAAAATCCCACTGTCATTCATATTTTATTGAGAAATTCCTTCAAAAGTGGTCAATCATCTTTATCTTGTTTTTGGAAGAATCCAATTCAAGTCTAGTGTGGCAACTGCCGCCTACACATGACACATAATGGAAGACAATACGACACGATAGATCATTGGAGTCTGATACAGTGATTAAATATTGACGCATCACATAAGCTAATTCTTCTACTTTCGATTCTCTGTAAAACTTTTTCCGGGGACATTTTTGAAACTAAGCTAAAACCTTACTCTAGGGTTTCTTAGTTTTCACGTATTTCCAAAATGATGTCAGGGGTATTACGTAAGATACTACTAGGTTTATTTACTATTGAAAAATATTATCACATATCCTAATGACTTGTGTTAATCATAATATTTAATTAAAAATATCTTTTATTACTTAATATTTAAAAAAAAATCAAAATCAAAGGAACATTCAGATGATGTACTCAGTGGGACAGCATTACCGCCGAATGGTTTGATTACTGGATCGTATGATGGTGAAATTGTTGTATGGAATACAAATTCTGAATTAGCGGCTAGACGTATGACAGCACGTTGTAAAAATTTTTCTGCTGAGGTAATTTTAAAGAAAACAAACTTTTTATGAAGTGAATTTTTATGTATTCTGATGTGTGGAAATCCTGCCTTGAAATAATAAAGAAGAGATTTATCTCAGGTGGATGGCAGTCATATTAAAGTTTGCGTTGAAGTTGGTGTTTGGAAAGTCAGGAGTAAGACAAGGCTGCCAGCTGCCGCCGATGATTTTCCTAGTTGTGGTGGACTGGATCATGCAACAGACTGTGAGTGGGGAGCCAGAATACAGGAATACATTGAATTGATAAGAAGACTGTGGTATATTTGGACTTACCAACAAGTTAGAAGAAGGAGTAGAGAAGACAGGGATCAAAGTGATGAAGATATCTGACAACCAACAACAACAACAACAGGCACCAATCACTACCAGTAGGAAAAATTTGGAAGAAGTCAGGTCTTTCACTTATCTAGACGGCCACAGGTGGCTGGCACAGATAAAGATGTCAACACAGGAATAGAGAGGCATGGAAGACACCTTCGTCACTCTGAAATTAGTTCAAAAACCTACTGCACTCAGTAAAAAGAATAAAATTCCTATTTTCTAGGCGTGTGCATCGGTAGCACAGCGGTAGAATACTCACCGACCACGCATGTGGTTAGGGGTTTTGTCCCCTGCCAACGCACTCCTTTACCTCGCTAATCCAGTAACAAGACTGGTAAAGAGGGAAGGTTATAGCTTGAAGTCCTGTGTTCCACTGGGAACGCAAAGGATTAAAAAATGTTAAGTCGGACAGTTCTTCTAAGTAGGTCAGAAACTTGCACTAGCCAAACGTAAAGCTTTTTGAGCAACCAGATGCAAACTTTTATGAATAGTTGCTTTCACTGGCTCCATAGTGAAGATCAGATAGCCAGAAAGCATTCTCAACAAGAAACTCTGGAAACGTATTAATCAAGAAGCTATTGCTCAGCACATATGTAGAAGAAATAAAGATGGATATGACACACGTTGCGCACCAGACTGGGACCCAAACGAGAAACGGTGAGTTGAGCATCCAACGGTGACATGGGGGACAGTAGGCTACGAAAAGATGGGAGATTATGGTCAATCCTGGAACCATGTAAAGAGGACTTTAGTGAAGAGAGTGAAATGGAGATGTACTGTTGAAGTCCTGTGTTCCACTTGGAACCCAAAGGAATAATAATCATGATAATTAGGTGCCGAATAATCTAGACTTATTAGTTCTCGGGAGACTGATGTAAAATAGGACCTATAAACTATTATCACATCACCGCTTTGCGGCGTGACCCTTCTCTGTCTTGTACGTATTTTATGTCCTTTTATTCTTGATATTTTTAATCTTACTAATCTGACTCGACTTTTGTTTGCACTTTGTAAAAATACATATCTTGTACGTTTCTAGATTACCAGTAGCACATTGTTTCCAGTGTCACATTGTTCTGTGGCAATTTGAATTGATAACTCTTGTGTAAAGTCTCTACACTGATTTATCAATCAATTATGCATAAATATTGAATATTATAATGGATTTCTTTTGAATAGATCGATTCTAGTTATCTCAGTATCCAATTTATAAGGAAGACTTCATAGAAGAATTTTAGTCATTTGGAGGAAACTTTGTGATTTGATTAAATGTATTACTAGTTACCTTAAGTAGCTAGCCATAATTCATATAAGTATAAAACTTGGGCACTGTGGCCATAATTCACGTGATTTGTAATGAATCGAACTAGGCTCGGCTCCAAATGAGGGAAATAATTGTCCAAAGAAGATGTCACATCCGAACATTTCTCTTTGCTTTTTTATTGAAAACTAGTCAGTAACTACTGTAATGTGTCTAGTACTATCTTCAGTGCAAACTGAATCCTGTCAGTCAACTTTGTAATGTGACCACCATTCAAGCAGGCATGCCATTAGGGTGCACTTCGAATTGTTGGCGTTAGATGGTTGGAGGCAATCGGACACAGGAAGCCTTCCAACTAGGTTTCGTGTTAGTTGGCACTCACCTGTCAGCAAGGCATGTCTGCAACCTCGAAGAAACTAATATACCTTCTGGGATTCGAACCCGCGTCACCCAGTTCTGCAGTCAGAGACGTTACAACTGACCTATTTGGGCTCGCGATTGACCTTCTTAAGGTCTGTATTGGATACTTTGATTAGAAACTAGTTAGTAAGGAGTGTAATGTGTTTTATCCTTTGTTTGGTGCAATGGTTCAGTGGTAACGTCTCTGACTGCAGCCTTGGATGATATGGGTCCGAATCTCAGAAGGGACATGAGCTTCTTCAGTGTTGCAAATACGCCTTTCTGATCAGTGAGTACCAATTAGCAGGAGACCTAGGTCTAAGGCTTTCTGCTGATTGCCTCCAGCCGTCTAAAGCTTGCATGTGCGTCTGTCAGTTCACCTGTCCTCTTGCAGCCAGATATATTAGTTGTTCGACGCGTATCCTGTCTAAAAATGTACATTGATACTATCCCACATGGTTACAGATTGGTCACGGAGGCTCTATATGAAGTGCTACAGTGCGTCAGTGGCCGGGAATTGAACCCTGGACCATATTCATGGTCAGCGAACATTTTACCGCTGTGCCACCGACGCACACAAACATATGTAGACATATGTAAAAATCATATTTGTAAAACCTCAGAGAAAATGCGAAGATAAGGATCAATCGAAGTTAGTTTCTAAGAATTGGGTTAGCACAGTGGTTATTCCTTACTGCAAAGAAACATCAGATGAGATAAAGCGAATCCTCAACAATCATAATATACGAGTGTACTTTCGTGCAACTGACACCTTACGCTCATTACTTGGGAAAGTTAAGGATACAATAGAAGAAGGCAACCAATAGAATTTGGTGTAACAGATCAATTGTGGGGACTGTGACGCTGTATGTCCTGGAGGAACTTCCGTACGAGTAAATATAAGACCAAAAGAGAGTAAATAATGTATAAAAGTGGTTCTAAAGACATCTACATTCTTGAAGAAGCTAGAAAACAGAGCAGCGATTGCACTGAAGTCGATAGGAAAGCGACACAAAATAGACTTTGATGGGACTAAGGTTCTATAGAAAGGTTTGGTTTGAGTAAAGAAAGACTGATTGCAGAACCCCTACATTTATGGGTGAATCCCAACAGTTTGAACAGACGTGAAGGTGGGATGTTTGCTGATTTATGGCATGTCCTGATCAATGAATAAAGATGGAATATGTATCACTAATTAATCATACTTGATCTAAATCCCCCATTGTCTATATCTTCTTATGGAGAGGCCAAGGAATGATTTACAATTGTTTTCCCTCCACACGCCCCACACACACCATTGAATATCACATATACACATATATATTCTTTCATACTCAGTTACCTCCGATAATGAACTTTAGTCGCACGTAATCATTACAAATATGACTAAAAACTACACTCTGTTTAAAGTGTTTAACAAAAGTAGACTAATATTTGTAAGTCTGAGGTCAAATTGTCATTGCAGTTTATACAATGCGCATCCTGGATTCCACTACTAGTAACCATCCACAAATTAAATTCTTATTACATGCCCAGACATCGTCGAAGCATCTGCGCAAGAAGCCGACATGTCAACCCGAGATGGATCACTTCGGTCCAATCGATCGACGGGAAAATCTAAGAATTCAATTTAATAATTAATATGACCCGTTATACAAGAGGTGGCTCTCGTGGGAATGCAGGCACATCCAGCTGATGACGAGTCCCAAATGGGACGAAATGCGCGTTGTCCTGGATCCTACTGCTAGTCACCATCCACCAATTAACTTCTCATACAATTTTGTTTATTATATCTTGATGCCTTTTTCATTACTCATATGATTGGACAAAGTTTTTAGAAAAATAAGATATGTCCTTTTTATATATAAACCTCTGTTATGTTAATTTCGATTAATTTCCCCGAAGAAGTTCGGGCTACCAGTTTGCCGAACGTAGGGAACGTTGGAATTACATATGTCTATTAAATGATGAGGCTACTTATTTCAGTAGTTAGTTTCTGTTCATCTCACTGTTGTTGTTCTTGTTGTTTTTGTTAAAATTTCATCTTCTCTTTTCTCTCCAAGTCACCAGATTTTATGTACAATATTTCCCGTCTTATATTATTATCTACACGTAAACATATTGGATCAGGTAGTCAAAAAGGTGCAAATCTAGTCTCATGTGGAGGTAATGGAATTGTACGCTTTTGGAATGCATATTCATGCATTCTGGTGGGTGAATTCTTAGCTCATGAAAACGGTAAATTAATTTTCATTATGTGCGTACGTGTGTCTGTATGTGTGTTTGTGTGTTTGTTGGTGTGAAGTGTTTAATTTTCTTAAATTTACGTTTTTTCACCTTTTTTAAAAACATATTTTATGCGCTTGGCAATAATGTTGTTGATATGGTACTAGTGGTCCAGTGGGGTTAACAATTTACTGCGTTAATGATTTAGTGGGGTAGAATGCTCGACGACTACTCACATGATCCTAGTTCGATTCCCAGACGACGTGAACTGGTAAAACCTCACCCAGTGGAACAAAAACACTACTGTCACTGGAATCGCAAATCTTAAAGACCCATATTCCACTGAGAAAGCAAAAATTATAAGTGAGGGAGTATAAAGTAATGTGAAGATTAGTTTCACCTACAGGCACCACAGATAGGGATGTCAAAGTCAGCCATCACTGGAACAGGGAAGGAAGATGGACGTTCGTTACCCTGAAATCAGTGTGTAAATCTACAGCATGTAGCATGGGGACAAATATTTGAGGTATTGTTTTTTACATTAATGTCAAGTCAATCAAGGCTTTTATATGGTCAAGAGATTGATACACGTCGTCAGAAGGATTTCTAGAAGGCTGTTGTTGATGTTCATCATCCTCCGCTTTCTTTTATCTCGATACTGAAGGTCAGATAGCTTTCCGGCTGGTAAGGATAAACAATATGGAACTTTGGAAGTGCAGAGAACTAACCAACCAACAACCTATTTTTTTTCCTTCACGTTCCACAGTGGAACATAGGGCTTCAAGCTAGTGGCTTGAAGTTTCTGTAGCAGTGTTTTTTATTTTACAGGATTGGGTTGCTAGCCTCATGCCCAACCTTTCCTCTTCACCAGCATTATTTCTGGCTTAGCGAGGTAAAGGAGTGCGTCTGCTGCCGGGGATCGAACCTCGGACCATGTGGATGGTCGGCGAGCCTCCTAACCGCTATACCACTGATGCATTTACCAATAACCTATTGCTTAATAAATATTATTATAGTTGTTTCCTTTATTTCCAAGAGGAACATAGGGCTTCAGCTGCACGTCTCCATTGCATCTGGCTCTCCGCCAACATTTTCACCTGGTTCTAAGTCTGCCCACATGCTTTTTTCTCCTCTTCACATGACCTCCTCCATGTCATCCTCTCACTGACGACCAACTCGACGCTTCCCATTCACATTCCGGTCGAGCTATGGCCTGTTGTGTGATGTCACTCACTCGATGGTTTGCTTTCTCAGATTATGGCCAATCCACTTCCATTTCTTCCTGCATATTTTTTGCACAATTGGTTCCTGGTTGGTTGGTTTGCTCCCAGAGATCTCTCACTATTGCTGATCTTTTCTGGCCGGCCATCTGATCTTGAGTGGTATTGAGCGAAGACAGCTGTTGATGAAGGTGTGTAGTTTGTTCGAAGTGCCCTTCGTGACACGCAGTGCAAGTCTCTGATCCGTATAGTAAGTAGCACTGACTTCACATTGGAGTTGAAAATATGGATCTTATTTTTCATGCTTGGTGTTTTGTTGATCTCCACACAGACTTGAGAGAAGTGAAAGCTTGCCTTGCTTCCTTGACCCTCGCTGCTTTGATATTCTCATTAGTTCCGTCTGTCGTTGAAACGAATGTGCATAAGGAAAATCTGATGGCATTTTTGTTTGAAAAAAGTATTCAGAAACATTTCAGGGTCATCACTTCTTCCATATTTTTTAATGTATAACTTTCAAACATGTTTAGAAAGTTGTAAGATATATAGTAATGCATACATCTATATGAATTAGAAAACGAAAAGATAAAACCTTCATTATTTTAAAAATTTCAAATGTTTTATCAGTAGACTAATACTGACTTAAATCAAGATGATTAAACTTAAGATGAAAGCTTGTATGACATGATATTTCGAATCAATAGCCTACAAATTCCTGAGTTTTATTTAGTCTAGGTGGTGATAACGTCACATACTAGGAAAGTAGGACTATCTCTGTGACGAACCCCAAAGAGGATGAAATGTGACTTCTGAATTCTACTGTGATTCAAACAACATCATGTTAACCTTAGGAAATCGTTAAATCATCCGTAATGGGAGCTGTAATGTCGGGCAAGACTAAACAATTCACAGAAACGTATTCAGTCAACGAGAAATATTCTCAACTTAGATTTGATGATATTAGATAGTTGGAGGCAATTGGAAGGAAGCATTAGACCTAGGTTTTGTGCTAGTTGGCACTCATCAGCAAGGCGTATCTGCAACCTTGAAGGAACTCATGTCCCTTCTGAGATTCAAACCCGCGTCACCATCCAGTGCTGCAGCCACAGACGTTACCACTGAGCTATTCGGGCTCGCAATTGATCTCCTGTAGGTCTAATGCTTCCTGACGATTGCCTCAAACTATCTAATATCATCAAATCAATGTGCACCGTGATGGATGGCGAGCTACCTAGAACGGTGGCCACATTGCAAACCTGACTGATAGAATTCAGTCTGCACCAAGGAAAGGACTAGACACGTCACACTAGTTACTAGTGTCCAGTCAAACTGTTTTCTACTTATTTCAAAAGCTGCTCCGTAAACAAAAGGAGAGATGTTTAACTATTTGAAATCTTTTGACATTGTTAAATATGTGATGTATCAATAATATTTTTTACAATACACATACCGTCGTGTATATTCTAAAATAAATTGTGCTATAATATGTGCTAATTATTACAGTGTCTCAATCTGTCCCAGTACTTACTTAGGCAGCATTATTGCAGCTATGAGCGACCCCAATTGGGGATGTCAAAGCTAGTAAAGAACAGAAAAGCAAGAAAAAACCTTCACTACCTTGAAATCAGTGTGAAAATCTGCTTCATTCATCAGGAGTAACATGGCATTCATTTTATCGACAATGATACGAAATCATTCATACTTCTATAGGGTCCGAAGTACTTGCACTGCGCGTTACCGAAACCACTTCCAAGAGGCTACTGAAGGATTTCATTAGTTGGGTCCATGGTGGAGATATCCAGCAGGTCATACTGGATAAGCAACAAGTAACTGTCGTAACGAACTAACCAAGAAGCTATTACACAACAGATATGCAGAATAAAATGGATACCCTCTAAGCAGACCCTTGAATGAAATCATGCGCCTATACCTCGAGTGGAACCTGAATGGGAAAAGACGGATTGGTCTTGAGTCTGAGGGAGAGATAGAGGAGACTGTGTGGAGGACAAGTCAAGGGGGTTGGGCAATCGTGGGGCCAGCTAAAGAGGACCCCATAGAATAGAACAAAGTGGAGACATTCTGTTCATGCCCTCTGCTCCTCTCGGAATCCAAAGGAATTATAGTAATAATAATAATAAAAGCCATTCAAGTAGCTAAAAGCATTGAAATAGTTACATATCGATCAGTGCACTTTAAAGGTGCTGCATTAGTCATATGATATATAAATATATATATGTAAGTACGTACTTTAGAAGAATTGGAACTATTCAAATCAGTGTGAAATAAATCCTCATACTTAAGTAAACAAAAAGTAAAAGAATGCACCAGATAAATATTAATCTACGAATTTGTTGTGGAGGAGTGTTACTGTATTGTGGTTATCGTCTAACTAGACTAGAATACGCCTCCAGACACGATACAATAACCATGTGATCACTTAAAAACATTTCCCACACTCAGATAGATACGAATGTCAGACTGAACTGAGAGAACAACGACAAATATTTATCATTTGAAAATATGTGGCACATTTAGTTTACAATCCCTCCGAAATTCTAGCTGTAAATAAGTAGATGAATCTGATTGGATACATGACACCGAAAATCCTCAGAAAGTTAAGCCATAAAGAGGCCAGTCAAAAACTGTCCAATCAAATTATCATACTAATGCATGTATAAGTCATAACTTCAGGGTTAACAATGATAGGTTATCTGTCCTAGAAGAAGTAAAGACTTCTTTCAATATGTGGAGGTGTTGCGGCTCATTGGCTCGAGTCCTCGACTTTCAGAATCCATGTACTTCAGCCTACACCATCAGAAGCCCTCATACATTCATTATATGTAGCTTATATTAGCCTGGTTAGTGGAAAATGTCTTTTTTCCACATATCTGAACAGTTAATTTGTTACTAATTCTTACCTTATTACAATTATCAAGTATAACTTTTGTAGGGATTTTGTTTGATTGGATAGAGGATTTCATCATGAGCTGACATCAGTTAAAGAAGCATTGGAAAACTTGGGAGTACTGGACAGCTGTTTCGTCCTAGTTTGGGACTCTTCAGTGGTACACACCCACCGGGGTTAGAACCCAGGACCCTATGGTTACAACGCGAGCTCGTAGACCATTGAGCCACTGGGACCCAATCCAATAGTCAGCATATGAACTCTAACTTCTGCCAATTCACGACATGGCACGACAGTTTCGCAATGTCTTCTTCGATGAGTTACTGCTTCATCTTCAACCTGCTGTACCCTTCTGGTCACGGCTTCCCACTGGAACCCCAGGTTAACTGCCTGAATAGGGCCAGTCACTAGTAAGCTTCAGATTAATTTTCAAGTATTAGTTTTGTAGGGATTTTGTTTGATTGCATGGAGGATTTCATCATGAGCTGACATCAGTTAGAGAACCAATTAAATTGATTATTTTTAACCAGAATTATCTTTTACCTGTGACATTCAAATTATTATTTTCTATTTTATTTCCTCATTTTTTTTAACATTTCTTAAATGAAAAAAAACAACAATAAACAAACAAACAGCTAGTAGTATTATCATGGCGATTGATATTAATGACGAGTATTTAGCAACTGGTGATGTTGAGGGTACAGTGAAAATATGGAATATTAAAGATTATTGTTTAAATGAAGGTGAAATGGAGGTGGATTGTGCACCAGGTAATTAATTACACAATTTTATCCATTCAATCTTTCTTTTTGCTCTACTGTGGTTTGTTTTTTCCCTTTACACTTAACTTGAAAGTGTATGAAAATACATTAAGGTAGAGTAGTGAAACGTGATTAATGCCATTGAAGAACTGTTTCCTCCTAGTCTGTGACTCCTCATCAGTGATTACTCATGACTCTAACAGAGATCGAACTCAGGAACTTCAGGTACCGAGGCGATCTTATTGACCATTCACAGCCACTGTGTTTAAATACAATGACTTATCAGTTTGTGATATAGGGTTACCAACAGCCATCACCATTTGTGATCATGAGGCTTAACTTTGACCTAGTGGGCCTCACTAGCTATGATCTCTTTAAGCGATGTTAATTCGAATATTGTACGCCATATTATTTGATATTACAGTACAGATTTGTTATATTTAACATACTCTTATCTCTATGACAGAGTCTAATACACCAAGAACTTTTTAGTGTATGTGACCTTATGGTCTCAACTGCTGACACGTATATCCTCACATTTCTCAAATATCAGGAAGATGGTTTCCCCTATGTCAGTAAAACATATTAGATGTCGTTCATTTATTTATATTCTTATATTTCATATACAGACAATCATTTCATCAACCTTAAAACCACCGAAGTAATACGGATGAACGAAGAAGGACTACATTGTTTAAACTTCTGAGTCTCCGTTTCAGATAGTTCCTCTGTCAGTACCTTGTTGTTTTTTTCACAAGTGAAACACTTGTTAGACTGCTTCACTCTTATTCGGAAAACTGACACCTGTTACTGAAGTTCTTTGACTCGTAGTTCCTTGTCGTTAGCTGCTTGACACTCATTCAACCATTATTCTACTGTTGGACACAATAAATGTTTTCTGGCCTTCATCAGTTCGTTGATTTGACTGTGTTCAACAATTGTAGGCTAAGGTAATGATTAGTAAGCTAGTGGTTGCATTTGTGAATTTTCATCCAAGGGGAAATAACGTATGTCGCAGAAGATTTGTTGGTTTTATTCCCAAAACCATTAGATATGCATCTTAACATAGCTGTAGGCTCCTAAATTTCCGGAACATCTGCTTGCTGAAATTAACCACTTGACAATCTTCTCCCTCAATGTCTTCCCTCCAATTCCTTGAAAACTATCTTAGATGAAGATTTTTTAAAGTGACGATTCACAGGACGACCAGCCTAATCTTCTAACTTTGCACACCGATCAAATAAGAAATGTCTTAAAAGACCTGCAGTATTGGAAGGTCTCTGACTGAGAAAATGGCGCTTACTGAAGTGGATGAGACTGACGACAGCAGAAATAGTGTTTATTACCACAAGATAGAATACATATTATGGAAATTGTAAGCTGTGGATTGGTGTCACAATTTGCAAATAATATCGCTTCCTTCTTGATTCTTCATAGTATCGTTATCTTGTAACATTTCTTTCCACTGACGCATAAATTTTTCAGTGCACTTTTGAAGACATTATTCGAATTACTGCTGATATCTATTTGAGAGTAGAATACACCAACCCTAAATACTCATTTATGTTCCTTATCTTTACATCTAAACTTAAGTGGTGCACTTTTGATGCACATCAGAACATCGGTTGGACATCATGCATCCACAAGCGTTTTATGAACTTCTGAAAACTTATTTTCCCCTATCTCCTTGGAACATAAGTGTCTTTAAACAGAAAGCTGGTTATGAAATCTGTGTAACACCGAGTTATATTCATTCAAAAGTCCCCTAGCGGACGAAATCTAACATGGAGGTAATTTAAAACCTTTAATACTGAATGATAGAAAGAAAATTTAGTCCAGTATACACTAATCACTGAATATATGATGGAGGTTCCAGAGTTCTAACGTGAAATAGTGGCCAGTGGTGTCTACCAAATCAAATATATGAAAACAAAATGGTGATAGTTTACACCCGGTGACGAGTGAACAAGGGATGGAATTTATGTTCCAGTGAATGAAAAGCAGCATGTTTGCCTCGTAAGTTTGAAGTCTTGGGCTTGATCTCTGATAGACTCATATGGTCAGCATTGTGATACAGAGTTCCAACCTAGACTGAATCAACTGTCCGATTCTCTTGGTCCTTAATGATTGTTGGATTGAAAACGGCTCGCGAAGAGATATATCTTCAAAATAAAGTGAACTGTTTTCTTGAATTGATTAGGAATGGGACATATACTGATTAACATAGCTTCTGTCTTAATGAATTTGTGAGTTTAGACAGCAGGGGGATCCTATCTTTAGAGGAAGAGAGAGAATAATATGGTATAAGGTTTTCAACTTTTACTGATTTCTCACAGGTGTAATGTTACTTATGCTTGTAACTGTAACTGTTCATCCTTTTTATGCAATCTAATAGTTGTTAATCAACAATTTAATATTTTTACTGTTGTTTTAGATTTAATAGGTAAATGGAGTGCTCATATAGATTTAATTTCTGGTCTGTGTTTCTGCTCGCGTGTGGAACGTAGAACGCTTATAGCTACAGCATCAAGCGATTGTTCAGTAATTTTATGGACCCTTGAAGGTATGAAGATAGGCATATTTGGACAAGTAAGTCTGATTTTGTTTCTTGTCAGTTTCATATTCTATTCTAAAGGGGAAATTTTCCCAGCGCTAAACATTAATGAATATATATATTTTGAAATGTTAACTAGAGGTGTAGGCCTTTTTGTGTGCCTGTCGTTTAATGGTGAAATGCTGGTCAACCACACCCTCATCTGGTGAGGGCTCTATTCCCAGCCGACGTACTTCTAAACCTCACTCCTTGATTAGAGGGAAGGTTGGGAGTGAGGCTAGTAACATCGCTGCTACTGAAACTTCAGAGTATAAGCTTGAAGTTCCGTGATCCACTCAGAAAGTGAAGTTTAAAGTATGGGCCCCATTATATAATGGATGAGTGTTATTTCAACAGAAGGCTTAATACACAGTCTTAGGTTATATAAACAGTAATTTTGAAATATTCTTTTTTCTGATATAAATCTGTGTTACCAATTGCTAGTGTTCTATTGAACTGAAGTAAACTGGACCGGGTGGGACTAAATTTTTAGGGTACGACTTTTCACAACAGTGCTAAGCTTCATAAAGATGAAAAGAAGAGATGTGAAGGAGTTTTAATAACTGAAAATTTATTTGAGAAAGGGAAATCTGTGAAGAGAAGACAGGAGTAAGATTAAGGATGCCTACCATCACCGATGATATTTCTGATTATGGTGGACTGGATTATGCGACAGACCATCGAGAAAGAGTAGACAGAAATAAATGTGGCCGACAAGAACATATGTGGACGATTTACGTCTAATGTTACATAGACTCGAGGATCTATAGACTAAAACCAATAAGTTGGGACAAGTTGAGACTAGCAGTGATGACACGACTTCAAGTGAACAGATGTGATAAAAAAAACCAACCAACAACAACAGTAACAAACACCAATCACTATCAGAGGGAGAAGTTTGAAAGAGGTGAATTCCTCCACTCATTTAGGCAGTGGCATCTCAACTGCAGTAGGTGGAACAAATGAATATGTCAAAACCAGGATCAGAAAGTCAAGGCAGACCTTCCTCAGAAACTTTCACTGAGCATCACGAAAAGCATTTTGAACAGTCAGCTGCAGACTCTTATCAATGGCTACCTTCATTGGCTTCATACTGAAAATCAGATGACCGGAAATAGAGAATAGGTAACAAAAAACTCTGAGAACGAACCAATCAATAGCCTTTTGCTTAAGAAACTTGCCAAAGAAAATATAAATGAATTGGGCACACGCTCAGGAGACAGTTGGATGGCATCGAGCTCCGGGCTTTGGCTTGAGCGGAACCTGAGTCAAAAACAACGTTGGGCGTGAGTCCAAGGATGACATGGAAGAGATTGTGTGAAGAAGATATGAAAGTCTTTCGACAATCTTGGGACCAGCTAAAAGAAACTGCAGAGGACAGGAAAAAGTGCCCTATGTTCCATTCGCAATGCAAATAAATAATGATAAATAATAATAACAATTGGTGGATGGTGATTAGCAGTGGAATCCAGGATGCGCATTTCATCCTGCATTTCCCAGTGAGTAATGATGTTCCCACCGAGGCTCGAACTCAGCGCCCATAGTTTCAAACGCCGAAGCGTTATTCACTAGAACACTCGGGCCAGGAGAGCCAACTCTTGTGCAACGCGTCATATTAATTATTTAATTGAATTCTTAATTTTTCCCGTCGATCGATTGAACCGAAGTGCTCGGCCTTAGGTTGACATGCCGGCTTCTTCTACAGATGCATAGACGATGTCTGGGCATGTAATTAGGAGTTAATTTGTGAATGGTTACTAGGAGGGGAATCCAGGATGTGCATTTCGTCCTATTTGGGACTCATCATGTCAACCTGAGACCGAGCGCTTCGGTCCAATCAATCGACGGGAAAATCTTAGAATTCAATTAAATAATAACAATATTGGAGAAAAAAATAATTACACGAAAAATAATCACAATGTTGCAGAAGGAATGAACTGAAGTGTGCTATCAAAAAATGATTCTTAGTCATAACATCAATATTAATCTGCAGCGGCTGATTCTTATCGTCTCAGGGAAATCAGCTAGGCAGTCTATACCTACTTACATGGCTCAAACTAAGAGTCAAAAAGCTTCATAAATTAATGCCACGTTTTGGTCTGACCAACTTTCACTATTTTCCAACCTAATCTTATGTTGGTTCTCCCTGTTAGTCGAGGAACACGACATCTTGTAACGCATAAATTGTATTTTATTTTATTGTGTCGATTTTTGCAATCACCAAACTAAGCCAGATTACTTTGCATACAGAATAAAATATTGGTTTGTGTACATTTCATATTCAGATAAATTCAAATTGTCAGTTTACAATTGACTTTTATAATTCTGATAAAGGGTATTTAATCCATTAGAAAGATTGACTTAAAAATATGCGCTATTTACCCTTCTAACAACAAGAAGTTTGTGACAAACTGAGTCAGTTAATCGCTGAGATTCAATAGTCCATGAATAAATAGGATCAAGGTAGAAATGAAGATTATAAAATAAATTCAGCCACTTAAGAAAGCATAAGTTAGCACAAAGGACGAAGTTGCCTGGAGTTCTAGTGAGACGTCGTGACTAGTTTTGGGTCCGCCAGGTCAACAGTCAGAACAAATACTCGCTGATGACATACTGGTCGGTGGTCGTGCTAAAATTCCGAATTGGTAGAAGTTAGAATTCATGGGCTGGCAGTTGGATGAGATGCAAGTGGCTGAATGGTCTACAACCTTGCCTTGTAACCGGAAGGTCCTGCGTTCAAAACCAGGTTTATTGATACTGCCGACGAATCTCAAGCTAGGACGAAACCGATGCCGAGTATTTCTTTGAGGGTTTTCCAACGGTTTTCTAACTGATATCAATCCATAATCAAACTTGAAATAGATCAAATCCCTGCAAACTAACTCTTGAGAATGAAAAGATTTCCTTTTGTTATTTAAGCGGTTTATATTGACAACAAAGGTCAAAGGTTATTATCACTTCGTAACTGAATAGGTCAGAGTGTACTAGAAATAACGATGTGTGAAAAATCCGACGCGATCGAGTGAGTTGATAGCTAATTCATCAAATGATGAATAATCATTTGAAAACAATTCATGGGAAACAAGAGAACGAAAAAGTGAGCTGACACGAACAAGTGAACTGATAAATACGCACTGAAGTTGCCGGCAGTCCGATCCTGCCTTTTTATGCTTTGGTGAACTACAGCATACATGGAGAACTCTGTGTCGACATCTTAGGAGCAGTGGATTAATTGTATCTCCTTCAAATTTCACATTTACAATAGTTGTTTCTTCAGTAAATAGAGTTTTTGTGAAGGATTAATGAAAGCCTCATTAGTGTACTCAATAAGAAGAGATTTCCACTGTTTTTCATTTCATAACCATTCTTAAAATGAGTTTTAAACATTTAAAAAATGTCGCAAAGTGACTAGTAGACATTCAACTTGTTTTCTATTATATCTGCCATTTATTAAAAAGGAAATTCGATGGAAGCTGGAAAATATTCAACGAGAGAATGCTTTACCATCGATAGCCAGTACAGAAAGTTGTCCAGAGGGTACATCTGGCGACTTAATAGCCGATATACCTGCACCAATTGATAGCTTAGAAAATTTTCTAGAAACTTCTCGTGTAAGTCAACAGACATTTTGAATAAAACTATGTATTTTGATTGGACACTAGTCAGTAACTAGTGTAATGTGTGTGTGTCTAGTCCTTTGTTTTGGTGCAGACTGAATTCTCACATCAGTCAAGTTTACAATGTGGCACTTTGAATTGTTGATAATAGATGTTTGGAGGCAAACTGCAGGAAGCCTTGGACCTAGGTTTCGTTTCTTCTGATCTTACCCGAAGATATACAAGGAGAAAGTTGAGAAAAAAGAGGGTGTTCAGTATCAGACAAGATAACTTTAGCCAAAATGTTTGCAAGAATTGAAATGCCTGTTGAGAATAATGTCAGTTAGCTTAGTCAAAGGCGCATCACTCACCCTATTTACAGTCTTCAGTGTTCTACGCAATACGGCAAAGTCTTTTTTAGAAGTCCAGGGGAGAATAATGGTGAACAATGAAGGAGAATAGGCAGAATACATGAATTAAGGAATTGTAAGAGAAGAGGTTGAGTTATGATGCCAGAAAGTCTCAACTTCTTTATGTAATAAGTCAAACGAAAATGTTTCTTAAAAATCATCAGGATATGAGATGGCCAACAGAGATTCGAAGAGAAAATAATGCCGAGATGGGAGGTACTCAATTTACTCCCTACCATAGTGCTGTCAGTATTACAGGAATTATGCTACTGAATAAGTCCCCGCAAGTCTTGTTCGCAAATGAAACTAAAATCAACAATATGATATGTAGATGAATTTAATTTAAGACCGCTTAGGGGAGACCATTTGTTAACTTCAGACAAGAATCTATTCATAAGACAACAATACAAATCAGAAACTGCTGGGATAGAAATGGTAAGATCATCGGCACATTTAGTGAAGTTAGCTTTGGAAGAATATGGAAGGTAATGCAAGAAGACAGAAAAGAGGAGTGGAGAGAGTACATCGAGACCTCGACGCACGAAACGGAGCGCTTTCCATTCAAAACAGTATGTTGTTTTCCGTCCGAAAAATGATAAGACAGCCACATTGTGATCCAGGAATCAGTGTTTACTGAAATCAGCTTGCTTAGTAAAAGTACCTTATGAATAGAGACAAAAGCAGCAGTGTTGTCTCTATAAAGGAGGCCTGAACAAACTCTACGCCTTTATCAAGATTTGAAACAATATTGTGGTAGAGTACAAACGACAGCATCTAATGTAATTCTATTGCATTTTTAAGCAAATTTCTTTGCATCATTGAAAGATTTCAAAGAAGATTTAAGAACATGCAGGGGAAGTTTCTCCACAATTTTCAAAGATGGAGACGTGATAGCGATTGGCCTAAACATTAGACCTGATGCAGAAGATGACTTTGGTACAGGGACCACTTTTATTTCTTTCCAGACAACAAGTACTGTATCTCTGTGAAATTATGCATTAAAGATTTGAGTTAGAGGATAACACGAAATATCAGCACATTTCTGAAGCAAAATGCTTGATACACAAGAGGGTTCTAGACTATCGGCTAAATGTGACATGGAGGAGACTGTGTAGAGGAGATGAAATTGTATGGTAAATGTTGGAGTCAGTCAAAGAGGACTTCAGGGAACAGTGCGAAAGGAAGTCGTGCTCCTGAAGTCCCATTTTCCACTCAATATCCAAGGGAATTATATATATATATAACTGTAGAGCCCTTAATAAGGAACTAATTCAATAGGAATGCCTCTCCTTTCTCAATGTTCTGTCTTCTTGTACAAATAAAGAACGGTGTGAAATTTTCTTAAATGTCATTATTTAACACAAATGTCTATGGATTAATATAACTTTTAGTTCAAAACGACATTTTATCTATTCAAAGACCGTCTTCACCTTGTACATATAGGGACACAAAGTCGTTAGACATCTTTAGCTCGAAGGAACCAACTTACACTGGTGTAGAACATAAATTGAGAGCACTGGTACGATTGTGCATCAAACGCCTCTAATAAGCGTCAGCAATACCACGACTATCTCACATTTGATCAGTATTGCTATTTATCATTGTAATCATTCACTGATTTAAATACTATCTCCTGTTCATTTTCCGGTGTACAAGTTATACATTTATTTATGGTCCGGGGTTCGATTTCCGGCCGACACACACCTGATATCAAATGGTCGGACTGCTAAATTTTGGGCTACCAATATCACATGCTGGAAATTGTATTCTTATACCAAAAATACTGTGTGGAATCAAGCTATAAATAAAAATTTTAAAAAATTTATCATCTTACCATTTTTTGTTATACAGAAAGAATCAACAAGTCCTGAATTCACAGTAGAAATGTCAGGAGAGCTAGACGGTGAAATGTCACTTGAAGAAATGAATAAAGCTTTATCAAGTTTTCGTGTAAATGCCTGGAAAAATACTGTGCTAGGTAAGTGAAGTTAATCTCAGCTTTATTCCATCATGCTTTTGATCAGAAAAATTTAGTTGAAAAGTATATATATGCCACTTAACTTTGTCATTATTTGTTTAATTCTGTTTTAGAAGACAAAAGAAACTTTGAGCAAAAAATATTTTCCTCGATAATTTCCTCTTCTGGCTCTGCAATCATACATAAATATATATATATTGCTTACAAGATTTCATCATGAGCTGACATCGGTTAGAGAACCATTGGGAAACCAACAGGGAGTACTGGACAGCTGTCTCCGGCCTATTTCAGGACTCTTCTGCACTACGCACCCATCAACAGGGTTCGAACCCAGGTCCTTCTGGTTACAAGGCGAATTCGCTCGTAGACCATGAAGCCACTGGGACCTGCCAATTCAATGGCTGGTCCATGAATTCCAACTTCTGCGAATTCACAACATTGCGCCATCACTAGCCAATGTCTTCGGTGAGCATTTGTCCTCACACCCAACTTGCTGCACACTACTGGTCATGACGTCCCACCAGGACTCAGGTAACTACCTATCTGAATAGGGCCAGCATCTTGTGAGCATCTCATTGACTTTCAAGTATTGTTATGACGTCGTGACCAGTATTGTGCCACAAGTCGGGTGTGAGGACAAAGGCTCACCGAAGACATTGGCTAGTGATGGCACAATGTCGTGAATTCGCAGAAGTTGGAATTCATGGACCAGCCATTGAATTGGCAGGTCCCAGTGGCTTTAGAGTCTACGAGCTAGCTCGCCTTGTAAGCATAAGGTCCTAGATTCAAACCCCTGTGGTGGGTGCGTACGGCTGAATAGTCGCAAACTAGGGAGGAGAAGACAGCTGTCCAGTAGTACTACCATGTTTTCCAATGGTTCTCTAACTGATGTCAGCTCATGATGAAATCCTTTAACCAATCAATCAAATCCCCACAAACCAATACTTGAAAATATATATATTATTCTAGAATAATCTTCATAAACAACATTAGTGTTTTTTAAATAAAGTCAATTTGTTAAGATCAGTGAAATTACAGTTAAGGAAGATACTTAACTTATAATAAGTATAAAAATGTAATAGTAAATAGAATATCAAATAGCATTAAGGAAATCTCTACAACAAATTAAAGATCATTCAAACCTTGATGGCTAGTGGGCTAAGGAAAACTTTCGAATCCATTTCTTTTGGATACACAGATTAGGCTTCTTAATGTACATTCCAACAGCCAGTCTCAGTAATATGTAATAGATGAACTATTGAGGTCAAATCAGGATTAGGTGTTATTTTCTAGATGACTTTGAAGGCCTTGTTTACATTAACTTTGTGTTCTGTATCTGCGAGATTAGATGGTATAGAACTATGAACGGACTTTGTTGATCCTTCAGTTAACCACGCTGGATGATGCTCAGAAATCCGACGAGGAACATGCCTAATTGGACAGCCTATGTAACTGGCTTCACAGGATCATTCGAATCGGTAAATACACATGGAAGAGGCGAAATTAGGCAGTTTATCTTTTACTTCCGAACGCGAAATAGGAGTGGTTTTGAAGATACAGAGTACGCCAGCAGCACTAAGTGCTCTTCTCAACGCATTTCCTAGGCCTTGTATTAATATCTCACTGATGTCATCTCTGAGGCACTGAAGTCGTAAGAATAAGGCCTTTTTCGGAAATGTTATTACTTTGTTCAGCCTTGACTTTTGACTCATATTCTTATTCATATTCTGGGTAACTGTTCTGACTCAGCAACTGTCTTATAATATTAAGCTCTTCATTAAGACATTCATCAGAGCAGATCGCTCTTGCTCTGCGGTGGACCAAACACTTTATTAGATTGCGTTTGTTTTTCAAACGTACGAAGCCGAAAAAAATGAGTATGCTAACCGGTTGATGTTGGCTTTCTGAATAAACTCCTTATTGTACCGTCCTCTTTTCTAGTCATAAGAACGCCGAGGAATGAAATACTAGAGTCTCTTTCTTTCTCGATGGTAAAGTCCATTGCAGGATAAACATCGTTAAATTTGTCCAGCTTGTTCTTCGCTTCATCATCATTTTTCATAAGCAAAAATGTATCATCCATGTATTGAAATTAAAATTCTAGTTCGTCAGTTACATCTTCCAGAGGCCCATTCTCTAGTTTTGCATGCAAAATGTCGGTTAGAATGGATGCTAGTAATGATCCTATTGCCATACCATCAATTTGTTTATATGATACCTTCCTTATTAAATAAAAAGTGAACGTTCAAAAGAAGCTGTTTAATAAAATATATTGCAATGCCAACATCAATGTTTCGTCTTATATGTTCTTCACATACAAAGTCTACTGATTCTATAAGTGGTACATTGGTGAATAAGGAAGCCTTGTTGTTTCAATCTTTTCAATCTGATCCAGATAAGATGAGATTTCTTGGAATGTTAGACTGTCATTAAGAATGGCATTCATCTTCTCTAAGTAAACAGTCAAGATAACCACTCCTGAACCCTTATCAGATCTTGTTATTAATATGGTATCGTTTTGCGGAGAATATCTCTGGCTTTCCTGTGTCTTTCGGCCAAAGTATTATCTTAGTTGCCTTTACTATTAATATAATTGCAGCAACAGTCGACCAGAGTTGATAAAAGTTCTTCAACAGCTTCAGTTGATGAGGGTATTAACCCTTCGGCTTGAGTGTAGAGACTTTCAAACTGAAATTGTACATCCACTTTATTAGTTCTAACATGACTACTGCAAAACTTAGGATCAAGAGAGCCAGAAGAGGAAGATATCGAGGGAAAATTTTCTTTTGTCTTCTTCTTAGTATCTAAATGAATATTTTCGCTATGTTGAAATCTAAGTTTGTTTTTCTGGTTGATTGCATCAAAGTGTTCTGTCTCTGTCTTTTGATACATCAGCTGGTAGTATGGACGCCTCAACGATGTCTTAGGGTTAAAATGATACTGTTTGGTGGATGATGACTAGCACTGGAATTCAGAGTGAAAATTTTGTCCTATTTGGAACTCGTCAACTACTGGATGTAACTAGTGAGTAGTGGTGTTCTCACTGAGGCTCGAACCCAGTACTCATTATTCCAAACTTTAACGTATTATCCAGTCGACCGATTGTGGCAAGAAACACACTTTTTGTACAGCGGGCATCAGTTATTAATAATTTATAAAACACAAAATAATCGAGCAAAGAATATCCTTTTGTGATAAATTCCTCTTCCGACTCTACAATTATATATATATGTTTATATACATAGAATATTCCGGATTAGTAGTTAATAACAATATTAGTGTTTTTTAAATAATATCGATTTGTAAAGTATGATCGATGCAATTACAGTTCATTAAAGATGCTTAAATTATAATAATAATAATAAATAGAATATCAACTAAAATTAGGAAAATTCCACAAAACTTCAGGATCATTCAAACCTAGATGGTCAAGGTAAGGATAATGTCCGAACTGACTTCTTTTGGATGCACAAATTAGGCTTGTTAATATGGATCCCAACAGCTTCAGCAATATTTAGTACATGGGTGATACATTCTTGTTTTTGAAAAATGAGGAGGAAGAAAAGAACATCCTGGATCAATTTAACGAGGTTCATCCTGCAATAAATTTTACTATTGAGAAAGAAAAAGACTGTAGTATTTCATTTCTAGATGTCCTTATGACCATAAAAGAGGATGGCGCAATAAGAAGAAGTGTATGTAGAAAACCTACATCAACTGGTCAGTATACTCATTTTCTCACCTTTGTGCAATCTAATAAAGTGCTTGGTTCACAGAGTAAGAGCAGTCTGCTCGGATGAATGTCTTCATGAGGAACTTAATAATATTAAACGGTTTCTGAGTGAAAATGGTTATCCAGAAACGTTTTTTGATAAGAATATGAATCTAAAATCAAGGCAACCCAAGGTACCAACAGTTCCTAAAAAAGCCTTATTCTTACAAATGCAGTTCCTCGAGGACAACATCAGACAGATACTAATACAACGCCTTAGAAATGAGGTAAAAAGAGCATTCCCTACTGCTGAATTATGCTGTGTCTTCAAAACCACTCCTCTCTTGCGTTCGGGAGTAAAAGACAAATTACTTAATTCCGCCTCTTCCATGTGTATCTGCCAATTTAACCGCTGTACAATTAGTCATGTTTCTCGTCGGATTTCCGAACATCATCAAGTGTGGTTAAATGAAGGACAAACAAAATCTATTCTTAGCGCTATTCTATCCCATCTTGTGGATACAGAACACAAGATTGACGTTAACCATGCTTTCAGTGTCATTTACCGCATACCTACGAATCTCAATTTTACCTTAAGAGTTCGACTACTAAATATTGCTGAATCTGGCTGTTGGGATCCATATTAACAAGCCTAATTTGTGCATCCAACAGAAGTTAGTTCAGACATTATCATTACCTTGGCCATCTAGGTTTGAATGATCCTGAATTTTATAATTTAAGCATCTTTAATGAACTGTAATTGCATTCATGGGCGACCTGGACTCTACTGCTTGTCACCATTCACTAAATAACGTAATTCGATTTAAAAGCTTTAGGGATTTCGGTGTTGATATGCAGTGATTTGATTGATTTCAGTTCAGTTCAGATCACGAGATAACATCAACTGATTAACCTACTCCTACAAGTAATTACAGCTATAATATCTTGTTGAAAGATTCTTAATTGCAGTCAGGAAGGAACCTGTTACAAACTAACAGTTTATGACTTATCTACAAATGCAGCCAGTGCTATTTTCATTTAAGAAGATTTTGATCCAGTCTGATGTAAAGTAAATCAGATCCATAATCAGCAATTTACACACTTTCAAGTGAAATTTCAGCCCACTTTCCAAAATTATTCAGATATCAGTATGTGAGCTGGTTTATACTGGAAATGGTAATCAGGAAACCAAGCATAATTGCATAGAACTATGCACTACTACTTACTGATTGAGACAAGTAGTCGGTATATCACTCAGCCTCAATCGGTGGTAGTTTCTGGCCAACCAGTTTGAAGTGATCAACCACTGAACGGTGATCGTCTTGTTCGTTTAGGGCTAAGCATATTGCAGGTGGTCTTTTGTGTTTAAATTCCTTATTATTTATTCGATGTAATTGGTTAATCTAATTACTGATTACATTATAATTAATAGGCAAAGTTTATCAGGAAGTACGTTTGAGTAAACGCCAGCGTAAACAACCAGTACTTTTAACAGAATTGTTTGATACACACGCTGAAGGTGCAAGTCAAAAGAATCAGGGACCGTATTATGTGAGTACAGTGTTTAACTAATGTATATATATATATATATATTTGTATATCTATTTATATAAATCAATTCAAACAAATATAGGATCAAAATTTAACACCAGTCGACTCATGTCTTTTTTTTTCATAACACAACTGCTGATCCAGTCATAGCACAATGAACGTTAACACTGAAATATAAGAAGAAAGCTAGAATGAGAGTTCTGTTTGAAATGTAGAACTTGAACATCACATCTCCATTCTCTAACATTACTCTCAGTTGATGCCATGACTACCGACAAATTTTCATTTCCGCCTCAAATGTTCTTCTACATGTTACCTTCAGATATCCTAATCTGTTGCTTTGCGTTTAGGTTGCACTAAAAAGGTATCTTCAGCATATATCCTGTCCGTCTTCGTTTCTTTCTACATGTTTAGTGGGTGATAGGTTGTTGGAATGGTTCGTCACACTACCAGAGTCCCTTGCTGAGATTATCCATTCTGACCAGGTGACCATCTGGTCTTCAATATGAAGCGAGTGATAAAAGTCTGCGCCCTGATGAAAACGTCTTTTCAGCAGTACGCACTCCCCGGAGGTCAAATTCCGGACCTTCTGGTTACAATGAGAGCTCGTAGACCACTAAGCCACTGAGACTAACTGGGTTCGAGCCCCTATGAGTGCGTACTGCTGGAGAGTCCCAAACTAGGATGGAGGAGACAGCTGTTCAGCACTCCCTGCAGGTTTTCCAATGGTTTTCTGACTGATGTCAGCTCATGATGAAATCCTGTAAGCCATCAATCAAATACCTAGAAAACCAATACTTGAAAATGTCTTTGTTGACGTACGCTTCAAATATCTAAATTGTATACAATCACTGATTGAATTAACGCAAAGTTCTCCCTCTAATAGTGATTGATGCTTCCTGTTATTATTGTTGTTGTTGTCATCATTGGTCACTGAATATCTTTATCACATCTGTCTTCATTATGCTGCACTGTCAGATTTCCTTCTAACTTATCCTCTCTTACTGACCGGGCATCTCAGCCAGAAAAAGTTAGTTGCGATGAAATTTCATGTAAGCTTGTTGAAAATGCGTGGGCCAAGTCTCTTAATCATAAAGAAGCATTAAATTGACATTAGTATTAAAATTGCGAATGTTTTCCATGTGCTTAATTTTGGGGATCTCCACAGCGATTTCAGAATAATGAATACCTATCTTGCTTTCCTGATCCCATCCTGATTGGCTTTGACATCTTCGTCTGTACTTTTTATAGTTGAGACTATGCTGCCGAGTTGAAGTGAGTGAAAGAGACAACTTCTTTTACTGGTTATTTGTTACTAGTCAGGTATCTTCCCTTAGTTTTATCTTCTGTGTACTCAACTAAAGTCCTTCCTTCACTACCTTTTCTGCCAATATTCGCCCGCATTTTCGGTGTTTCCACTGTTTGAAATTTCTACGTTTTTCCAGTGATGGAATTGGTGACCATAGTTCTCTATCTGCATCGATATAAAATAATACACGCCGTGTTCTTTTCACAGCTATTTTATGTTGTTGGACTCATAGCTGAAGGGAACACTCACTTCGTGATGAGTTTAACGCCGTTTTGATTTGATTATCTAATGGTTGCGTAGGATTTTTGTGTGTTCGCAAACTTTCGATATACATTATTATCTTTAAGAAGATGATTTGCCTTCTTCGTGTGACTTCTGCTTTTTCATGATTACTGTTGTTCTTCATTTATCAGTTAGGCATATAACTGTGTTCTCTGGATGTTTTGCTCTTAAGTATCAAGCTGGGTACTGTACTTTTTTCTGCTTGATCATGGGTATCATAAACACTGAAGTGTTTCTTATCGTATTTTTCTTTTTCATTTTGATGATTTAAGTGATAATTCCAAGGAAGCAAAGAAATTTGTCTTTGGAGAGTCATCAGTATTGTAATTCAGTCTTTTCTGATGAAGTTGATCTTCTATTTTTGATAGTGATTGTTTTGATAAATTCACTACAGAGTCAAGTAGCGTAATTTCTTTAGTCGATTTAGTTAGAAATCTGAGCCATTTTTCATTGAGGACTTTGTGGCACTACTCAACGTTGATAGGTGTTCTGGTTTGAAAGTTTGTTCTAACTATTCATTTTGAATTCTAGTAGTGAGCTGTTGGTGCGTTTTTTTCAATCCGATGGTGCGTGTCAGTAATCATTATTACTCTTTTATTACTAATATTCATTGTTCCGTTTGGTTCCAGGTGGGACATAGAGCTTCATTAGCACATCTCCACTTCGTCCCATCCCCTGTAGCCCTCTTTAGCTGGTCACATGAGTGCCAATTGTCTCTCATCTCCTTTTCGTCACACCGCCTCTTCCATGTTACCCTCACACACGTGCTCAACCTGTTGTTTCCCCTTCAGGCTTCACTAGGGGACCCATATGGCTCTATCCATCTCAACTTTCTTCACCTTATTTCTTTAGCAAGCGGTTGTTGGTTAGTTCACCCCCAGAGTTTCTTGTTACCGATCCCTTCTGGCTGTTTAATATTAACTACGGAGGCGGAGAAGGCAGAGATTTTGCAACCTATTGGAAAGGGTTTTCGGGACACACTAAGTCTTAGACCCACATTGTTCTTCTGATTTTCACCCCCTAATGGGCAAATAATACCATCTACTGTATATTAAGTGTGTTCTATCCTTCAGTGTTCGATCGTTATTAGATCAATCTCAGAGTTTTTACGCTTTTTTTCTCTTCTAACGTTTCTTCGTCAGTGACTGTTACCAATGACAAACAAATTGCCGTTATTTATCTGAAGTTGTTACTCAACATATTACTCATATCCATTCATAAGTAATCTACGAATTCGACAACAAAGTGCCACTGTTAGCAAGGTGAATTTTCTTAAACTTTATTTGTCATTTTGGGCGTGTACTACGACAAAAGTAGATAGAGGAACGATAAATCATGTAGCGAAGAGGAGGAATGAAAGATCCTTGTGAAACAAAGTTTAGACAGCATGAAAGGAAGTCATAAGTAGCAGAATATGGAGAGCTTGTGGAAATGGAAATTTCAGTGTAGGATTTCTGTACTTTACCATTTCTGTATATCATTCGCCAAATAAACAACTCTGATAACAAATAGTGCTGCTTCCTGCTGCTATCTACATTAGTTAACGTATCAGGAACTAACAAATTGAAATGTTTCAATTAAAGCTGAAAGAGGGGGAAAAAGTAATAATATTCTTTAAATACAGTTATAAGAAAATACACACACACACACAAGTTAATAGTGATTTAGATATTATGTGATCACTTCCCCTGACTGGTCTGTAAATGAAAGTTAATTCAGACAGTACAATCTTCCAGCCATCTGGCACTCATAAAGGCCCCAGTAAACTATCCTACTTGAAGTTGTTGGTGTTTCATATTATTATTATATTGTTTCCTTTAGTTCCTAGAGGAACATAGGGCTTCAGCCACACGTCTCCATTCCGTTTGGTTCTCCGTCAACCTTTTCACCTGGCTATACATCTTCCCACATACTTTCACCTCATCTTTACATGACCTCCTCCATATCACCCTCACACTGACGACAAACTCGCCACTTCCCGTTCGGGTTCCACTCGAGCTGTGGCCTGGTGTGTGATGTCACTTGATGGTCTTCTCAGAATATGGTCAATCCACCTCCAGTTATAATGATAAATACTGATAGTTGATCTATGACTAACAAATCAATACTATAATGCCTTTGTCAAAGTGAAGACTTAAATAGGAGGGACTTACGTATGCCTAATAAGATTAGTTTATTTTTAAGAAGTATTTTTCATGTTCTTTGAAGTTTCTATAGTTACTGGCGCCAACCCTCCCCCGTACCCCGATTTTCACCTTTCTTTCCGGCTTAGGATTGACTAGCCAATTATGCGAGCCAACAAAGAAGTTATTACCAAGCAAATTTGTAGAAGAGGATAAAGATGGATTAAACATATGCTGAGAATACCGTTGAGTTACGCGCTAGGCAGTCCCTCAAGTGGGACCCACGTTCAGCGTGGGTTCAAGAGTGACATGAAAGAGATTGTGTAAGTAGAAGGGAATGAAAGCCTAAGGACAGTTGTAGAACCCGCTTAAAAAGAATGCACAGTTAAAGGATGAAGCTCTAAGCTCCACTTGAAACTGAAGTGAATGACCATAAAATGATAACAATATACGAAGATCAGTTGTATGCAAGATTTTAAGTTATTTTTAATTAAATTATTTTGACTAGTCCTTAAGTGTAGATTATCACCTGGGAGTACTGGACAGCTGTTTCCTCCATCCTAGTTTGGGACTCTTCATCAGTACGCAGATTAAACAGGGACAAGGACAAATATTAAGGATTAAGTCAACAGGTGGTATGAAAACATCAGAACAATGATGTACATACAGTCTAGGAGAAAGAAGTATAACAATATAAAGTTATTATAATAAAGGTTTTTTGTATTTCCCAATGAATGAAAAACAAAATGATATTGTTTTTACTGAAGTTTTGATATTTAAAAGACCAAATCCCTAAAGATTTTCTATCTAATTGTGTCTATAAAATAAAATGCTTGGAATGTGGTGCAATGTATATCGGACAAACATCGACAGAGAGAAATCAAAATCAGAAGAAATGATCACCGTAGAGCATCTGTTCGACCACAGAGAAATCCAGTTAGTGAACTAGAAAAGCTTGAAAAATCATCAGCCATAAATCTACGTGCTATAGAATTAGGTCACAAATTTGATTTTGACAAATTGAAATAATGCAAAATTTTTCAGAAATCACAAAGAACATCTAATCCCATCAGAAGCACTTCATATTGACTGGAATCCAAATTATCTGAATAGGAATGATGAACTAAAATAGAACTTGACCTGGTTACAACACCTCCGTCCCCCATGAAATGACAAAATCAACAGAAATGTGACAAGCATTTTCATTACGTAAACACATGTTGCTTTTATAATTGTATACAATTATCAAATCGAACAATCTACACACATGGTTTTGTTATCTTTACCAATTGGCCAGCTTGACAACGCAAAAATGATCCCATGATGAGGAACGATGATTAAGCTGTTATGTATAAGCTGACTGGATTTTGTAAATTCTGGTTTAATAATACTTTGATAAAGCTATTATCAGAATTAAAAAAAGAAACGTCAGTAACTTGCTATAGGATGGAGTTTCCTGGAGTTCTAGTGAGAAGTCGTAACCAGTAAGGTTCAACGAGTCAAGAAAGTGAGGATTGAATTCCCACAAATGACATTGATTGGTGGCCGCGCCAAATCACGAATTTGTAGAATTCATGCACTGGCCATTGAATCGGGTCCCAGTGACTTGCCTTGTAACCGGAAGGTCCTGGATTCGTACTTGGGGGGGGGGGGAAGGTGAGTGCGTACTGCCGATGATTCCCAAACTAGGATGAAACAGCTGGCTGTTCAGTACTCGCTGGTTTTCAGTGGTTCTCTAACTGATATCAATCCATGTTCAAACTAGTAAACCAAAAAATACCGTTTTGTTTTTCATTCATTGGGAAATACAAGAAAACCTTTATTATGATGAATATCATATACCCGATGCCCAAATTTTTTTCAAACAGTTAAAGGGGAACTTGGTTTAGACATATATAATTATAAAGTTAATTGAAACATGCAAATGAGTATAAATATTGTGATTTAATCGCTGAGGAGAAATTTTTCAAAGAATTATTGTTATATGCACAGTATTTACATCACTTGTTGTATTCCTCTTTTACCTTTTTTAAAAAAACAATTTTGAACTAATTAGGCTTTACATCTGAGTGAATTGGATCAAATAACTGATATGGAACAACCAGATTTTATGTTTCATCCAGAAAATTATTTCACAGATAAAGAAGAAATTGCATCGATTACAGTGAATAAAAACAATCCTGAATCTCCTCAGCGTGAGTTCTTTCTCTTTTGAAAAATAAATATATTATACCTCATAAGAACTACCCCAGTACCATCCTTATCACGAAAGTTATGTGATGAATGAATTTTCGTTACAGCTGTTTTAATTGTCCTTAATGCTGCCGTGCTCAGTGATACTGCAGATACTAGTGATAAACGTCGAAAATGGTTGGTTTGAATCACGGTGGTTCCTGGCTTTCGGCAGCTTTGACCGCGGGATAGTTAGGAAACTACTTCAACACTACCTAGCGACCTGTGCCTTTATCAATCTGATTTAGCAGTTATATGACAATATCACATGTTAAGGGATCCACAGAGGAAAACTCAGCGGAGTATTTGAAATGAAGACAGGAGTAAGACAAGGCTGTCAACTACAACCGATGATATTCCTAATTGTAGTGGACTAGATCGTTCGAAAGATTGCGAGTGAGGAGCGAGAATACAGAAATATACTGCACTGGCTGATAAAAAAACCAATAGAAAATCTGGACTTCGCGAACGATTCACGTCTAATGCCATAAGCTCAAAGAATAACAAACGAGAACCAATAAGTTGTTGTGAGAAGCAGACAGCGGAGATAGGATTTCAAGTAAACATAGAGGAGACAGGGATGATGAAGTTAACCAGCCACCCAACAAAAACAACATGCACCAGTCACTATCAGTAAAAGAAATTTGCAAGAGGTCACATCCTTCACTTATCTGGCCAGGTGGCATCGTTTCAGTTACAGGTGGCACAGATGTTGAAGCCAAAACTAGGATGAGAAAGGCAAGAGACCGACGTTAAATCAATCACTTCTTCTATATGTGTGAGAAACATCTATTGCGTGTCACGACAAGCATTTCCAACAGGTTGAAGACTTATATCAACTGTTACCTTCTATCTATACTAAAAATCAAATACCCAGAAAGAATTAACAACATAAAACTCTGGGAACGAAACAGTTAATAACATTCCGAAGAAAATGCAGATGAATAGGAAACACATTGGGGAAGGCGTTGAATGACATCGCGTACCAGGTCCTCAAATGGAAGCTGAATAAGAAACTGTGTACTGGGTGTACGTCCAACAGTGACATAGAGGAGGAAACGTGAGCTTATGCGCAGTTGTTGAGCCAGCTAAAGATGGTTACAAAGGACAGGAGGAAATCCAGATGTACTATCTAAGCCCCCTGTTCCCCTCAGAACCCAAAGGAATAATAATTATTATAACAGAATAACTCTTGATCAGAGACTGGAATTGGATCATTTGTTTGATTGATGAAATTTTCAAATAGTGTATGGATATGAAGTACCTCTAGTTTTGCATTCACATCACCCATTAAACTTTCGATATCACCATCCAGAGTCTTGCAAATTACTGTTTGCAGATGTCTTCCTTTTGTTAAGTTTTGTATAATTGAAAGACTGTTTGTTTTTTCAACACTGAACACTAAATATGATGGATTAACTTAATTAAATTTTAGATTTTCCCGTCGATTGACTGGCTCGAAGTGCTCGGCACTGGGTTCGAGCCTCGGTGGGAACATCATCACTCACTGGAAAATGCAGGCACATCCAGCTGACGAATCCCGAATAGGACAAAATGCGCATACTGGATTCCACTGCAGGTCACCATCCACAAATTAAATGATGGACTAACCTTTAAAATTTTAAAACAAATCCTTAGGTGTATTTAAATAAAGTTGTAAAATATCATTAGATGTAAAATAGTAGTATTCCAGGCTAATCATTAAAAAAACACGACGCAGTTCTTCGCACTTATTAATTTTGTGTAGACAAAATTTGTATTCTGAGGGATGGAAAAGTGACTCAATTCTCTTAACTATACAAATTCGATTCAGCTAGTAAATAAAATCTAAACAGACCCATACCTACTATCATGATTTGTTTAGTAGCCAAGGTTGTATATCACAATGATCGAACAACCTAAATTGGCTGAAACAAATGTCCCTGCAGGTCCTATCATGCTAGAAAGACCTATTTATTGGTTAGTAAATAGACTAAAAGCAGTCGACACCGTACGATCTTAGAGTAACGTTCAACTGCCGGTGAATAGTGGTATAATATCTAGCAGTAAGCCATTACTCTCAGAAGACCACAAAGTCTGTAACGGCAGAAGACAAGAGCCAGTCAACAGATCGCTTCCTCTCCCTGAAAGCATGTAATCTATTTTCGTTTAATTTCTCTTCTTTTAGAAGCCTTAGAGGAGAATATATCGAATTTTCAAACGAACGCATCTGGTGTAACATGTTAGTCTAAAGATAATTACTATTATTGTTATTATATAAGATTATTTATTGCAGTTTACTGTTTCATCGCGTTTCCACTTTCTTTATGTGTTCTATTTTTCACCTGATCAATAAAAAAATAGAAAATCTCTCAAATTATTTACTTTATTTTTCCATTTTTTTGTTTTCCTTATAGCTGTTACAAGTCATTTCAATGAAGAAAGCTTATTTCCAGATTATATTATAAATTTTGATAAACAAATGCAGCTTGTTAATAAATTTGTAAATACTCGCCATTCTGTAAGTATCGTTAAAGTTATCCTAGATTGACAGCCAAACGTTCATAATTAAATTATTAAACTCGGAGTACACCTATCTAGTTTGCAATTAATACCTTTGTTTATTATTCTGTACACTGTGGCATAATATACATTATAATTTGTTCTGAGTGGAACAGGTGGCCTCAGTGGTATGGTTTCGCGACTTATCAAAGACTTTCATCTCTTCCACACATGATTTTCTCTATGTCGGCCGCATATTATCTGACCTGTAGCTTTCCATTTGGGTTCCAGTCCAGGGCCTAATGTGTCGGGATTTCACTTGAAGATCTCTTCAGAGTATATCTAATCCATCTCCATGGTGCCTTCTTCACATTTGTTCGGCCGACTACCAGTGCTCCTTGTTGTTTATTCAATCTGGTCACCCATCTATTCGTTGTAGCTCCCCAACCGGATCGATTGACTCTCTCTTCTCACCTCAACATTATCTCTGATTTACCTTTGTCTGATTAGGTGTTTACTATGTGTTTTGTAATTCCTCAACCTTTTTAGAGTTGCTATTCCTTGTTGTGATAAGTTGTTTCTTGCTTTTAACATTACTCACCATATCGTACCAGTTAACACTGGAAATAGAACGTGGACTAAAGACAGCTAGTCTATTCAAGTCTTCTACCTGATAGCAGTAGTTGATAATCAATTGTATTTTTTACTGTTTATATTACCTAACAAACAAACTTGATACACTATGGGCACCAGGTGATGCACCGCACAAAATCTTATAGTTTTTCCGAGTGCTGGGATACTAACAGAACGTCTAGACCAAAGCAGGTGGTAATCTTAAGGGACTTTGACTTGAAGCTTAATCCACAAGGCAGTAGAACAGCATCGGAAGCTGCCTTCCCATAACAGCCGGTGGCCAAAACAGGTTCACATTCCTCCATTTGATCCATTCAAGTTCTAGAGCTTATGTACAACATAGACTTGAAATCAGGGTTTTCCATCTCTCCTGGGTAGATCACCACGTCCATTAGTCTACCTGTAAGCGCCAATCGCATAAAGGCACTGAATAAAACTTAAATGGAAGAAGCTGTGAATGCGTGGCCATGCGCTAGCACTTTGGGAGGAAGACCTAAGTCCACCCTCCCTCGACTGCATCCGATCGTTTATGGTAACTGTCACTTATTCTACTTAATTGGCTGTTGTTTAAAGCTTCTCACTCTTAATAGCTTTTATTCTGAATACGTTATGAAGACATTTGAAGTATGTTCATGCTTACATTTTTATTTTGCCTCTTCCATGTGTATCTACCAATTTAACTACTCCTGTGGAGCCAGTCACATAGGCCCTACAGTTAGGCGTGTTTCTCGTCGAATTTCCGAACACCACCCTGTGTGGTTAGGTAAAGGATAAACAAAATCTATTCGCAGCCCTATTTTTATCTCATTTTGTGGATATAGAAAGCAAGATTGATGTTAACGAGGCGGCTTTCAAAGTCATTTACCGCATACCTACGAATCTCAATTTTGCCTTAAGAGTTCGACTACTAAATATTGCTGAAGCTGGCTGTTGGGATCCATATTAACAAGCCTAATTTGTGCATCCAAAAGAAGCTAGTTCAAACATTATCATTACCTTGGCCATCTAGGTTTGAATGATCCCGAATTTTGTGGAACTTTCCTAATTTTAGTTGATATTCTATTTGCTACTATATCTTTGTTATTATTATTATTTAATCATCTTTAATGCACTGTAATTCTATTGATCTTACTTAACAAATCGATATTGTTTACAAAACACTAATATTGTCATTGACTACTATTCTAGGATATTCTATGTTTATAAACATATATAATTGTAGAGTCAGAAGAGGAATTTATCGAAAAGGATATTCTTTGGTATTAGGTGGTTGGAGGCGATCGGCAGGACCTTGGACCTAGTTTTCGTGCTAGTTGGCACTCATCAGCAAGGCGTATCTGCAACCTTGAAGGAACTCATGTCCCTTCATAGTTCACCGTAATGGCGAGCCACCTAGCATGGTGGCCACATTGCAAGCATGACTGATAGAATTCAGTCTGCACCGAAGATAGGACTAGACACATTACACTAGTTACTGACTAGTGTGCAATCAAAAAAGGATATTCTTTGCTCAATCATTTTGTGTTTCACAGATGTCTGAATGAATATTTTTGTTATTTGATAGTGTTCTTTTGCCTATGCATCAGTGCAATAATGCATTCCGTTTTATTCAAACTGATTCTTAGGACGAAAAACATTGTTGAATGGAAAAATATATTTCTTTTAGAAGTAACAAGACACAATTTTAGTTAAATAATGATGTAAGGTTGAAATTCTCACCAATCACGCACATCTTCAGGGCTTCATTCCTAATCTACTCACTCTTAAACCTCTTAGAGCCATTAGTAACCTTGGAAAACAAGGAGAGTAAGGTGTGAGATTGACAGTTGCACCTCATAAAGGCAAAACTACCTCTTCTGAAACTCCAAAGTCTAAAGTCCTATGTTCCACTGAGATCTCTAGGAATATAAAGCTGACTTAGGGAAACTTTGGCTTGAACCGATTTAAATTTATTTAAAACGAACTGATATCAAACTAGTATTAACTTTTACTGTTGAATTAAGTGTTTTGTGTTCTCTACGCCAAATTTTACACGTAATTGCTTCAGTCATTCATACACTATCTCATTCTTTCTAGATGCACTGTACTAACCAAAAATTTGGTTATCTGAATACTGCTTATTAGTTCTATGCAATATTTTTTACGTAAAAAGTTCCATTAATTCTTGAGTAAATAGGCAGTTCGAATTTCTTAAATATATATATATATATAGTATTACAACTGCCCTTAACTTACTGATTTCAAAACATTTTATAGCTAAGAAGTGTAAGGAAGATTTCGTTGCTAACCAACTTCGATTAGACAGTCACTGATGATCATGAGAATTGGACGTCTGTTTCAGCTTAATTTTGCCACTATCCAACAGTGCCCATTGTGTGAACTCATCGGAGAACAAACCGAAGACTTCAGTTATGAGACAAATATGTGGCTATTCATACGGTGGATCATACTCAAGTGGACTGCACATTCGAATTTTTGTCCATTCATCAATAGTGCCACGTCTGTCTCTAAATTCGACTTGACGAAATCTACCGACTACAACTTCTCATGATAACTCTAGAAAGTCTTTCATCCAGCCACTTAATTACGAGATGTTTTGTTACAAATCGATATCAGTTAGGGGATCACTGGATATGAGTCCATGTTTTAATAGTTCACTGAATGATGTCAATTTTTTTTAAATCTTCTTTGCAAACTTCGTCTTCACTAAGAACAAACTCATTTTTTATCTCTTTTTTTGCCAGTTTCTTAATCTGAAAAAGAATAAATCATCTGACAATCATAATAATGCGATGACGACTTGGGACAAGAGACAACATTCAAAATCCAAACAGAAATACAATCCCGTGCATTTACCTCCAATAATTAAAAAGTAAACAAAGTTATACCAGCAGCTCACTTATCTATCTCTAGCTTCTTTCTTTATTTTATTTTCTCTCTCAAAATGTACAGTGCACACTTCCTATTGCATTAAAAAAAAGAATACTGTACTTTATAATGACTAATGTATGTCTTATCTTCACAGAGTAATTGCACAGTTACTGACTTTATCAGTAAAGATAATTTCCCGCTATTTTGTTTTACATTATGCTTACTTTTTTCAATATTAACAGTCAGTTACATTTTTTAACATTTGAAAAATGAATAAGTAAAGAGAAAAACTCATACCTCTTTTATTGATTTGGTTGAAAGAATAACCAATGTTCATTCATTTCACTCTTATTTACACTATACTGCTCCATAACTGAATATATAAATGTATAAATATATTATCTGATGAAGATAGATAGTCTTTTACTGAATCTTTTACTGAAAAAGATTTATTACATATTGGTTGTATAGTGAGTATAAGAGGACTAAAATCTATAACAGATGGACACTGGTTACGAGAAGAACTGATCACAGCATTGTACAATTATTAGTATTTGCATTATTTTCAAGTGTTGATTCTCAAAGATTAGATGAATGATTTCAAGACTGGTCAAGAACTTCAGTTAAAGAACCACTGAAAATCGCTGAGCACTTGTCATCAGGTGTGAAGACAAATACTCACCGATGGCATTGGCTGGTGGTCGTGGTTTATTATGCTGCAAACTGGCAGAAGTTAGAACTGACGCACCATTGGGTTCTGTCACACAGGATGAATAGTATATGAGCTCAAGCCCCTGTAGTGTACATTGAACCTTTGAACTTTTGTCTAAACGCACTCACCCAATTTTGGCACTTCTCCATCTTCTGATTTGTGACTCTCGTGTACATACTAGGTTCGCTCTCTCGTTGTGCTTTCATTCAGGGCACTCTTCGAGCCTACCGCCAGTCAAGGCAGCAGACAAGTTGTATAACACCTTTATTTATTAAATTTGATATTTCATTTGTGTGAAAATACAACTCCGTCCCAGACACACTTCCATCTCAAGTTTTTTTTACTTTGATTCCGTTCGTCAGTACTTACACGTTAGGTAGAGAACTGCTAAGGTTATAAAGTTCCGAAGTTTTTGTAAGTGTGGTTAGTTTGTGGTCTACCTTAAGTCCAGTCTAACACACACACCTTCAAGGTCATGATCGATTTTGAAATCGCATGCATGTATGTAATGTATGCGTGTTTGTTCGTTTATTTGTCATTGTATTATGTTCGTGTGTTGACTAGACAAATAACAAACGCTGGATGTACAGTTGAGCAACACGCACATGCCTTAGACCATATTGGTTATTGGTATGCAACAGTTGCTGACATTAATGCCTGAAGAAGTAAAATAGTGGATACATTCAACTAATTTACTGTTTGCCGTCACATGGGTTTTGAATATGTGTCTATCTTGAAGCATCAGTGTGAATAGGTGATTCAGTTAGCCTTAGGGGCGAAGTTAAACTTTAAGCACCGCTAACTACCAATCAGCAAATGACCTCGAACGCACCAATCCCACGAAGGAGGCATTTTTCTGTATGCAATACATATATTAATGAAGAAGATGTATAAAAACTGTAGAAAAGTGTTACAGAGGATACCTTCCTCTCACATGTGATAAAAATAGCTCTCGCTTTTAAGTTTGAGTACCAACAGAGTATAATTACATTGTGGGCAAAATTTGTTTTGATAAAGTTTTCTATAATAATATTTGCTGAGCAGTAAATTCTGCTCGAAATGTCACCAGTAAATGCTACTGTGTAACACTGTAAGAATTTATCAAAATAAATTTTACCCACAGTGGAACTATACTTTACCACAGCGTACATGTTTTATTCTTATATCATTAGAGTAATTTAACCACATTCTATGCATGTAACTATTTAGGTCTTCTAACCCTAACAATAACTCAAATCTTTCCTGAACCTAAACCTAACGTTAAAACATCCCTAAACTAACCGTAGTCTAACTAGAATCAACCCTAATGCTGCCTTTAATAGGTTAACCTAACCCTAACTTGTCTTTGGCTTAAACCGTACCTTAATCGCTCCCAGACCTAAGCTGAAACTTGCCAGATATCCCATTTAATAGCATAACACTTCGATAAGGATATATGATTGATCATGATGACTACATTATTTGCCAGGCCTGACTAACTTGCTTGATGCACGTTTCAAAGTCATTGGTGCGGCCGCACTACAATGGCAGTTAGTGGTGCTTAAAGATTAATTTTGCCGCCTTAAGTTTGTTGAAATAGAAACATTAGTCATGACAGCAGAGACTTTACAGACTTTGTATCCATTAATCACTCGTCACTTGTCTGTCTCTTACATCTAGAATAGAAAGTAACGAAAGAAATAGTTAAATGTGAACTACACAGTCTTCATTCTTTGTAGGCCTGGCAAAGTTCAACAATAGCGTCCCAAAGGATGAGAACGCACGACTGACCTTCAACCGACCAATCATAAAGATAAGTGACTTTTGCACAAAAATGACGTACATTTACAAGAAAATGAATGAAAACACAGGTTAAAAATACATCCTAGTTATAATGAGAAGTATCAGTTGCTAAGTTAGACTAGCTTCTGTAGATGTACTCACCGAGGTGACTAAAGATGAGCTGTTTTGTGAATTATTTATTTCTCTTATCCTGTTGTGCAGACTTCGCCAAATCCCTCGGTTTTATTACTATGGTTTCCAGTAAGAGGATCGACGACTGCTTACCAGGAAAATTTGGATAAGAAAACAAATTAAAATAAATGACATCAACTCTAAATGTATCCCTAGTCGTAACCCTAATCTTAATCCTTGCCCTAACCCTAAACTTAATACTAACCCTGACGAACTATTAGCACATTGTCCAAACAGTACTTAAATTTGTTGCTTAGTTGGTGAATAGCGTTGATATTTCAGCTATGATAATGACAGGCACCGTCAGCCAATGTCTAGCATGCGTTCAAGGCCAAGAGATGATGGATGTTGGCTACTACACAAAATACCCTGTTCGCAGACGCGAGTGTTTATCCTTCAACTCCCAAAGTATTTGCTGTACTTAGACCAAAGACAAACCAAAACGTAGAAGTGATCTTCCAAAATTTATGAAACCAGACATAGTCCCTCACTTAACGACTGGCCCTATATTTGAATTATTCATCGCATAGTCGCCTGTGTTTGTGAAGAAAAGGCATCAGTTTGAAAGAAAGTACCCCGTGGTCCCGAGCACCATAACTCCTTTCGTCGTTTCAACTCGATCACCCCTCTTGTATGACGAATTTTACTACTAATACTGAAATAGTGTTTAGACTGTCATCTGTGTTCTGTTCCTCATTTGCAGTTTACTATGGCGTGTTTGATCCCTGTGTGGAGCACTAGAATAAAGAAACCACTGCTTAGCTTTTAGTGAGCAGTTATTTTTCGGAAGCTGATAAATTGAAAACTTTACTTACTCACGCGAAACACGGTTCACAATGGTCCTAATATCTATACAATTATTGATATTTTGCAAACTTGTGTTTTCTGATCATATTTGTCAGGTGAAGTTCTTCCTCAATCAGTTCAAATTCTAACACTCCATGTTAGAAACTTGAAAATATTATCAGAAACACCTAATCAAATGACAGATTATCGGATTAGTAGAAATGGTTTATTAAATTAAAACAATTTCTCCTCTTGTATCGCCTTGTAATTTTTTCAAACTTCTGCCTGTCTAGGATATTTGCAATATAGTTAGTGCTTCAATGGAAATCTTCTTACTTCGTCATCCGAATGTTCCGGTTTTGATATATACATACTGCTGAAGACATCTAAACTAGGATGAGATAAATGACCACACTTTTGGTTCACTTCATCATAAACAACGTCATACTGCTGACGGTAGAGAAACTTCTATCTTCCTTCCTTATTCCTGGCCTTAACCAGGCTATTTCTATTCATCGCCAACCAACAGTGAACACTGTTTTCACAAAAACAGAATGAAAATGTTCAGAAGTGAAGTTAAAAGCTGTTGAGGTGCTCCTTGAAACTAACCAACTTTTGGATTCGAGCACTCTAGCAGTACCGCAGTCACTGAAGAAGTCATGAAAGGAAAATTAGTGGAGAACTGTGCTCGAGTGTACACGATTTCCAATGATTACAGCAAACTTGTATTCATGAGTGTCATGATTTAAAAATATTTTTGAGATCTAAGTTTTACTTTGTTTTACTTTGCTCATCTTCACACCTTCGTGTTACCGTCACATTAGTCAGCCGTTCGTTATTGCTGCAATTTGTTTTATTGAGTTACTAGTTACTCACCTATTGAAAGCTGAACTTTATTTCTTTTATGAAGAACCTCTATTCTGGATCCACATGACACTCTCACGTACACTGGTAGCAAATTGGATAGATTTTAGTCAGGCGGGAACCATGGAAAGGTTCGCTAATGATGTATGCTGCATCTGAAGTACTTGCTTCATAATTTCAAACAAGTGGTTTATATACCTATCTTCTATCAGGCTGAATGGTCTGTCCTATTTGGTCTTACTGCATTTCCAGTAGGTGGTAACCTGTTTCTATCTGGCACAATATTCACACACCTTCCGCTTAAGTTTGGAATCAGATAAGTCAAAATGCTGCTGTTTGCCGTTGGCGCACGTGTATGAGGTTGAACGCATCACTTGGGAGGGGATAAGATCATGCTGTATTGTGGTCTAGGTTTAATTTGTGATTTCTTGATTACCACAAACGCTGTTCTCAACAGATTGAGATAACTGAAGTGGGAATAAATACTTCTGCTGACAGATGTCAAACCGACCTGTACGCGAATGTAGCAATGGTCCACTCAGAATATATAATCAAACACATGCTACATTCCTAAAACACAAAAAAGCGGTGAGTTCAGTAACTCTTGACTTAGATGAACTAATTGGCATCTCTTGACGTAGTTTATCTGTTCTGTTGGTTGCCGAGTATAATGAAATGTGTGTGTGACACGTATGTGTCATCATTACTTGCTTATTGACTTTGAAACGGGATGATGACATGCAATCTTTGGCACTGTTATACAATAGTAGGCAGTTGTTCCAGTTCATCCAAGCCCTAGCTCACAGGATGTCACCAAGTTGTTCTGTACTGCAGG